TTATTTATTGTTATAATATTCAAGAAAAATCAGATCAGCTTTTTTTTTTTATTTTGTTGCTGTAGAATTCCTCCTTCAATAAATACAGGTAAAGCTAGTTCATAAATGATTGTAGATACTACCTCTTCCTCCTTAGAGTGCCCCTTAATTGAGTGTGATACCTTTAATTAGATGTTGGTTTAGTCCAGTAGACGTTCGGGGAACACACCATTGGAGCGCTGTGACAGTTTTTTTTTTGGTCACACTGTAGCGGTATCAGCTATTTGGTGTCTTCCCAATTAGCCAACATTTTGAAAAAAATAAAGGTAAATCTGTGTTGGCTAAGTGGGAATTGGGTACAGGTAGAGAACAAAAAAAAATTAATTACAGGTAGGCTATAGTCTGTTTTATTAAATCGATCTCATTTGCATTCGTTGGTGTTCGACGGAATTGACCCAGTTAAATCCGCAGTGAGCGTAAACATTTTTATTACATTTACATTTTCAACAGTGAAATGCTGTGATTTATTTATTAAATAAAAGTGATATTCTGTCACAGTGCCTGTGAAATGATACCAAAGTCATATTCTATCACAATGTGAAAGGATATCAAAGGAAGTAAAAAATAATTTCTGGCCTGTAATAAGATAGAGATAGTAACTAAAACATCTTGATAGAGATTATAAGGGCCAATTTCTTCCCAAATATGTTACTAAAATCCATGTTACATTTTTTTTAATCTCACAAATGCCAAGCTTCGATGTCTCAACTGCTCAACTATGACGTCACAGCCTATGACACTGTGTTACGAAAATACAGAGGCAAAGTGACAATCAAAGAAAAAATTCACTGTTTTGTAGTTGGATAAGGAAATTATTTCACTCGTGAAAATATAAAAAAAAATCCTATCACACTCGTGAAATAAATTCCACTTATATAAATTATTGCAAACATGGAAACCAGCGCAAGATACGTCAAAATGAAAGGTATATCAAAACACTTATTGACTGTGTTCTCGGGCAAAATGCGTTTTGTCGACCTCTCGAACCAAACTGCTTGCCTTCGTCCCCGTCTCTGGCTTATACAGTTTGATTCTTGGGTCTGACAAAACGCATGTTGCTCTCCAACCCAGTCAATTAATAGTGAATGCTTTTTTTATAACCATCATTCTTCTACAATATAATAAAATACATGCAATCCATAGACGAATGAGTGGTATAACATTTTTTGCTTGGCAATAGATACATATGTTTATGGTATATATTTAACATTGAAGTAAAAACTCATGGTTTTTCTCATCTTTATTCAATTTATATTTTATAAAAATATTGTCAAAACAAGTAAAATCTTCAATTAATTTGAATTAAAGCATACAAATGATGAAATATGAACAACGCAGGCGCACACATCTTACCAAAAAATTGTGAATACTTGTGACATGTTCTATTGTTTATATCCTTTTTTTTTTCAACTTCTGTATTTGAAACTTTTGCACAAATTCATTGGCAGTTCTCCTTTAGGTGGATAAGTGTCTCACTACATCTAACGAGACTTTACGAAACTTATGCTAAAATATTCCTATCGAAGCAAGTTTTATCATTAAGGTTCATCAACTCTTCGTTCACTCATATAATGTTTTTCAAAAGAAACCTAAATTATAACGTAATGTGAATAATTTTAGCATACCTTGAAATGCAAAACTTGACAGAAATTACCTTTCAAATTTGACAATTTATTACTGAAAAAAATAGTCATATATAGTTAAAGTTATTTCTCTTATGGTATATGGAAGGGAATTACCGCCAAAAGTCTATTTATCTTGCTTTAATTCTTATTCTGCCTACTTCTTTATTCTTTGTTATTATTGTAACTATATATCACTTTATTGTTTTCATATTCGTCTTTATTACATTTCACTTTGAACTTTTTTCATTCTTCATTTTGTCCTTACATCTATGTTGCTTTATTCTTGTAAATACGTTCTTCTTTCTTTGAAATTGGTACAGTTTCTTTCATAAATAATTATGATTATCTCTATTACAAATGTAAATTCAGTCATGCAAACCATGAAGCACATTCAACGAAGACGAATACAAGTAGTGTGAATTTAATGCTGCATTATAACGCTAGGTGGCAGGGTGTTCGCGGCGAGTGTTGGTAAAACTAGGTACGCAAACCCGGGTCGAGGTTATTCGAGATTTTTCCAATTTTCTGCCTTAATACTTTATCAATCGAACCCAAATTTTCAAATGGTGTATGTTATAGGTTCAGGCATGTACCCGGTGTCGTTCCCCCTGACGGCTGGCTAGATGGTAAGACTTCCCCCGGAGGACTAGCTATATAGTGAGACTTCTCCAGGGGAAGTCTCACTATATATAGCAGTCTTCACCCTTCATAGCGAAACTTTCCCCTTTAATTTAGAATATTTTTTTTATTGTAAAACAATGTTTATATACTAACGTTTTCAGTGTTTGGATGAAAGTTCTCCGTCCTATATGAATGAATAAATAAATAAATATATGAATAAATGATTAAAACATTTTAATAGTGATTTTTATAATTAAAACATTAATTTAACCATGCAGGTAAACATAGGTAAACTGCACGTTTCTACGGGTAATGACCTCTTTACTGTTAAATTAATTGTGTCTAAATTTTCTTTTGATAAGAATCGTCTCGGAACAATACAATAATCTGCTGTGCACGATAAATTTTTAATGCGCACTTTAATATTGATTCATTTGAAACTATACATTTATATATATATATATATATATATATATATATATATATATATATATAAGATCATTACCTAAATATGCAATATATACATCGTCGATGTAAATAAAATCCAAACCAAACACGGAAGGGGAAGTCTCACTATGGTCGCTTAGGGCGGAAGGCTCACTACATAGTCATTGCCCCCCCCCCCTCCCGGAGGGGAAGTCTCACTATATAGCCAGGCTTCCGGGGGAAGACTCACTATGGAGGAAGTCTCACTATATGACACCGGTAGCAAGGGGGGGGGGGGGGCTTGCCACCAAACATTTTTCTAGTCATAACTTTTTACTACTGAAATTGTTCATTGAAAGTCTGGTTGCCCCCCCCCCCCACTTTTTGTCGCAGTATAGTCAAATAAGGGTCATGTACGTAGTGATGTATGAGTAAAATTTGGTACTGAAAGAAGTTGGACCCCCTTCCCCCCAGATAGGATTTTCGAGTTTGAAGAATTTTCCTCTCTTTTTTTTCCCCTTGTTTGTTTTTTTGTATGTTTGTTGTTGTTGTTTTTTTTTTTTTGTTTGTTTTGTTTAGTTTTGGGTTTTTTTTTTTTTTTTTGCTTGTCAAGTTAGGTAAGACTTTTTTTCTCTGGGTGACCCTTTCAAAAACAATGCTACGTCTCTAAGTTTTATCTATTTTCGCTGTAAAAATTGCCAATATTTATATTCATGTATTTATATTATGAAAATCTCAATATTCTAGATTATTTTTTGCGATTTTTGATTTCCAATTTGCTTAGATGGGTAGGCAATATCAAGCCGACATTTTACGTATTTTTTTCAAACGAGACATTGACAAAATAATTTTTTGAGTTATTCTGATGTCAAACACTGTGTGCTTACTAGAGATATTTATTTCTTTATTGAAAAGTGCTATTTCTATACCAAAAATTAAAACATATTTTCATAAAAACCGGGGGAAGTTTCTAGTACATGTATGCCCCGGTCTAGCCTGATTCCGGCCACGCCTACCCATGACGTTCCGCACTACTTTGCAGAGCATTATGGGTTGGCCGAAACAAGATTAGCCCCGGCCCCCAGAATCACGCGACTGCGCATGAACAGTTATTATCCTGAAATAAAGAAATGTCAGTTCAGTGGAAGAATATATACAATAGGGGCCTGAAAAACAACTCAATTTATAAGGGCATACTAGTAATTATATTTAATGTTTTTATATCAATAAAACTGAAATTCAATCATCCGACAAAAAAGTTGAATAGAGTTATAGTTTTCAGATGACTGAAAATACACAATTATTTTGGAGTTCTCATAATTGATCCGGTTTTAATGACCCATATTTTCTTAAAACGTGTTATTTAAAGCAACAAAAGCACATTTGAAAGAAGAAATGCTTATAAATAGTTAAAATATAATGTTTAACATCAGAATAATTTATAAATGTATTAGCTTTTTGTCAAAAAACACGAAAAATGTCAGTTTGATACTGCCTTCCCATTTTACCAACTTGGAAATCAAATATCTTCGAGAAAATCTAAAAAAAAAAAAAAAAAAAAAAAAAAAAGAGCATTTCGGGGCAATTTTACCGCGTAAACAAATAAACCTATAACTAACATAACTTGAAAATTTGGGTTCGATTGATAAAGTATTAAGACAGAAAATTGAAAAATCTCGAATAACCTCGGCCCGGGTTTGCGTACCTAATTTTACCAACACTCGCCGCGAACACCCTGCCACCTAGCGTTATAATGCAGCATTAAATTCACACTACTTGTATTTGTCTTCGATGAATGCGCTTCATGGTTTGCATGACTGAATTTACATTTGTAATAGAGAATATGAAAACAATAAAGTGACATATAGTTACAATAATAACAAAGAATAAAGAAGTAGGCAGAATAAGAATTAAAGCAAGATAAATAGACTTTTGGCGGTAATTCCCTTCCATAATGGTAGGGTCAATCAACCTTAATATAAGGTCTCCATAAATTTCCTTTTTAATCAAATGACGACGCTACATCAAATTATTATCGCTGAAAATGTCTTACTACATGTACGTTGAAGAAAACTCAAACCTTGTCCGAATTTCCCCTCCTATATTTACACTCGTTAAGTTTAAGGTTGTTATCAACATTCGAATATAATCCATCAGTCCTTCTTGTACCCACTTCCAATACAAGCACCATCATTCCGCTGGAATAAGTCCCCCCTTCCTTCCCAAAATTACGGTTTGTATGTCTGTTATGCCTCTTATATCAGTTATTTAAAGTATCATTTTTAGCCATTTATTTTCTGCAAGATTTATATATCTTCATTATCTGTAAACAAGCTTCTACTAGTTGTCAACCGGCTTCTTTTATTAAACATTGGACAACTCAGTGGAGTAACGTTTTCCTCAATTGTTAACGATACCTTCGCTACAAATGTGTGTGAAAAAGAAAAACATGATATGACGCATTATTATGAATGTAGAATAGATTTCAAAATTCCTTCGTTGTAGCACCGGTTTTTCAAATTTCGATCAAGAGTGCTTTAAAGTTGATCATTTTCTATATTGTCTGCAACAAGATTTCTCTCCGTTTCGTCTTTTCCATTTCTATCTACCACAGCTGACTTTTGGACTCTACCAATTGCAAAATTATATATATATATATATATATAGATAGATAGATAGATAGATAGATAGATAGATAGATAGATAGATATAGATATATATATATAGATAGATAGATAGATAGATAGATAGATAGATAGATAGATATAGATATATATATATATATATATAGATAGATAGATAGATAGATAGATAGATAGATAGATAGATAGATAGATAGATAGATAGATATAGATAGATAGATAGATAGATAGATAGATAGATAGATAGATAGATAGATATAGATAGATAGATAGATAGATAGATAGATAGATAGATAGATAGATATAGATATATATATATATAGATAGATAGATAGATAGATAGATAGATAGATAGATAGATAGATAGATAGATATAGATAGATAGATAGATAGATATAGATAGATAGATAGATAGATAGATAGATAGATAGATAGATAGATATAGATAGATATAGATAGATAGATAGATAGATAGATAGATAGATAGATATAGATATATATATATATAGATAGATAGATAGATAGATAGATAGATAGATAGATAGATAGATAGATAGATAGATATAGATAGATAGATAGATATAGATAGATATAGATAGATAGATAGATAGATAGATAGATAGATAGATAGATAGATAGATAGATATAGATAGATAGATAGATAGATAGATAGATAGATAGATAGATAGATATAGATATATATATATATAGATAGATAGATAGATAGATAGATAGATAGATAGATAGATAGATAGATATAGATAGATAGATAGATAGATAGATAGATAGATAGATAGATATAGATATATATATATATAGATAGATAGATAGATAGATAGATAGATAGATAGATAGATAGATAGATAGATAGATATAGATAGATAGATAGATAGATAGATAGATATAGATATATATAGATAGATAGATAGATAGATAGATAGATAGATAGATAGATAGATAGATAGATAGATAGATATAGATAGATAGATAGATAGATAGATAGATAGATAGATAGATAGATAGATATAGATATATATATATATATATATATATATATACTGAGATAGATATATCAAGATAAACATTAGATGTGGATTTCAGATATTGAACAGCAATATGGTCAATTATACTCGATTGTCTCTAGCATTTAATTATAAGTTACATGTACCTTCCAAAATTGATTCCATCTTCTATGGTTTCTGGTAATTTCTGGTTCAATGTTTCTGGTAAATAAAGGCACATAATGCCAGCAGCAACAGAGGCAGCACCAAAAATAACCAGGGGTAAAGCCTCCCCAAGGGAGCCTTCTATAGTCATACCCTGTTAAAATGTTATAGGGGTATAGTATACAGGTATATGGAACAAAAATTATAAAAATTATGATAACAGTTATAAACACTTCAAATACCTCGAAATAAGTATTTTAAAAAGTATAAAGGAAAAAAACTTTTACGTTGGTTGAAATATATATAGTAAACTTACGAGGGTGACAAAATATGGTGCAACCATGCTTCCAACTCTGGCAAAACAAGAACCTGTTCCTAGAGCGATGTTCCTAATTACGGTTGGAAACAGTTCGACGGTGAATATGAAAACAACCACAAAAGCAGCAGAGGAAGCCAGCTTACCAATCACTGCCAGAGCAACAGTCAGTGGTCTTAATGCTGAAATTGATTTTAATTTAAAATTTGAATTAAAAGATATATGTTTATTTAATCCACGATATGCAATTATTTAATAAAATATGAAAATCGACAGTTTAGCCATCAAATCAATATAAATGACAAGTGGTTTTATTAGGTCTAATTTGACTATGTATTGATCGACATGCAAGGTCATACAATACATAGTTGTAAAATAATTTGACTTACCTACAAGATATGACACTCAATGTACATACTTTCACCTAAAATTGTTTTGATCTCCAAAGCGGATGGAATAAAGTTTTTTTTTAAAGTGTTGATTTTTTCAACCTTTAGTAATTAACAATTAATTATTCAAATCCAAATTTTACTTTGCTATCATTATTGTATTTTAGCAAAAAATCTTATTTTTTGTCTATAAATTTATTTCTTTATCTTTTTTGATTTAAAATTGCAACTTACTTTCTCTGGCGAATGTCACTGTAAATATGGTACAAAGGCATGCTATTCCTCCTCCCACCATAAATATTAAATGTAGTTTTTTACGCCCTATTCTGTCTAGTAAGAAAATAGTGCACAGAATGCCGGGAAATTCCACAAGGCCCATCAGGAAAAAGTTTAAGTAAAAGTTTCCGATGTTTCCTGCATTCAATGTCACCCCATAGTACGTCATACAAACTGCCAACCTTAAAAAAAATCCCTAATACAGCTATAGGTGGAGAAACATTAACGTTTTTGGTTCTTTATCTCTAAAAGTAAAAAAAAATCTCGTATTCAGTAAATCTGAAATGCTGGATATCATATTTCGTAAAATATAAAGTCGCCAAATGCAAGAAGAGACTAAAACATACACACACGAGAGCTTCTCATCATTACATGTAATACAGGAGCAAGTCCACATCGCTAAAACTTGTCTCTTCCATAACGAATACCCCATGGAGCCACTTACCAGTTGAAACTCAATATAGCTGCTCTAAGACACATTGTCTTGCTTTTGAGAAGGTCCATAAAACTTCCTGTCTTTTCTTTCTTTATGATAAGACTCTTGACACTCTCTGGTGACACCTTGGTTCCGTTCACTTTGGCTATTTTCTGTAGGATGACATTGGCTTCTTCATGGCGACCTTGGCTTATCAGCCATCTCGGGGATTCAGGAACCAACCTTGAAAAACAGAAAGTGAACATGAAATACGTGAAAAGTAGTCAGACCTGAAAAAGTACCAGGTACGTTTTTAAGAGATGAGAGAAATAGACATTATATTTGTCTTACCACCAGTGTGGAATGATAATGAGACAAGACGCTGCGAGTACAATACATGAAATCTGCCAGTCACGTGATAAGTAATATACAACTGTTTGGTACACCAGTCCAAGAGAGAAAAACATGTGCTGGATAGTTCCAGTGTACTTCCTCTTCGATGGTCCAACCAGTTCCTGGCCTATAAAATCGGAAAAAAGACGTATATCTCTTTGACACTATGGTGTGGCTGTAAATAACTATAATAAAGCTTCCATATAATGCAATATTTGTAAAAGATGTAACGTTTTTGGAAACATCTTACCAAGAACATTTGTGCACAGAAAAGCGCCATGATTTGTTGCTCCGATTATGAATTCTAAGACTGTAAAACTGATTATTTCTGGTGCCCAGCTGACTGCAAACGCGCTGACAATAAGCAGCAGGAATCCAATGTACATGCTGATTTTCCTCCCTACCCTTATTTTTTTCAAATGTATATAATATTATTAAATTAAATAGATTGTCTAGAATATAAATTATTAGCATATAATTACTACAGTCAAGCCTCGATAATCCAGGTGCCAATAATCAAGACACTTCTAAGGGGAATTTACATGTACGAGTATATCTACTGATTATAAAAAGGTGTGTTTCAGTTATCTCGACCCTTCATTTTGCTCGCTAACACAAGCGTCCTGATTAACGAAGCTCGACTGTATATGTTATAAAATTCACCATCCCCGCGTTTACTCATATAAAATTTTGCGTTAATGCTATTGATTTTCCAAAAGAAATTTAATTTAAAGTAAAATGCAAGCAATTCCAGTATAACTTGCGGGCCGAAATTTGACAGAAATGAACTTTAAACTTAAAAATTTTATAAAGAAATAATAGTCATTTTTCTCAGTGAGAGTTATCTCTCTTTTCAAAGGGTTAATGTGCTTATTTATAATCGTATAATATTACATAATTTCAAATTTTATTGATAATTTTTAAACTATAAAATGCTTTCTTTCATTGTTAGTACCGGATTTAATGTCGCAGCTGTTGCAGAAAAAACACATAACCCGCTTACGCGGGTTATTTGTTTTTTCTGCAATTGCTGCGATGTTAATTCCCGTACTACCTAACAAAGAAGGACATTTTATTGTTTATATTTATATTTTTATAAAAAATAAATAAATAAATAAATAAATAATCCATTCAAAGTGAATTAACTATGTTAAATTGTATTATAGATATGTATGTCATTGTATGCATAATTGATGGAACAGCCATTCCTTAAGAAATATATGCAGGTGTTGTTTACTGACTGATTAACGGCAATGGTTTTATAAGAAATAAAGAAAATAATATTCAGTGGATTAAAATTTTACCTGAGTACCATATTCAAGAAGAAGAAACTGTCATTTACCTGTCCGAGGACCATCCAAAAACGACGTCACCGACCAAAACACCAAAGTAAAACACCATCCTGGAATGCGACACTAAAATCGCATCGTCACAAACGAGGTTTTGCTATTGAAATAAAAATGAAGTATTCTTAGTATCATTGTTACGTTAGTGTTTAATGCATAACTATCATTTGATGTCCATAACAAATGACTGTAATTATGATCTTAATTAATGTATAAAATCTGATTCTGTACATTAAGTATAATAACGTTTAATGTATACCAAGGAGAGGACTTGCATAGGAATTTATGTGCGCTGTCCAATCCCTTCTTGTTTTGGAAATGAATATTGTTTAAAACAAATAAATAAGGCTATAAATTCAAACTTAAATGGCCAGAAACACTAAGATATAAAAAAAGAACGTTTTTTTCTCAACATAAACGTAAATAATGAATCAAGATACCTCTGAGGTGAACGTTTCTTTGAAAATAGATTTTTCATAGACCCATTCGGAACATGTCTGTAATGTTGCATTTGCACCAATTGTAAAATTTTGAAGTTCCGTCCCGTTATAAGTGTGCATTGAAGCCGTTACATTGAAATTTGAAGCGTATGAATAGAAGTCACACTTGCGGTAACTTCCTTCAGAGTCTCTCGGAATAGACATATCCACCAATCGCTGATGCTCACTATTCTGGATAGAGTATGTATCCCCCGGATAGTCGGTAAGTTTGCATCTGGAAATAGTTAAATATAGAATAATTATTTTAAGTCTCATGATTATAAGTGTAGATAGTTTTTGATTTATTTTTATTAAGCTCTGGTGGTACAGAAGAACTTCAGACTGATGTTGAGGGGTTTTCGCCTCAGATTAAAAAGAGAAATTAAAAATGTAAATTATGAATAACCATAGTAGATCATAGCATTCAACGATGTAGCTGAAATTTAATTTTTCAAAGATCTTTAAAAAAAAATATCAATGTATAATAGAACAATGACAACATAATGAATGATTTATTTGGATTTGGCAATTATATAATAAAAGATTTCAAATTTTGTCATACATGTAGCCATGATAATTTAAAATTTAAATCGACACAGTATGACACAGAATAATTTGAAACACGAATATTTGTTGGATGGTACTGAGATTTTTTTCTCCGAATAATTTTCTCTTTTATCTTATCTTTTTTTCTGAAAATGATGTACGCACTTGCGTATAGGCACTTACGCGCCTGATAGAAGCTGGAACAGTGAGTAAATAATACATATATTACTAGGGGGTATCATTTTGATTTTATTTGCATGTGTATTATATATTGATGAGTGATACATGATTTTTGATTATTAATATATTTTATTATCATGTACCGGTACAAGTATCATTCCTTGTCTTAGTCTTGACTTAGAAGAGGGTAGATATTGTTTCCCGATCCTAAATCAACAATATAGGAGTACCAATTATCTGAAGAGGAAAAAAAATGGCCGACCTCAGATTTCCCTTGTAAAGATGCTTTTTTTCCCCCTTTTTTTTTTAATTGCATTGGGGTGTTTATGTGTGTGTGTTTTTGTTTGTTTGTTTGTTTTTTGGTTATTACTTTTTTTTTTGCTTTGTTTGTTTGTTTCATTTTTTTTTGTTTGGTTGTACCACATTTAGTAGAAATTCATGTTTGACGTACTATGTCTTCGAGTAAATGTTGTTACTTGTATATTCTTTGTGTCGAATTTTATATAAAATAAAAAAATATTCCTATAATCAACATATACATGTTGTTTCTTCTGACGTGCTTATTTTTACGCATGATTTATATTTTATCATTAGATAAAGTAATTTTTAAACAATTAATCAAGGAACCGCAAAAATTCTTTGAAGCACGAAATATTGTTGTCCACGAATACATAAATCACATGTATAGGCACGATGTATGGCCCTGACACTTGATTTATTTATAAAGAAATAAGGACGAATATCATTAATGTACGAAACTGATAATGACACGCTAAGTTTTTATGCAGGAAAATCCAAAGTAACAAAAACAAATTATATATATATATATATATATATATATATATATATATATATATATATATATATATATATATATATATATATATATAGTTTTTTGTTTTGTTTTTTTTTTATATTGAATTTGTTTACTGACGCCTTGGTAACCCGAGAGCAGCATTGATAAGTAGCTCTCATTCACTGTGATGGCTGTGTATCGGTTTAAATTTATGAAAACGTTTCTTCAGTTTACATGATTTGATTAATGAACATCTCGCTGTCTCCAGACGGTGTAATTCTATACATCTGGCGATAAATCAATAAACTTCATTATGTCAATTACAATATTCACTGAATAACAGATAATATATAGAATATTCATAATTTCCTAGCATTTATTTTGAAAATATTTAGCCGGTTTGTTATTAGACTTTGTCCGTGATTTGGTACAGACTTTGAATTACCTAGCTACCCATCAATTATTCGAAGTAAATGTTGCATATTTATGCCCTCGGATCGAAAGATCCCGGGGGTATATTGTTTTTGTCCTGTCTGTCTGTTTGTCTGTTTGTTTGTCCGTTTGTCTGTTTGTCTGTCTGTCTGTTGTCAACTTTAACCTTGCCCATAACTTTTGATTGGTTGGAGCTATGACTTTCATATTTCACATGTGTATTCCTTGTGACAAGACCTTTCTTTGGGTACCATCATATTTGACCTTTTGACCTTGACCTTGGAGTTTGACCCACTTTTGCAAAATTTTATGAGACTTTAACCTTGGCCATAACTTCTGAACAGTTGGAGCTTGGGGTTTCAAACTTCACATGTGTATTCTTTGTGACAAGGCCTTCTTTTGGATACCAACAACTTTGACCTGTTGACCTTGACCTTGGACTTTGACCTACTTTTGAAAAACTTTAACCTTGGCCATAACTTTTGAACAGTTGGTGCTTAGGGTTTCAAACTTCACATGTGTATTCCTTGTGACATGACCTTCCTCTGGATATCAACCACTTTGACCCTTTTGACCTTGACCTAGGAGTTTGGCCTACTTTTGAAAAACTTTAACCTTGGCCATAACTTTTGAATGGTTGGAGCTAGGGCTTTCATACTTCACATATGTAATTCTTGTGACAAGACCTTCCTTTGAATACCAACGACTTTGACCTTTTGACCTTGACCTAGGAGTTTGACCTACTTTTGAAAAACTTTAACCTTGGCCATAACTTTTGAATGGTTGATGCTAGGGCTTTCATACTTCACATATGTAATCCTTGTGACAAGATCTTCCTTTGGATACCAACCACTTTGACCTTGACCTTGACGTTTGACTTTTATTTAAAAAACTTTAACCTTCACCATCACTTTTGAACAGTTGTATCTAGGTCTTTCAAATTTCACAGGTGTTTTCCTCGAGACAAGATCTTTCTTTGGGTATCAACATTTTTTATCTTTTGGCCTGGATTTTGACTTGCATTTGAGAAACTTTAACCTTCGACATAAGCTGCCATACGGGGGCATCAGTGTTTCACAAACACATCTTGTTGTACATGTAATTATATTGATTTGCATCTTGATGATTCCCATCTCACATGAAACTTACGCAAAATTTTATGTTAAGTTTTTGTCATTTTCAGTCAAATGTACAGGGAAATATTATTTCAGAGCTCTCTTGATAAATGTCTGTCTTTCTAAAAGAAGCAGACATCTTGACCTGAAATGATTAGAATTTGCTTTATAAAAAGTACATTGACTCCTCAAGGTGATTGAACTGAACCGATATTGACCAAGAAATGGGACGTCATATTTTCCCCCGAATATGGATTTATTCAAATATATACACTTGCCATTTTCTGGCACGGTCAATAACATTTCACTGTACATCTAACAGATTCTAAATATGTCAGTTAAAATGCCAGAGAGAGGTGACATCTGAGGTTAGACCAGACCTGTCCGGGATTCAAACCCGCAACAAAAAGCTTCTTGTCTATATCCATGCGTGGATTTAGAGGGGGGTTGGGGGGCGCCCCCTCCCCCTGGAATTTGTAGAGTTATTAAAAGTATATACTGAAGCAAATAAAAAATGACTTTGGACCCCACTAGAATATGTGAATATTTGAAGTACTTGTGGTTTATTTGTTTGTTTACCAATTGACGCTGCATCTGTTTTTCTCTGCGAGTCGTCAAAAGATGCCTGACAGACAAAAGCAGTGTCAGAAAAGAATTCTTTAAAGGGGGGGGGGCTTTTTGTCTTCCTTTTCGAAATATGAATTTGTAAATTTCTTGCGAATTTATGATTGCTAATTTTCTTTAGATTTCATATTCAAACATACGATATTAAATCCCCTCCCCTTACCCCTATTCTAACAGTAAAAACCGAGGGGTCAGAATTTATAGAACAGTAAAAACTGAGGGGTAAGAATTTATAGAACAGTAAAAACTGAGGGGTAAGAATTTATAGAACAGATGCAAAGAGAACGTGTTTGAAGGCTGTTCGTTATCTGAGCACTGAGATCTTCAATTAAAATTAATCGGATTTTGATAGATAATGGTTCGTATTCAGTTTTACGTAACCATTTCTACAATTCAATATTAAACAATCTTCAATGCTCAACAATTGAGAATAATGCAGAAATTATCACTTGCAGTGTCTAATGGTCAGAAGGCCCATGACCATTTCTAATCTTATTCTCGTACACAGAATGCAGATGCTTAGCTAACATATTTTGGAGTAAAATTACAATTGTAATTTTAAATAAAAAGTTAAATAAAATGTCCCGTCTAGAAAATAAAAACAAAACAAAAATTGTCGATTTGCTATTTATGAAATAGACTAAATTTTATCAGTTTTTAAAGTGGCTACAAAACAAGTGTATGGACAAAGAAGAAATAATATTGATACCTGTAATTCGGTGTTTCCATGACAAAAACCAAATGCATCATGAATAATCCACACGCAAAGGAGGGAATGCATAAAAGAAAATACACAAACTTTTGATATTTTCCAAATTCTCCAACATCTTTAAGAATATCGTCAAACTTCATGTCGATTTCAAACTCCGATTTAATTTACGCGATCTTCGAAGATGATACGGGTTTTATGTCAAAATGAGGTCACATGATTACGAATGAATGAATGCGTGCATACGCGCGTAGTAAGCGTTGAATTGATATAGCTAATGTAGTGTGGTGAAAGGTGAAGGTATTTGTACAATAAACATACACAAGCGCACTTTCAGAGACCTCAAGTATTTTATGGCCACTGGGTATAATTTATTTAAAAATAAGCGTAGGAAAATTATCCCAAAATTGCATTTATAACAGAAGTGAAAAGTGGAAATGACAACCGCGTGTATTCCTGGTTCCAATGAACATTTTACATGTTTTATATCTCTTGGAAAATCGTCAATTAATAAACATTTTGATCATAATTAGGAACTTGCATCTACAAGAATTGTCTTTCATTTTTAAAATATCTTCTTCTTTTTTCTACTTTTTGTACTTTCTGTGAAGTAGAACTGGTTTAATTATCCCCCTCCCTCTTTTTTGTCCATATTGTATTGACACTGACCTTCCCAATTCGTTATTAGGTCGGTAACAAGAATATTGGCATTTTCATGACCTACAAAAGCTGTTGCACATTTGGAGTCAGTAGCTCGGATCTTATCATAAGCAAATTTGAAATGACACGTGTTATCTCGTGAGTTGAGTGGGTCAGTCGTCAGTGCCCAGTATCAAGTGTGCTTGAGAGTTTTAGTAGATTTGAACATATGAAGTGCTATTGATTAAAACATATTCCATATGCTGTATACTAATTTTACACACACGCAACTTAATTGATGAAGTTTGTTGGGGGGGGGGGGGTTATTTTGTAGCACCTTTACAGTAACCCCCACACCCGTGAAAAAAAAATCTGTACACGTCTGAAAAGTTTTATTTGTTTTATTTTATCATAATCGTTATTATTTAATTTTCCTTTAAAAGCTATAATGATGTTAAGGAATTTAAACGATATCAGTACAACATTCCCGCTTGTTCCTCTAAACCAAGTGTCAAACGAATCGTGTTAATTAATGTATATAAAAAAAGCATGCATGGTATCATCTGCCGTATTTAGATCTGTATCTATGGTGAAATGGTCAAGGAGAATCTAGTGTGCTTTGTTTTAGCTGTTTACTTAAATATTCCGTTAGACTTAGACCCACAATGAAGTTAGGATAAGGGCAGAAAAAATATACGCAGTTGGCAAAATAAGTTATGCTGGTGCATAATCTTGTGACTCTTCTGGTGATGTTTTGCAGTAAATGCTTTAAATAGTACATTATTATCTTATTCCTTTACACGTCAACAATGATACCGTAATCCCTGTAATAAACAAACCCTTCTCTCATACACTAGTATATATTTCATACGCTAGTGTATATATTCAATAAATCAAGCTTGATCACCAATATTAAGCATAAAAGGAAATATGCATCTTGGTCATTATCAACAAACGCAGATGTGTTCATAATTCTAACATACTTGTGACGAAAGATGTGCTAACATAATGAGATTTTCTTTTCAGAGTTACTTGTAACAAAATGCTATCATCGAACACCCTCGGTTAATATACAAAGCTTTGATCATTTCCTTTTTTCCACAGGAGGGAGAAACCGATATTTGCTGTTTCTAGCAATGGCAAAATAAGGACGCACATAAAACTTAACTGATCAATTCCATTGTATTTTTTAAATATGCACTGTGGAACTGTGCAGGTCAGTACATGCACAGGACATTGTATGTTAATAAAAATTTCAGCCTCAAATGCAGGTGTAAAAAAGGGTAAATCATTAATATTATTATGAAATAATAAGTTTCTTTCGCGAATATATACATGTAACATGAAGTATGTATATACTAGTAACGAACTACGGTAATGTGTGTGCGAGAGAGATGAGAAGATTCTTCTGATCTTGTAATTACTGACCGATATCTGATGAGGAAATAGCAGGCTGTATTCATCAGGATACCGCTGGACAATGGCCATCCAATGTCCTATCCTACAGGGAAAGATAATGTTATCATAATAAGGACGAGTAAAGGAAGCTGGCTTGATCGGAGTGACCAATAGCGTTTACTACGGGTCATTAGAAACAAGCGAGTTCGGTGCCTTTGGGATGGAGAAGTACATTACAAGTGAACCATATGTGTATTATCTTGTTTATTTTTACAAGGTTTACAGATATCTCTCTCTCCCTCTCTCTCTCCGTGTGTGCGTGTGTGTGTGTTTGTTAACCGTGGATAATAAATTCTATTCAAGCAGGACTTTCAACAAAAAAGAACTATTTTTTGCTACATATTAAGAACATTTTTTAGTTTGGGTGTAGAATTTTTTTTCCACATCCAGTTTAGATTGACCTCGTGTATGCTTTATCTCGGTGGTGTTCTGGTATAAGGTGATCTGCATAGATCTATAATTGTATGTGATACTTAACCTCAAAATGTCTAACATCAGAAACAGTTTCAAAGGGGTAATTCAGGGGGGGGGGGTCATGGGATTTCTAAATTGACATTAAAATTAAAAAAAAGAAAAGAAAAGAAAAACCCTATACCTAAGTAAGATCGCATCTCTCACCTGATTTTTGTTCATCTCCCAAATTTGCTTCTATGGTTTTAGCTGGCAAATTAAAATTTGGTTGGAACGAAAAAAGAAATAATTATAACGGACAAGTCAATTTTTCATGTGGATATTTAAAGCACATTTTTTATGAGTACAGTACCATGAGACATTCCAAAGTACAATCCGACATTGCATTCAATCATTTTCTAACGAATATTCCTCATATATCTGGGTTTTTATATATAAATATTTCTTCGTGATGTACTAAAGCTATTTATAGTAATTATTTTTTTTCGGATTTCTTAACTATTTCTATCTAAAAACCAAAACAGCAATCAAATAGAGGAAATATATACATGTATATATACCGGGTATACTTCTCTGGAATCTTGCATCACAAATGCCTTGTAATGCACATGCATCTCAATTTTTGTGTAGAAACTTGTTATAATTAAATACTTCAATCACAAATTTCAAATTTTGGGGGAAAAAATACACAATTCTGACGTTCTTATCTGAACATATTTCGGAATTGATATTTCCCTAACAAAATGTTTCTGCTTTTACAATGAATCATCTGAATCAATTGAGCGATTAAACTAATATATTGTAAAATATATAATTGAAGTGTGCTCTTGAATTTGATGGCGTATCCAATACAAACCTGAACTCATTGATATTGGCAAAATTATGATTTTAAAATTACTTTTCGTTGCAGTTTGTTTATTTCTCGTGTCTGTACAAAGAGTAACTGGTGAGTTGCATGCTTGTTGTAACAGATTTTCCAAATCCAAACTATACATGATGTATCTGATTACGATAGGGAAGTATTTATTTACACTGTAAATAAACTGTTCATAAAAATATTCAGACTCTGTCACATGCAGTGGTTTTAGATATATCAAAATATGCTTTAGATCATGATATGTGCACATTTTAAGGTTTTCTTTGTTTTTGAAATTTTAGGGGATTTGATCCATAAGCTGCGTGAATATGATATTGTTAGTGATTTTGAAATACACAGTAGATCAGAGAGAGATGTCACAGGAATGTCAGTATCAAGAAAGAGGGTAAAATTTACTGGACTTGGCAGGTTAGTTAAAAATTAATATGTTGACTGTGCGACCGCTTGGGCAAGTGCAGATACCTAAAAGTTTTAATTTAGATCCGTCTCATCTATCCGCACTTGACATCAGGGTTGGCAAAAAACTGGGAAATACTCGTATTTCCCAGGACGGTGGGAAATACTGGTAATTACCGGGAATTACTGGTATTTCCCGGGAAATACTGGGAAATAAGAAATAGGTACATATTCTATTCATATTGACATGTAGTACACCTTATTGGCTAAGATATCTACCTGGTATCACTGTTCCCGATTTAAAAAATTCTGGTTTCCAAGTAATTCAATTTATATACATGTAATCATAACACAGTATATTCATATACCAATCATGAGTGCTTGAGTCAGATGTAGTCTATAAAGGTCCATGAAATGAACACAAAGATCCCAATTGGGTTTTTATGTAACAAAAGAAGGATCTAAGAAAATTCTTAAATGTAGAGTATGGTATGAATATCAAATCTGAGAAGAAGCCTTTAGTTTTACTCAAGGTAATTATCTCTCAAAACAGGAGCACAAAACTGTCCACAGCAATTTTTTAAAACAACATGATTGTTTGTAATAACTACAGTGTTTATAGAAGGATGAAAACAAGTTTTTTTTTTGTTGTTCTTGGATTTATAATTAATAAACTTAATAATTTTACAAAGCTGAAAAGAAACTTGAATTGAAAAACTTCAGTTTTTGTACAGCCAGGGGAAATGTTTCAGAATGCTTTTGGGTATGGGACCTGGAGTAGGTGATACATTCTGAATATGTTATATAGCAATTTGACACATATTCCATATTATTCATCTTCTGTTTTTATGTTTATTTTATTTTTAAATTATGTATAAGATTGAATGAATTAGAGAAATAAAAAACTCTAATAACTTAGTATTTCCCAATATTTCCCAGTTTAGAGAAAATTTGTAGTATTTCCTGGGACGGGAAATACCGTTATTTACCTCTGGTAATTCCCACCACTGGTATTTCCCGGCCAACCCTGCTTGACATTTGGTACGTCTAGACTCTGACGTCACATGATGTCATATATAAGTTGCATTACCAAACCAAAGCCTGAACAATGCTAATTTTAGATAAAGAATGTTTAATCTGCTATTTTATCTGCAATATTCTTTAAATCAAGGTGAGTTTTATTTTTTTTTTAACTTTTGTTGTTACTGTGAGAACGTAGTTTGTGGCAAGATGCAGTAAGCGTTGCATTGTGGGTCCAGAGGTCACTGCAGAAAAAAATGCTCGCTATAAACTGTAACTAATTATTTCCAAAAAATTACAAGTGTATCATAATGCATTTTGTGTATCATGCTATAATAATGACTGTACATGTATCTCAAGATTATCCCAGCCATAACATTACATGTATTTTGTATTACTGCTATGGCCAGAACAGTTGTAAAGAATACTTGAGGAACAAGGCTAATTCTCGTCATCATTCTAAAAAAAAATTATCATTGACAATCATACAATTCCTGAACTTTAAATGAAATTTTCAGACATTTATTTTATTGCCCAAAGTGTTGTCTCATTAAAGTGGTTTATGTGTACAATGTACATAAAGTCAGAGAACAGTGACTATTTTCTCTAGTCATTTTCAGCCAAGTATAGGATTTAGTATTGCTACAATTCTTAGAATGGTCCAGATCTCTAACTGATCCCACCCATGAAAGTTTAAGTAGCCATAAACTCTCTTTCCTTATAATAAGAAAATATGCTATGTAATTATTGAATATCTAAATACTGTAGATTCCTAAATATATGCGAGAATTCATTTATCACGTAATTTTGCAAGAAGCACTACTTGCAAAATAATTTCTCACTTTTATCTTCATTGTGCTGAAATCCATGTAAAATTCTCTAGATCAACTGTCCACTGCCAATTATTGTTCTCATGATTTGACATCTAAGGGCCATTTCACGATATTAAGTACTCGCGTAAAATAAGGAATCTACAGTATTCAGCCTATGTCAATGATATCCAATTATCCATCTTGTTCTCTGAATGTTATATAAATCAAAATGCAGTTTACTTTTTTTGTACTTTCATTTCTTATAGTGAGTATAGCTATTAAATATTTCATATGCTAAATTTTTTTCAGAAATTTTTCTATCAGCTTAACTCCAGTGGTGGGATTATTTACCAGTGATTTTAAAGCAGTAATTGATGATGGAAGTGGAAGAAGAACGCCATTCATGTTCAATAAAAATAACTTTTTTGAAGGCTTGCTAGATGGTAATCATAAAATGAATTTCTGTATGTTATCAGTATTGCATATAGTTGCCTGTTTACGAAAAATATTCCTATTAAAAGTTTTTTAAACTGAAATGTTTTGAATTTTAGGGGACAAGAAGAGTAAAGTTCATGCTTATTTTGATGAAGAGGACAATACAATGACAGCCTCCATAACATCAGAGGGAGAGGATGTCGTGGTAGAGGTAGAGAATTACATAATATATCATAAACGGGGGGTGGTAGTGGTAAAAATAGGGAATTATAAAACATCAGAGGGGGAGGATGTAGTGATAGAGGTAGGGAATCATTTAACATCACAGGGAGAGAATATGGTGGTAGAGGTAGAGAATCATTTATCATCAGAGGGGGGATATGATGGTAGATGTAGGGAATTATTTATCATCAGAGAAGGAGGATATGGTGGTAGAGGTAGTGAATCATTTATCATCAGAGGGGGGATATGGTGGTAGAGGTCGGGAATTATTTGTCATCAGAGAAGGAGGATATGGTGGTAGAGATAGGGAATTATTTATCATCAGAGAGGGAGGATGTAGTGGTAGAGGTAGGGAATTACTTAACATCATAGGGGTAGAATGTAGTGGTAGAGGTAGGGAATTATTATCAGAGAGGGGAATGTAGTGGTAGAAGTAGGGAATTATTTATCATCTAAGGAGGAGAGGGTAGAGGTAGGGAATTATTATTATCAGAGGGGGGGATGTAGTGGTTGGGGGAGAATGTGGTGATAGGGGTAGGAAATTTTTTATCACCAGAGGGGGAGTATATGGTGGTAGAGGTATGGAATTATTTATTATCAGAGAGGGAGGATGTAGTGGTAGAGGTAGGGAATTATTTATTATCAGAAGGGGAGGATTAAGTGATAGAGGGAGGAAATAGTGGTAGATGCAGGGAATTATTTATCATCAGAGGGGGAGGATATGGTGGTAGAGGTATGGAATTATTTATCATCAGAGGGGGAGGATATGGTGGTAGATGAAGGAAATCATTTATCATTAGAGGAGGGGGATAAGGTGGTAAAGGTAGGGAATTATTTATTATCAGAGGGGGAGGATATGGTGGTAGATGTAGGGAATTATTTATCATCAGAGGGGGAGGATATGGTGGTAGAGGTAGGGAATTATTTATCATCAGGGGGGAGGATATGGTGGTAGATGAAGGAAATCATTTATCATCAGAGGAGGTGGATATGGTGGTAGAGGTAGGGAATTATTTATTATCAGAGGGGGAGGATATGGTGGTAGAGGTAGGGAATTATTTATTATCAGAGGGAGAGGATATGGTGGTAGAGGTAGGGAATTATTTATCATCAGGGGGGAGGATATGGTGGTAGATGAAGGAGATCATTTATCATCAAAGGAGGGGGATATGGTGGTAGAGGTAGGGAATTATTTATCATCAGAGAGGGAGGATGTAGTGGTAGAGGTAGGGAATTATTTAACATCATAGGAGTAGAATTTAGTGGTAGAGGTAGGGAATTATTTATCATCAGAGGAGGAGAAGGTAGAGATAGGGAATTATTTATCATCAGAGAGGGAGGATGTAGTGGTAGAGGTAGGGAATTATTTAACATCATAGGGGTAGAATGTAGTGGTAGAGGTAGGGAATTATTATCAGAGAGGGGAATGTAGTGGTAGAAGTAGGGAATTATTTATCATCTAAGGAGGAGAGGGTAGAGGTAGGGAATTATTATTATCAGAGGGGGGGATGTAGTGGTTGGGGGAGAATGTGGTGATAGGGGTAGGAAATTTTTTATCACCAGAGGGGGAGTATATGGTGGTAGAGGTATGGAATTATTTATTATCAGAGAGGGAGGATGTAGTGGTAGAGGTAGGGAATTATTTATTATCAGAAGGGGAGGATTAAGTGATAGAGGGAGGAAATAGTGGTAGATGCAGGGAATTATTTATCATCAGAGGGGGAGGATATGGTGGTAGAGGTATGGAATTATTTATCATCAGAGGGGGAGGATATGGTGGTAGATGAAGGAAATCATTTATCATTAGAGGAGGGGGATAAGGTGGTAAAGGTAGGGAATTATTTATTATCAGAGGGGGAGGATATGGTGGTAGATGTAGGGAATTATTTATCATCAGAGGGGGAGGATATGGTGGTAGAGGTAGGGAATTATTTATCATCAGGGGGGAGGATATGGTGGTAGATGAAGGAAATCATTTATCATCAGAGGAGGTGGATATGGTGGTAGAGGTAGGGAATTATTTATTATCAGAGGGGGAGGATATGGTGGTAGAGGTAGGGAATTATTTATTATCAGAGGGAGAGGATATGGTGGTAGAGGTAGGGAATTATTTATCATCAGGGGGGAGGATATGGTGGTAGATGAAGGAGATCATTTATCATCAGAGGAGGGGGATATGGTGGTAGAGGTAGGGAATTATTTATCATCAGAGAGGGAGGATGTAGTGGTAGAGGTAGGGAATTATTTAACATCATAGGAGTAGAATTTAGTGGTAGAGGTAGGGAATTATTTATCATCAGAGGAGGAGAAGGTAGAGATAGGGAATTATTTATCATCAGAGAGGGAGGATGTAGTGGTAGAGGTAGGGAATTATTTAACATCATAGGGGTAGAATGTAGTGGTAGAGGTAGGGAATTATTATCAGAGAGGGGAATGTAGTGGTAGAAGTAGGGAATTATTTATCATCAAAGAGGAGAGGGTAGAGGTAGGGAATTATTATTATCAGAGGGGGGGATGTAGTGGTTGGGGGAGAATGTGGTGGTAGGGGTAGGGAATTGTTTATCATCAGAGGGGGAGTATATGGTGGTAGAGGTAGGGAATTATTTATTATCAGAGAGGTAGGATGTAGTGGTAGAGGTAGGGAATTATTTATTATCAGAAGGGGAGGATTAAGTGGTAGAGGGAGGAAATAGTGGTAGATGCAGGTAATTATTTATCATCAGAAGGGGGGGGGGGATATGGTGGTAGATGTAGGGAATTATTTATCATCAGAGGGGGAGGATATGGTGGTAGAGGTATGGAATTATTTATCTTCAGAGGGGGAGGATATGGTGGTAGAGGTAGGGAATCATTTATCATTAGAGGAGGGGGATAAGGTGGTAAAGGTAGGGAATTATTTATTATCAGAGGGGGAGGATATGGTGGTAGATGTAGGGAATTATTTATCATCAGAGGGGGAGGATATGGTGGTAGAGGTAGGGAATTATTTATCATCAGGGGGGAGGATATGGTGGTAGATGAAGGGAATCATTTATCATCAGAGGAGGTGGATATGGTGGTAGAGGTAGGGAATTATTTATTATCAGAGGGGGAGGATATGGTGGTAGAGGTAGGGAATTATTTATTATCAGAGGGAGAGGATATGGTGGTAGAGGTAGGGAATTATTTATCATCAGGGGGGAGGATATGGTGGTAGATGAAGGAGATCATTTATCATCAGAGGAGGGGGATATGGTGGTAGAGGTAGGGAATTATTTATCATCAGAGAGGGAGGATGTAGTGGTAGAGGTAGGGAATTATTTATCATCAGAGGGGGGGGGGGATATGGTGGTAGAGGTAGGGAATTATTTATTATCAGAGGGGGAGGATATGGTGGTAGAGGTAGGGAATTATTTATCATCAGAGGGGGAAGATATGGTGGTAGATGTAGTGAATTATTTATCATCAGGGGGGAGGATATGGTGGTAGAGGTAGGGAATTATTTATTATCAGAGGGGGAGGATATGGTTGTAGAGGTAGGGAATTATTTATTATCAGAGGGGGAGGATATGGTGGTAGAGGTAGGGAATTATTTATCATCAGAGGAGGAAGATATGTTGGTAGAGGTAGGGAATTATTTATCATCAGAGGGGGAGGATATGGTTGTAGAGGTAGGGAATTATTTATTATCAGAGGGGGAGGATATGGTGGTAGAGGTAGGGAATTATCTATCATCAGAGGAGGAGAAGGTAGAGGTAGGGAATTATTTATCATCAGAGAGGGAGGATGTAGTGGTAGAGGTAGGGAATTATTAATGTTATGTGGTCCAGTTGGTTAGGTAGCCTAGAATTTAGACAAGAACTTCAGTGTGTGATGGACTTAGGTTTAAATTCTGTCTGTCCCATTCATTTTATCTAGAAACCAGAAGAAAAAGTTATATAGTTGATATTTTCTAGTCATTATACATGTATGTTTAAGAGTTAGAAAAGTGATTGTTACCCTAATTATGCAGTACCTATTGTTCAGTTTTCAAGAATTTAGATATGAGTCCATGTGTTCATTAGCTTTAAATTTAAAATAATTCAAAATCTCTCAATATTAAAATACTTAGTAATTTACTTACAATTTTTATTTCTTCCAGTAACAGTGTATTATATTTCATACATCCAGAATACCTCAATTATCAGTAGCAGGAAATCAGAATTGTATTCCTATTTGTCTTTACTAGCCTGAGTGGAGACATGCAAGGACCAGAAAGAAAGGATCCAATATGATTATTTATGCAGTCAAAGATATGAAATGGCCAAACAGTGGTACAAACTCCAGTGGGTCAGTACATATAAATATATAGAGTTATAATGGAACTCCCAAACAACTACTGTAGTTTTTGATTCTGTGGAAAAAGATTGATTTGAAAGGAGTATTGGATCTAGTTATCAAAATTTACAAAAATGGTTCAGTGGTAGTATTATAAGAAGTTTAATTTTTTCTTCCTAGAGTAACTGTATGTAAACTCATATTTTTACCAGTGAACGTAGTGTATTTAGATATTTTTTTACTACTTTTTTTTTCTTTTTTTTTTTTTTTTTTTTTTTACAGATTTGAGTATTGTGGAGCTGTGCATGGACAAGAGCTGCACAATCCTCAAGAAATCAAGTTCTCTAAACACATGGAAGGTCAGTTTTTCTTAAACATGATATGCCTAATCATATAGAGTTGATATCAAAATTATTAGTGCATTGAGCTATGTTGTACTTAGTTATATAACTTATCTGCTTTTTTTATTGACAGATAACGAGCATCATAGAAACAAGCGAGCAGCCAATGTAAACTGTCGTCTGATCACAGTAGCAGACTACAAATTCTACCAGAGTATGGGAAACAGCAATAAGTATACTACAGCTAATTACATGGTAATTAATAATTTACATAGGGATGCTGCAATATAGAACTAACTCTAAACCTTAACACTACATCAAAAATGTAAACAATTAATTTCTGCCTTTTTTTCATCAGATGTTGTACATTAATATCCATATTCAAACAAATATCAGGTATTTGTAAATCATTAATCCCTTTCTTGTATTTGTTATTAGGCCAGTGTTATTGACAAAGCTAATCTGATCTACAGAGAGACAAATTTTGCTGGATATACAGGGCTGGGTTTTGAAATTGCAGAAGTAAGTGACTGAAGTATTTGTTATATGTACTGGTGAACATCTCACTGTCACAAAGCATAGACTAGCCATCTGAATCTGTGGTGATGATAGTAAGTGATTGATTTACTGTACATGCACGCCTTCTATAGGGACTTGATTCAGAAATCACTGTGTAGTTTGTTGGGTATGCCAGGGTATCAACGACAGTTGTAAATGTGGGATAATTTGCATAATGGACAAAACCCATTATGCATAAATTTTGTAACAGTTCCAAACTGGCAAAATTTACATTCAGTTTTAAATATCATGAAATCAGCACTCTTAATTTTCAAAGAGTTATCACAGAGAAAACAGTTTGAAATGTAAATATTTAAGGCTGTATGTTATTAAGAGTTACTTCCCTTGAGCACACTCCTTGATGTTTCAGATGATTATAATGACTGCCCCTACAGTTGTTAGTAATGGAATACTGCATTACAACATGCAAAATGGTCCCTGGAGAAGCAACACAAAAGGCCTCCTTGATGTAAGTAATTATTATGTCTTGAGTATTTCTTTCAATTTTTTTCCTCCTCTTTAAGGGAAATGTTTCATTAATAGAAATTTACGTGGAACAATATGGAAGCAACATAATTCCCTCAGTATTTTTACCATCTTTAATAACATTACATGCCTAAATAATTTCTGTACAATATGTTAACATACCCCATTCCTTCCAAGCTGTTTTAAAAAGGATTTCTGCTTTTCTAGATGGTAATTTTTTTTTATTATTTATGTCAAGTGCACCCCCTCCCAAAATATGAATTAAATCACCTTATCTTTGTAAAGTTTCCTGCTTTCTTGAAAGAACTAAATTGATTGCTTTTCATCTTTCATGATTCATATAGACTTTTTCACATATTATATCCATCATCCATGAATTAAATTCTTTATGAATTGTGTTCTTGGCAGAGCTTCAGCAGTCAAGCAAACAAATGGAGTGATTTTTGTCTGGCCCATCTTTTTACTCACCAGCCATTTGACAACAATGTGTTAGGACTGGCCTATATTGCTGGTTCCCGATCAACAGACATTGGTGGCCTTTGCTCTCCTAGTGAGTTTTTATTTTTTTTATTTATTCATTTGAATCATCTAATTAATGCAAGAAAAAAATCAAATTAATTAGCATTATACAATCATTGCTGTTTCTGAGGTTAATACATTGATTTATGATTTATGCCCTTGCTTATTGGCTGATATTTTTAAAGCTGATTAGGAAATGGGTAGTATTTCAGAAATGTGAATTGCAGGTTTTTTAAAATACATCTACATTTTAATTGGATAGCTGTTTGACAGATCCCTGGTTGATGCCTAATACATGTAACCCATTGTCATGTATTTTGTTTGTTTTTAAACAAATCAGTATAGAGCAAAAGATTTTTTAGAATCTGATGAAATTAAGAAAAGAAACACCTTGATGAAATTCAAAATATTGAGTCATATACATTTAACAAAATTACTTATTCAGTGTAGTTTGTGATGATGATCTTAATATGACTTCTGGAACTATATGAGAAAGGCTATGAAATGAATTCTTTGAGATGCTGCATTGAAATTACTTACTCAGTTTGTAGTTGAAAAGTGTCAAAAAATAAAAAGCATCAAAGAGCTAGGTTCATTTTATCTATAAAATGGTTCCATTTATAGAGCAATTAATTTTTATCACCTTGTGTTCTGTTTCATACATTTATATAAAGTAGGGACTTTATGCTTTCATTTCTTATAAGAAACTTTCTTCTTAGAGTTCAAGTTTCATGAAATTGCAGTGTTCTTAGGCCAAATAAAAAAATATGTGTGGTTCCGGTTACCCGACCTTCCCTATTTTATACCCCCGACCCTAAACTTTTTTTGGCAATTTTCATATTTTTTCCGGAATTTTCCTCGATTTCCATCAATGACTCCAGTTTAAGTTTTAGTTTCAGCAATGACGGCCTCCTTGCTAAACATAGTTTAATAGTGTTAAATCCAAAGCAAACTAGCATGTAGGTGTCCCCTACCAATATTGACTAGTATATTATCACACCACATCTAAATGCCATTTGCAAAGCAGTGATAGGTATTATTTTTAAAGAAAAAATTAAGAAAATCATTTTGCTAAAAAAAAAAAAAAAAAAAAAAAAAAAAAAAAATTCCCTACCTACCTACCCTAATTTTTTGGGAAGTGTAACCGGAACCACACATATTTTTTTGTTTGGCCTTAAATAAAAAAAAAAATATTAAGAATTGTATACATTCAAAATAGAATTAGAATATGAGCACACCCCTTAATCCAAAAAATAAAGCGTATTTAATTTACTCTAATAATTACAATCAAACATTATATGCTTGTACTTTTTGTATCAGAGGTTTTGCTGTATTGGAAATAATAATAATAAAAAAAAAAAAACCATCTTGCCCATTTTTGAATGATATTATAAGGATATGGGAATAATGGCTTAGTTCCTGATGTCATAATACATTAACTAGCAAGAATATTACATCATGTTTAATAGATATAATCAACAAATGAAGTTTTAAGTGTTGTCAACTTATTTTTAACAGATTTCATTTTTAGCTCACCTGAGCCTAAGGCTCAAGTGAGCTTTTCTGATCGAAATTTGTCTGTTGTCTGTCGTCGTTGGCGTTGTTGTTGTTGTTGGCTTTGTCATCATTGTCGTAAACTTTTCACATTTTTATCTTCTTCTCTAGAACTACTGGGCCATTTTCAACCAAACTTGGCACAAAGTATCCTTGGGGTAAGGGGATTCAAGTTTGTTCAAATGAAGAGCCATGCCTTCTTTCAAGGGGAGATAATAAAGAATTAGTGAAAAATTAATAGCATCTTTTAATAATCTTCTTCTCAAGGACAAGAGGACCAGGAAAGATGAAACTCATGTAGAAGCATCCTTAGGTAGTATAGATTCAAGTTCGTTCAAATCATGACCCCCGGAGTTAGGGAAGGCCAGAATGGAGGATGAAAGTTTTACATAGAAATATATAAGAAAAACCTTTAAAAATCTTTTTCTCAAGAAAAGCAAAGTCATAATGAGTCATATTTATACGGAAGCATCAGGTAGTGTAGATTCAAGTTTATTCAAATCATTACCCCCCGGGGGTAGGGTGGGGCCACATTGGAGGATCAAAGTTTTACATAGAAATATAAAGGAAAAATCTTTAAAAATCTTCTTTTCAAGAACAGCAGAGCCATGATGAGTCATATTTATATGGAAGCATCCTCAGGTAGTGTGAATTCAATTTTGTTCAAATCATGACCCCCGGGGGTAGGGTGGGGCCACAATGGAGGATCAAAGTTTTACATAGAAATATATAGGAAAAAACTTTAAAAATCTTCTTCTCAAGAAAAGCAAAGACATGATGAGTTATATTTATGTGGAAGCATCCTCAGGTAGTGTAGATTCAAGTTTGTTCAAATCAAGACCCCTGGGGGTAGGGCTGGGCCAAAATGGAGGATCAAACTTTTACATAGAAATATATAGGAAAAATCTTTAAAAATCTTTTTCTCAAGAACAGCAAAGCCATGATGAGTCATATTTATATGGAAGCATCCTCAGGTATTGTAGATTCAAGTTTGTTCAAATCATGACCCCTGGGGGTAGGGTGGGGCCACAATGGAGGATCAAAGTTTTACATAGAAATATATAGGAAAAACCTTTAAAAATCTTCTCATGAAAAGCAAAGCCATGATGAATCATATTTATATGGAAGCCTTCAGGTAGTGTAGATTCAAATTTATTCAAATCATGACCCCCAGGGGTAGGGTGGGACCACTATGGAGGATCAAAGTTTTTAATAGAAATATATAGGAAAATATCTACTTCTCAAGAACAGCAAAGCCATGATGAGTCATATTTATATGGAAGCATCCTCAGGTAGTGTAGAATCAAGTATATTATAATGATGACCCCCGGGGATAGGGTCGGGCCAAAATGGGGGATCGAAAATTTTACATAGGAATATAATAGGAAAATATCTTCTTCTCAAGAACTGAAAATTGTGTTAAGTCATTTTGATATGTTAGCATCCTCAGGTAGTGTAAATTCAATTTTGTTCAAATAATGACCCCCGGGGGTAGGGTGGGGCCCAATGGGGGGGGGGGTTAAAAGTTTTACATAAGAACATACAGAAAAAATATTTCTTCTCAAGAACAGAAAAGCTATGTTTAGTCATATTGATATGGAAGCATCCTCAGGTAGTGTCGATTCAAGTTTGTTCAAATCATGACCCCTGGGGTAGGGAGGAGCCACAATGGGGGATTAAATTTTTACGAAATAATATATGAGAAAATTTTTTTTAAAATCTTCTCAAGTACAACAAAGCCATTTGTTATATTGACATGAAAGCAACATCAGGTAGTTAAAAATTCAACCCCCCCCCCCCTTGGTAATCTTTTCAATACTGAACTGATTTGTGCTTTTGCCTAGCCAATGTGCTCAGGTGAGCAATGTGGCCCATGGGCCTCTTGTTTTCCTTCAGTTTACAAAGACATATAAGGGCACTAGTGAACATTGCTTTTTATTTACTAGTCCTTATTTTTGTTAGTTTAAAATTTTTTTTTCCCCAGTAGTATGTATAGATGTATTTCAGCATAAACATATTTTTTTTTTTGGTACTTTTTCCATGTACTTCATTTCCAGCAACATATTTGGGTGGAGTGGAAGTATCTTTAAACACTGGATTCACCAGTACAATGTATTCATCTGGATCAACTGTCCTGTCACGGCAAGCAGAGCTGGTCACTGCTCATGGTGAGTGTACAACTGAAGCTTAGCTACAACTATGGCTTGTCATTTCCTACCTAAGCTACTTACAACTATAGCTTGTCATTTCCCAGCTAAGCTTCTGAGAGCTATGAAGTCTTTTCCCAGCTAGGCCACTAAGAGCTGTAGCTTGTCTTTTCCTAGATAGGATACTTACAACTATAGCTTGTCATTTCCTAGCTAAGCTTCTTAAAGCTACATCTTGTCATTTTTAGCTAAGCTACTTATAGCTATAGCTCATAATTTCCTACATAAACTACTTACAGCTATTGCTTATCATTTCCTAGATAAGCTGTTTACAGATACATGAATATCTTGACATTTTCTAGTTAAGCTGCTCTTAGCCACAGCTTGTCATTTCTTAGCTAAGCTACTTACAGCTATAATCTGTTATTTCCTAGCTAAGCTTCTTAAAGCTTTGGCTTGTAATTTCCTAGCTAAGCTACACAAAGTTATATCCCACCATTATTTCCTGGCTATGCTACTTACAACAATAGCTTATTATTTTGTGTTTGATTTGACAATTAAGTACCTCCTTAAGCTGAATTCTTTTATATGCTGTTTACTAATTTTTTTTTTTTTTTTTTTTTTTTTGATTTTTTTTTTTTTTGGAATTTTCCTTCTGTACCATCAATTTTTTTTTATAGCACCAATGTAATTTCACCATAGAATAAAATCCAAATACACACTTTGCAAAAATCACTCTCTAAGTATCAAATACATGCAATATATGATATAAATTTTTATTTTTTATGTTTCCTACCTGAATTTTGGAATTGAATTGGAATCTGAGCAGAACTTGGTGAGTATAATCACTCTTCAGAATGAAAACCTGAAAGAAATACAGAAATACAGTAGGGAATAAGGACGCTGTTTATTTTTTTTTTTCTTTGACATTCAGGACACAATTGGGGGAGTGAACATGACCCCACCTCAGGGGATTGTGCCCCATTCTCTATATTTGGAGGAAAGTACCTGATGTACCCCTTCTCAGTGTCAGGAGATGATGATAACAATGATGTAAGGTTTTATCGGAATTTAGAAATTTTTTTTCAGTTTGAGTGTTTTTACAGCATAAAGTTGTTTTTATTATGTCATAATGGATGAAATCTATTTCTTTTCAGGAATTTTCCAGTTGCAGTAAAAACTATATTGGTCGAGTTCTAAGTTCAAAGATTGGATGTCTCACCGGTAATTGTTCATTTAATCAAATGAAAGAGCAGATTTTTTTAGAATCTAATTTTAAATAAAGTGAGCTCACAGCTGGTAAAAAAATATTACAACTGGAGAAGAGTTTTCAGATATGTTTTGCTTCATTTAATCTGATGATCCTCTGCCAGTTCCTGAGATGGGATCTGACTCTTCAGATTAAGTTTTTGTAATTAAGACAGATTTATTATAAACCTTCATTGATTTTGAATGTCTTTGACAGAGTCCGTAGCGGTGACTTTGTGTGGTAATGGGAGAATAGATCCAGGGGAGGAGTGTGATGGGGGATACCTGGGGAAGTTTGGTCTAGATGACTGCTGCCTCCAGGATTGTACACTTAACGCTGTCAAAAATGCAGTGTGCTCGTAAGTATGGTATTCCAAGCTGTATACTCAACACTGAAAATAATGCAATCTGTTGTAAGTATTCCAGCTGTAATCTCAACACTGAAAACTCCAGTTTGCTCATAAATACCGGTATTGCATACTCATTTATTATTGACCTTATACATCAGTTATTTTATCATTGAACTTATAAATCAGTTATTTTATTATTGACCTTATACATCAGTTACTTTATTATTGACCTTATACATCAGTTATTAAACCCCACGCAACAAGTTGCGTGAGGTATAATGTTTTTGACCCGTCCGTCAGTCAGTCAGTCAGTCAGTGTGTCAGTCAGTCAGTGTGTCAGTCAGTCAGTCAGTCCGTCAGTCCTGTTCTTTTGTCAGCGCAACTCCTCATAAACCGCTGCACAGAATTTCGTCAAACTTTGCAGATATTTAGGACACAATGTGTAGATGTGCATATTACCAGGAAATTTTGATTCCTTTATTTTTTCTTGGAATTTCGGCACTTTTCAACTTAGATTTTTGGCCATATCTTGAATATAGAGATGAACAGTTTGTCAGCGCAACTCCTCTTAAACCACTGCACAGAATTTGGTAAAACTTTGCAGATATTTAGTACATAGTGTGTAGATGTGCATATTATCAGGAAATTCCTATTCCTTAATTTTTCTGGGAATTTGGGCACTTTTCAACTTAGATTTTTGGCCATATCTTGAATATAGAGAGATGAACAGTTTGTCAGCGCAACTCCTCTTAAACCGCTGCACAGAATTTGGTAAAACTTTGCAGATATTTAGTACACAGTGTGTAGATATGCATATTACCAGGAAATTCCGATTCCTTTATTTTCTGGGAATTTTGGCACTTTTCAACTTAGATTTTTGGCCATATCTTGAATATAGGGATGAACAGTTTGTCAGTGCAACTCCTCTTAAACCGCTGCACAGAATTTGGTCAGACTTTGCAGATATTTAGAACACAGTGTGTAAATGTGCATATTTCCAGGAAATTCCTATTCCATTATTTTTCTGGGAATTTCGGCACTTTTCAACTTAGATTTTTGGCCATATCTTGAATATAGAGATGAACAGTTTGTCAGCGCAACTCCTAGTACACAGTGTGTAGATGTGCATATTACCAGGAAATTCCGATTCCATTATTTTTGCCTGAAGAGTTTTAATGCCTATTATTGAAGAAACTTTCCAACTAGGTAATAAGGAAATCCACTGGAATCAGCTTTTGTAATGAAACTTTATGTGAGATATTTTATGACCTTAAAAGATCCCTATTGATTTTGAGATCAAAATATTAATGATTTAACACACACACAAAATCTTGGATAGTTCTTCCCCCCCCCCCCCCCCATCAAATTGGTGCTTTGCCTTAAATAATTTCATAAGTACAGTATATAAACAAATTCATGAATTATACTGTGTATTTAAAATGCACTGTGCCATTCATTGCATGTTGCATTGTCGAGTTTTGGGGGAGCGTGGGGTATGTGAGCTTGCTCACTTTTTCTTTCATTTTATTATTGACCTTATACATCAGTTATAATTACTTGATAAGTCAAGGTCAACACAGTCTCTTGGAGTGAATTGTTTTCTGGTCCATCATGATTATAGTATACTATGAGGATAACTACATTATGAAACCCATACCTTTTTTCTCATAATCAATGGTATGACTGTAATTCAAAATTTGTACAATGATTGCACAGAGAACAGACTTTGCAAACTTTTTGTTTGTACATTACATATTTGTTTACAGTCCATCTAACTATGGCTGCTGCAGCTCCAGCTGTCAGGTTCAAAGTTCAGGGACTTTCTGCAATGCTGCACAACAGTGTAAAGAAAATGCCTTTTGTGAATATCCTTTACTTGCTACTGTGTGGACTTGGATATAAAAAAATAATGTAATTTGTCAATGACATGAACTTGTTCTAGACACCTGTTAAACAAGAATCATATTTCTATATTTGCATATTCTCTGCACTCACTGGTTGTGTTCATATCACTATGAATGCAACGTCTTCTGCTATGATTGCAGTTTGTTTCTTATACTTCCACAGAAGGGCCTCTACAACTGCATTACTCAGTTAGAAGTATATTTGAAAGATTATGCAAAAGGAATAAATTGTAGTTTTTTTAATGAAAAGCTCCAGAAAAGAAAATTCATTTGATTTAAATAACTGATAGAGGTATATATACAATTTTTAAAATCAATTCCGATCAGTGTATTTAATTGTATGATAAAAGTTTCTCCCAATTAAACAGAGCTGCTATATCTTTAATTCATCTGAACATATTGTGTGTTTATGCATTTCTTAGTTCTACTAAGTTGAAAATTCAAGTGAACTTTTCTGATCACCTGTTATCTGCCCATCCATCTGTTCGTCCGTCCTTCTGTAAACTTTTCACATTTTCAATTTCTTCTCAAGAACCAGAAGGCCAAGTTTAATCAAAGTTTGTACAAAGCATCCTTGGGTGAAAGGGAGTTTAAATTGTTAAAATGAAGGGCCAAGTCCTCTTCTAAGGGGAGATAATCAAGGAAAAACAAAAATAGGGTGGGGTAATAAAAAAATATTTTCAAGAACCACTGGACCAGAAAAAGTTAAAACTTATGTGGACACTTTCTGAGGTAGTGTACATGTAGGTTCTAAATTGTTCAAATCATGGCCCCTGGGGCTAGGGTGGGGCCACAATTGGAAATCAAAGTTTTACATTAAAATATATAGGAAAAATCTTTAAAAAATCTTCTTCTCTAGAACCACTGGGCCAGATAAAATGAAATTCATGTGGAAGCTTCCAGAGGTAGTGTAGTTTATAAATTGTTCAAATCATGCCCCCCACCCCCCACCTCTGGTAGGTTGGGGCTGCAATAGGGAATCAAAGTTTTACATTGAAATACAGTATATAGGAAAAATCTTTAAAAATCTTCTCCTTAAGAACCACTGGGCCAGAAAAGCTGAAACTTATGTAGAAGCTTCCTGGGGTAGTGTAAATTTTAAATTTTTAAAAATCATGGCCCCCGGGGGTAGGGCGGGGCCAAAATAGGGAATAAAATTTTACATTGAAATATATAGGAAAAATCTTTAAAAATCTTCTCATGAACTGCTGGGCCAGAAAAGCTGAAACTTATGTGGAAGCTTCCTGGGATAGTGTAAATTTTTAATTGTTAAAATCATGGCTCCCGGGGGTAAGGTGGGGCCACAATAGGGAATCAAAATTTTACATTGAAATATACAGGAAAAAAACTCTTTAAAAATCTTCTTCTCAAGAATTACTTGGCTAGAAAAGCTGAAACTTATGTGGAAGTTTCCTGAGTTGTATGGATTCTAAATTGTTGAAATCATAGCCCCCCAGGGTAGGGTGGGACCTCAAAAGGAAATCAAAGTTTTACATTGAAATATATTGGAAAAATCTTTTAAAATCTTCCCAATAACCACTGGGCCAGAAAAGCTGAAATTTATATGGAAACTTGCTAAGGTAGTGTAGATTCAAATTGTTCAAATAATGACCCCTGGGGGTAGGGTGGAGCCACAATAAGTATTACAAGGGGGAAAATCTGGTGAAGAACATCAAGGCCAAAGCTCAGTTGAGCATGTGGCCCATGGGCCTCTCGTTGGTACAATATTTAGCATTTTAGAATTTTTCCTTGACCTTCGAACTGGTACCAGTTTAAGTTGCCCTACTGGTGCCAACAAACAGCCTGGAACAGTTTGCACAGGGTAAGTAAAATAAATAAATTTAAAGTATTTCAGAGGCAAAAGATAATGCAATTGCAAATGCAGCGTCAAATGCAGTTGTAGTTTAGTTCAAGAGAGTTTTTCTGATGGTAGTTTGTCTGTCCCTTTGTTTGTACTCCATTAATTTTCCCCATATTCAACTTTGTTAATGTTTCATATTTATACCCCCCACATTTCATATTATGAGTGTCCGTCTGTCTGTCCGTCTGTTAAGCTTTGGAGTACCCGTCTTTTATCCCCAACTCCTCTTATACCACTGAATGAAATTTAATGAGACTTTCACAGAATTTTTGTTACATAGTGCCATTGTGCACTTCTTATTTTACTTTTTGATCATACATATTTTTTTTTGTTTCCAGGAGTAAAACACTGCCTTTCTTTCTATAATATTGAGGGGTACCCATCTCTTATCCCCAACTCCACTTATACCACTGAATAAAATTTATTAATAATGATACTTTCACAGAATCTTTATTACGTATTGCAATTGTGCACATCTAATTTTACTTTTTGGTCTGACACTTATTTTGGGTCTTTCATAATAAAATTTTGGGTCTCCCATAGTAAAACGTGGAAAATCGTGGACACAGTCCTGGGACATTTCATGCCAAACTACTCATCTACTGGCTAGCTTTTTCCATTTGACAGGCCATTATAATTGTATGGGAGGTGGGGGATGTCATTTTGTGAGCTCAGTGCTCACGTTACCTCTTGTTTCAACTTAGAATCACTTGGTGTCACAGAACATTAACATCTGGAAGAACTGGTACTTTATACATATGGTAACCTTAGATGTTCCTTTCTTGCATGAAATAATCTATATATGTCCCAACTTTTGTCAACAATAATCATTAGAGTTGTTCAAAAATAAGACATTTCATCATCTAGAAAAAATACCTATGGTTCTAGGATTTGCTTATAGGACGTCTAATATAGAATAAAATTTAACTCCAAAATATCTGACTTAAATGAGAGTATGGCATTTAGTATCCCCATGAAGCATGAAATCCTCTTTGTTAACACACCCCCCCCCCCTCCCAGCAGACTTGGATGAGCAAGGATACAATTTATAAAGTCTAAGTAGAGCAAATTTCATGTGGCAGTATTATAGGATATGTGTTAATTAAAATCTTCTCAAAAACAGCAGGTCACACAATGTAGCCAAGTATCCTCATGCTGGGAAGCTCAGTCTTGACCTATGGGGCTTGGGTAGGACAAAATAGGTACTCAGGGTTTTACATAGGTTTCGAAGGAAATTAAAGGAAAAAAATTCCTCAGAATCTTTTAGTTACATTAATATTCCAGCATCCTTATGTACTCAAGTCAGTGAATGAAGCTCTTAAAGTCAGAGAAAGGGTGAAAAAGAAATGTGACTAAACTGTGATTGAAGTGTCTGAGTGTTGTGGACCATGAGCTTAGATAAAGGCTTAGCCTAGTTTACTATGAACCTTTTACATTTTGCTGTGTATTCTTTTTAGCGCTTTTGGCGGAAAGCAACTTCCACTAAATCAAGTACAATGGTAAATGTCTTGCGCATATTCACACATAAATAAGAACATTAAATAATGCGCTAAATCAAATTTACGCTAACTTGTTCAAAAGTTTATTTCCACCAAATATCATACACGCTGAAACCGGTCATGGTAGCCTAGTGGTAGGGTGCTCGCTTCGTGATTGGGACGCCTGAGTTTGATTCTCGTTCGCCGCGCCACATCAAACCTAAGACGTAAACAAAGGTAGTGACTTTTTCTTCGCCAAGCACTTGGCACTAGAAGTGAAAGTCACAGGTCCTTCAGATGAGACTTAGCAACTGAGGTCCTGTGTCACAGTAGGCCTTGGCACAATAAAGAACCCTCACTGCCCAATGGCCCTGAGTGCTGAGTATAGGTCTAAATTTGTAGCTCTTCACTGGTATATGGTGACGTCTCTATATGAGGGAAAAAATCTCGAATGGGACGTTAAACAACATACAATCAATCAATCATACATGCTAAATATAATACATTTACAGTAGAAACTAGTTAAGTTCATTGAGGTGAGCTTTGTAATCTTTGATAACCTATAGTTTTGTTGGGTTTTTTGGGATTTGCTTTTCTTTTTATAAAAAAGATTCTACAGTTGTATTTATGTTTCAGTGGATTTTGCAATATTAATGGAAATTGTCAACCTTTCTGTGAATATTATGGTCTGACATCTTGTGTTTGTGCAGGAGGTGAGTGTCGTTATGAAGCTTGTTTTAGTCATAATTAAATCTAATAATACAAACCCAGCTCTAGATAGGCAATACTACTGGGCAATTATATTTGTCATTAGGCCTATACACATGTAGGTATTTTCCATTAGTTTTTAGGTCACCTGAATCACTCAGGTGACCTATTGCTATCCGTTTTCGTCTGTTGTTGTGCGTTAACATTTGAACATTTTTAGCTTCTTCTCTGAAACCACTTTACCAATTTCAACCAAATTTGGCATATAGCATCTATGGGTTAAGGGGATCAAAAATTATGAATTTCATGGTCCCTGCCCCCCTGGGGCCTGAGGGGTGGGGCTAAAACCACCAAAATTAATGCAATCTTTGAAAATCTTCTTCTTTACTCCTGGAAATCAAGCAGTCGAACTGTTGGCATGATAAGCATAGAGCCCTCTACCAAAATTGTGAAATTCATGGCCCCAGGGTCAGGGGTTCTGGTGCTAGGGCAGGGCTATATAGATCATATAGTGAAAGTGCATTATTCCTTTGAAAATCTTCTTCTCTGCTCCTGGGTATTAAATAAAGTAACTAAGTACATAGTTATGAAGAGCAAGAGTGCCTCTTCCAAAATTGTGAATTTTAATGGCCCCAGGGTCAGGAGTTCTGGTGTTAGGGCGGGGCTCTATTGATTATATAGGGAAAATGCATAAATTCTTTGAAAATCTTCTTCTCTGCTCCTGTGTATTATTCAAATAAAGGAAGTGCATAGTTATGATAAGGAAGAATTGTGAAATTCATAGCCCCTGGGTCAGGGGCTCTGGTGAGGAGGGGGGGGGGTGACTATTGATTATATAGTAAAAATGCATAATTTCTTTCAAAATGTTTTTTCTACTACTGGTTATAAAGCAAAGAAACAAGTGTATAGTTATGATGAATAAGGGTGTTTCTTCCAGAATTGTGAGTTCATGGCCCCTGGGTCAGATATTCTGGTGTAAGTGTGGGGCTTTATTTATTTAATAATATAGTGAAAATGCATTTCTTTGAAAATCTTCTATGCTTCTGGGCATATTCAAGACAAACAGAGTAAAATTTTAATATGCAAAGATATTTTTACCAGAATTTTGAACACCTGGACCGTTCTGGTCCTGGCTAGGGCTCTATTAACTTGTATTCTGCTGAGCAAAGTTATTCCCCTTTGCCATTCACCTTTGATAATAAATCACTGTAAACAATGTATTTGAAAAGTCAATAGCATATGAGCATTATGCAAGAATATTTATTGTATAATACAAAAAGTACTTTCATAGTTTTAATGATCAGGTAGACTTGGAAATAATAGATGAATAAAAATGAGACAAAAATAACTTATCTTTTTAAATGTTCTTCAAAGGCCAGTTAAAAATAGACATTTTGTTAATAGTCTGCATGGTAATAGGGATAAATTGGGGACAGATAGATACTAGACCAATTATTTTGTTGATGCAAATCATACTATTTTTCTTGCTTTTGGGCAACAAAGCTTCATTTATCAGTTTATGGATCCTCTAAATTGTTGTATTGTACACGGGTGACCATTAATGCCCTTGGGCCTCTTGCTTTTCATCTTTGTAGTAGAGAAGGATGATTTTTTGCATAAATATTCTGCTGCACTGCAACTTTTGTTGTATATATATGTGGAAACTGAGAGTGCTACAGCATATTTTTGCCCGTTTTTAGAGGCCAACTCCTGCCGGCGGTGCTGTAAATCGTCCTCTGCCTCAACATGTGCTCCCTATAATAACACAGAGTACCTGGGGGACGGTTCACCTTGTTTCAAAGGATACTGTTCTGGGGTAGGTTAGGTTGTAATCTGATGAATGTTTTACACTGTGTAATCAAACATGAATATATATTGATGTGCATTAGGCAAGACATGATTTGCTTGAATGTAAATACTGTACAGACCAACTTTAAAACATGCTCTGACCACCACCTAACTCAACTGAGAGAAAAATGTAACAGAGGATTTGTTACAATTGAGAATCAAATGTTTGTAATATTCTGTCAGGATTTGGATTGCCTTCTCACTTTGATATTTCCATGGTATTTAACATATCAATGTTTTAGGGACAGAACTCATACTGTAAATTCCTGGTTAAATTGAATGTAATTTATAACTCAATGATTGTTCAGAAATATAATGCATGCTTAAGTGTATAGTCTCATGCTTTTAATGTTTTGAGTGTATTAAGTTTAGATCCATCAAGAAAATCTGTGTATACATGTATACATGTCTCCATGTAAACATAGATATTTATACATGTTAATTACGCGAAATAGTGCAAGGGTCATATGTGTGATACTAGAATTTTGTATTGCTAAAACTGAATGAAACATGCATAAAAGAGTTGGTAGACAGGGGATATTTATACGTAATCTTGCTTATCACATATTTATAGTATTACTTGTATTTATGTATATTTTTTCTCCTAGGGAGTTTGTATAGAGACAAAGCCATCATTAACTGAAAGATTCTATGCAATACTGGACAAGATCAGCTTTGACTATTTAGGTAGATCGAACTTTCAGTATTTTAATACTTTTTCATTGTCACTTCTAACAACAGCAGATACAAGACATGTCATTCATGCCTCTGTTGAATTTCTATTGTATATATAAATGTTGGTTTTTGAAATGAATTTTTTTCTTTCATCCCAGCGGAGACCTTCAAAACCAATATGGTGGCCATCATCCAGGCTTTCTCACTGGTTTTGTTTATTCCTATCTGCTGTGTGGTGTTTTATAAGGTTGGTAAACCTTATTATTTCCTGTGTAGCTTGCAATACAAGCTTTGATTGGTTACAAAGTCGATTGTAAATTTCCGTACACCCGACTTGAGGCGGTGGTAAAAAAAACGTGACATCACAATGCATAGTTTCTCTATGATAAAAAGCAAATAACATGACATCACGATGCAGTTTAAGATGTAGTAAATCTTATCGATAGCTTGAAACACAGTTAATTGGACTTGTTTACAAAGAATTTATTTGGGTACATAGGAAATAAATTTGTTATCAAGGTCCAATCAAGGGTGTACAGGGATTTACCCTGGTTTTTATTCCATACACCCTTTGGCCTTCGGTCTCAGAGTGTATGGAATAAAACCCAGGGTAAATCCTGTACATCCTTGATTGGACCTGGATAACTAATAGACTCATCTGGTATTGAGGCATTCATCAAACTTATTTTTTTTTTATCTTCTGTAATTCTGTTTTCTTCCTTTAAAAAGCTTTTTTTAGCTAGGAAATTGTTGAAAGTTTATTCAAGATAATTTTAAGTGGAGTAGAATAAAATAGATACACTTTCAAATAAATCTTTAAAAATATAGAATAAGGGAGCTTTAATTTAATAAGAAACCTGTTGAAATCGCAAAGATCTTTCTAAAATATAAAAACTAATTTGCTAAACTTTTCTTATCAAACAAATCATATCCACTGCTTCATTACGGAATCATTTTGTGTTAAGTGTGTAACTGTGTCTTATTATATTTCAGGATAGAAAGAAAACAAAGAAACAGAGATTAGAGATGTCTGCAAAATGCAGAGCTGTGAGTTATTAATCAGAGTTATAGTAACGTATCAGTACCTACTTAAACAAAGTGCAGATCAGTCATCTGCTTTATTAACATACAATTGGTTACCAGACATAAACATTTTATTTGATTTTTTTTATTGTATAATTACAGGACAGGACTCTGACCTTTGATGAGGACAGGAGACAGATCAAGAGGAAGAAGAAAATCCCTCCCAAGTTTATCCCTGCCCCTCCTGAGGCTGTAATCCACAGATCAGGGTCTCGCAGTGGGTCCAGAAAGAATCAGGTTGCCCCCCTTCCCCCAAGGCGATACTAGTCTTTACGCAAATGACAATCTTTAAGCCTAATTTATTATTCCATTTTATAATATACTTTAATAACTGTCTGTGATAAAATTTGATAAAATGTAAAAGTGGTCTATTTATATACAATGAAGGTCACAACGAATTTATGCATAAATGTATATGAATTCTACATGTATACATATGTTTTTTGTTTCATGCAAAGACTTGAAAGAGTAATGCCCCGTACATTCTTTTGAAATATAGTAGATTAATGGCCTCGCATTCTGTCACACAGACATTAATCTGTTGTGGAATCTCTAAATATTTTATACATAATTTACTTTTTTGTATTTTGATACATGTCCTGATATTTTATTAGTAATTTGAATATTTTACATCAGCTGAGTTAGGTATTTGACATTACTTTTTCTTTTTTAAATAATATTAAAATAGCTTCCCTCTTAGGAAAACCTTAATACACACTGCAAATCAGTATCATATTGCCTATCAGTGAGAAAGAGTATTTGGGTTTGTTCCTAACTTTTCCATCATTAAAATTAATCATAATACAATGTGAAAAAACAAACATGTAAATATATACTTGTATGTTCACAACATTTGTTGAACTAAAGAAGAAGAAATCAAATAAGCTTTTATATGATGCTTCAGAATACATTGTACACCCATTATAAGTATTTTGTGAAGTAAGATACTTGTTTGCAAAATAATGATATCTGTTCATAAATGCAATCTTTCCTTTGATACATATGTACTTTGTGTTGTAGTCTCAGCTACCTAATTATAGCTGAACATTTTTTACATGAAAAGAACATTGACTTTTATAACATGTAATCAGAAAATATTGCAATGGTTGATTTTGTGATATAGTGCATTTCAATATAGATTATACCTAGGTTGTGTTTCACCATGATCTGTAAACTGACGGTTTCAAAACCAAAAATCAAAAACAGACCGGAAAATGATAGATAAGTTTTGAATATTTTTTACTCTACTTTTGTTTCTTTCAGGCACTTTATATCAGTAAACTGTATATGTTTTTTTTTATTTGAAATGTAAAAGTTTGTAGATATATCTAATCAGATTTTATTTTTGTGTAAAATTAACGTAATCAGTAGTAACTCTTGTCAGAACTTTTACATAACTCATCTACATAGTTTTATTTTCTAGCATATTATATTTCTTGCATGATTATGATGAAGATAGTGAGTATGAGAATGCCTGTGTATGATAGATAGAGTGCAGATCTAATGTATGTTGTATGTATATAATGAAAATCTTTTTAATGAATTACTGAATGTTGAATGTGCTCTAAATACATCTACGTATGTGTACATTTTTTAGAAGAACTTTGTTTTTATATTTTGCATCAATTGCAGCCTATTTATTCTTTTTACAGTATAAAACCTATTTTGTTTACAAGTTTAAATTTTGATTTACAGTAATTTATTTATTCTGTGGAAATTCATACATTTTTTAGCTCACCTGAACTGAAGGCTGAAGTTTACTTTTCTGATCAAAGAGTGTCCGGCATCTGTCTGTTGTCCATCGTCTGTCATATGTTCTCTGTAAACTTTTCACATTTTCAACTTCTTCTCAAGAACTTCTGGGTCATTTTCAACCAAACTTGGCACAAAGCATCCTTGGGTGAAGGGGATTCAAATTTGTTCAAATGAAGGGCCAAGCTCTCTTTCAAGGGGAGATTATACAGAATTAATCAAAATTTAATGGCATCTTTTAAAAATCTCAAGAACCAGAAAAGATGAAACATGTAAAAGTTTCATTACATAGAGTAGATTCAAGTTTGTTCAAATCATGACCCCCAGGGTTGGGGGGGGGGGGAGCAACAACAGGGGATCAAAGTTATGTATAGGAATATATAGGAAATATCTATAAAATCTTCTTCTCAAGAATAGCAAAGCCATGATTAGTCATTAATACTGAAGGCATCATAAGGTAGTTTAGATTCAAGTAAGTTTGTTCAAATCATCCCCCCCCAAGGGCTAGGGTGGAGTCACAATAGATCAAACTTTTACATAGAAATATAAAGGAAGAATTCTACTGAAGCCCTGATTAGTCAAAGAAACATGGAAGCATCCTCAGTTAGTGTAGATTCAATTCTGTTCAAATTGTGACCCCCTGGCAGTAGTTTTGGACCACTTTTATATTTAAACTTGTCAATAATGAACTGATTTCTGCTTTTCTCTGGCCAAAGTGCTCAGGTGAGTGATGTGGCCCATGGGCCTCTTGTTCAATCAAACATTGCTTCCTTTAGCAATAATTACAAGGGATATTTTACCATTTTGTATTTCCACTGAGATCATTCTGAATTGTCTGGCAAAATTGTGAGATTTTACCCTCTGGATACAATGTCATATTTGATACTCTATTTAGCTGATATGTTCCAGTTTTACTTTACATCAATTGCATAATAGATTGATTTAATGAAATGCATAATATATTTTTGAGATGTAGACTTTTATTTTAATGAATTAGAATTATAAATATTTCACACAAGTAGTCAATTTACTTTTTTCTCTTGGTAAAATTAGTCCCACACTTAGCCCCACACTAGGGCTTGAACATTTGGTCTGGGGGCCATAAAAATTTCACAATTTTTCTAGAGGGGCTAAATGTTCATCATAATAACAGAAACAGTCTGCCTGCTAAATGCCCATGAGTATGGGTGGGTATCACCAAAAAATTTTGTATCGCAAGATACCATGATTTTTTCCAAAAATATCCTGATAATGTCATAATATTTTTACACACAGTTTTTACCATGGTTTTAATGAATTTCCATAATTTTGCTAACAAATATGTTGCGAAAACATAGCTTCACCTTTTTCATTTTTATTTATATTTTAATAAAGCTTCTTTGGATGTTAGGATGCCGGGATTTTTGATTTTTATTTTTTTTTTAGCTGTTTTACAACATTTTTTTAAAACTCCGGTTATTGTAATTCTAAAGTTTGAACAAAAAATTATTTTTTTCCGGAATTTATAATTACATACTACATGTAAATATCGGTAATTTAGTATCGCGCAATAAAAGATCATGGTATACTGATTTACTGATACTGCACATCCTACCCATGATTGACTCAGGTGAATATGAATGGTTTAAATTTAGATTAAAATTAATTGTGGCCTGGACCATCATTTAGGGGAGCATCAATTTCATATTCTTTTTTTTAAAGAGGGCTAAATGTTCATTATTATAGTAAAACTTGAGTACGAACTCGAATATAAGGAATTTACAGATAAAGCAATGTCTTTTGGGATCCCTGACAAAGTTCTCAACAATTTTTTTGTATCTGATATAACGAATTTATTGATATAGAAAACTGATTTTGTGTCCTGTAGAGGTTTAAAAATGAAATACAGAACTTTATTCAAGTCTAAATGTGCCTGCTAGATAGACATTCATAAACTGGAAATATGAATTAGTCAATTTCAACTGGTGTATCAAGGCAATTAATTAACCTGCTTGGGTAGTGATAGCAAATAAGTTATCCATTGATTATAACTACACTGTACTTTATATGGATTTCAGTGCACTATGAGATGATGTTAGGCTTTATGTTTTCATCATGAAATAAACAAACCAATATAATACATGTATAATGAACACACTATGCTTCCCTTGCAGCCCAGAAAAAAAAACAGATAAAAACAACACTGATTTATGTTGAAAAATAAACTTTTTGAAACCTGTAAGTCCGTAGCAATTGCAAGGTAAACAAATTGAATGGCAGACTCATTCTCCCAAACAAAACATGAAAAATTGCAATTTATTACAAATAATAAAACATTTTACAAATTGTAATTTATTATAACATAAGGTCACAGATCCTTCACACGAGGTAACATATCCTTCACTCAAGGTAACAGTTCCTTAAAACAAGGTCACATACCCTTCATACAAGGTCACAGATCCTTAACACAAGGTCACAGATCCTTAACACAAGGTCACAGATTCCTTACACAAGGTCACAGATCCTCAACACTAGTTCACAGATCCTTCACACAAGGCCACAAGTTCCTCACACAAGGTCACAGATCCTTCACAAAAGGTCACAAATCCATAACACAAGATCAAAACAGAGTTTTTCTCCTTCAAAAATATGTCTTTCTCTCTATTTCTATTGATCTTTAACATGAATTTATTCTAATGCACCACTCAACTTTTTTGGTTCCACAAATAAAGGACACAGCTGCTCAGATGATTAAGTTGGGTGTGTTCTATAAATAAAAAGCCAAATTTTAACTAAGGTATAAACAATCTTGAATCTATGCAAGATAATGCTTGCATAAAAATTAGAGAATCTCTAGCCTTGAGGTTCACAAGAAAACTTTATATAATATTTCCTCCCTACAGGATGCGTCTCAGTCATAAAAAGAACACCGATAAGTAATATTCAGATATTTCCACTTCATCACAAGTTATCAGTGTACTGAAAAACACAAAGTACAAAGATAAATATGACACCTTTAAGGTACAACAGAGGGTGGGATGGGGATTTAGTCAGCAATTTCACAGAATGATGAGCATAACTGCCACCAATGAATTTATTATAGGTTTTCTTTAAGATTAAGATGGATTCCAGCAAACAGTGTGATGCATGCTCCTGAATAGTAGCCACACGACAATATGTATTGCTGTGACATTGCTGACAATGGACAAATTTTGATCAGAAAAGCTCACTTGAGCCTCTGGCTCAGGTTAGCAACAAGGATATTCATTAGTTCTCATTTCCATGATTTCTGAACATTGTTTTCGAAGGAGGAAATGGGGGGGGGCATAAAAACTGAGAATGCATGGTGTAAATGTTGAATCTTACCATCATTTCTTGGCTTAGTTAGTCTGTCTTTGAACTCTCCTCACTTTTAGTGGCATTTGATGGTCTTCTCTTCACCTTGGGATCAAAGCCAGTCTAAGCTCGCTCTATTAACAAAGAATGTCAAGAATTTTAAGAGTACTTAAATTGTAACAAGGTATTAAAAAAAAAAACAAAAAACAGTCTTTGAAAAATTGCAGACTCAAAATTTAGAGTTCTATTAACTTAACTACATGTAAGTGTACATGGGATGTTTACATAACAAAGCATTTAAGGAAAGTGTGTGGGGAGTAGAGCCATAATTTTACCACATCTTCAAATGATGGCTGCAGGTGAATGGGTGATACACTCCTCCTCACCATAGGCACCAGGACAACCTACAGATCTTCTGCTAGTAAAAGAAAACAAGAGGCCCATGGGCCACATCGCTCACCTGAGTAACTTTGGCCATGCTGTTCTTAACCAGATTTCCCCCCTTTAAATATACCTATTGTGGCCCCGCCCTACCCCCGGGGGTCATGATTTGAACAATTTAGAATCTACACTATCCCAGGATGCTTCCACATAAGTTTCAGCTTTTCTGGCCCAGTGGTTCTTGAGAAGAAGATTTTTTAAGATTTTTCCTATATATTTCAATGTAAAACTTGGATTCCCTATTGTGGCCCTGCCCTACCCCCGGGGTCATGATTTTTACAATTTAGAATCTACACTATCCCAGGATGCTTCCACATAAGTTTCAGCTTTTCTGGCCCAGTGGTTCTTGAGAAGAAGATTTTTTAAGATTTTTCCTATATATTTCAATGTAAAACTTGGAGTCCCTATTGTGGCCCCGTCCTACCCCCAGGGGTCATGATTTGAATAATATAGATTCTACCCTACCCCAGTATGCTTCCATATAAGTTTCAGCTTTTCTGGCTCAGTGGTTCTTGAGAAGAAGATTTTTAAAGATTTTTCCTATATATTTCAATGTAAAACTTGGATTCCCTATTGTGGCCCCGCCCTACCCCCGGGGGTCATGATTTGAACAATTTAGAATCTACACTACCCCAGGATGCTTCCACATAAGTTTCGGCTTTTCTGGCTCTGTGGTTCTTGAGAAGAAGATTTTTAAAGATTTTTCCTATATATTTCAATGTAACACTTGGATTCCCTATTGTGGCCCTGCCCTACCCCCGGGGGTCCTGATTTGAACAATTTAGAATCTACACTACCCCAGGATGCTTCCACATAAGTTTCAGCTTTTCTGGCTCAGTGGTTCTTGAGAAGAAGATTTTTAAAGATTTTTCCTATATATTTCAATGCAAAACTTATATTCCCTATTGTGGCCCTGCCCTACCCCCGGGAGTCATGATTTTAACAATTTAGAATCTACACTATCCCAGGATGCTTCCACATAAGTTTCAGCTTTTCTGGCTCAGTGGTTCTTGAGAAGAAGATTTTAAAAATTTTCCTATATATTTCAATGTAAAACTTGGATTCCCTATTGTGGCCCTGCCCTACCCCCGGGGGTCCTGATTTGAACAATTTAGAATCTACACTATCCCAGGATGCTTCCACATAAGTTTCAGCTTTTCTGGCTCAGTGGTTCTTGAGAAGAAGATTTTTAAAGATTTTTCCTATATATTTCAATGTAAAACTTGGATTCCCTATTGTGGCCCCGCCCTATCCCCGGGGGTCATGATTTGAACAATTTAGAATCTACACTATCCCAGGATGCTTCCACATAAGTTTCAGCTTTTCTGGCTCAGTGGTTCTTGAGAAGAAGATTTTTAAAGATTTTTCCTATATATTTCTATGTAAAACATTGATTCCACATTGTGGCCCCGCCCTACCCCCGGGGGTCATGATTTGAACAATTTAGAATCTACACTACCCCAGGATGCTTCCATATAAGTTTCAGCTTTACTGGCCCTGTGGTTCTTGAGAAGAAGATTTTTTAATGACCCCACCCTATTTTTGTCTTCTCTTGATTATCTCCCCTTGTGAGGGGACTTGGCCCTTCATTTTAACAATTTAAATTCCCCTTTACCCAAGGATGCTTTGTACCAAGTTTGGTTAAAATTGGCCCAGTGGTTCTTGAGAAGAAGTCAAAAATGTGAAAAGTTTACAGACGGACGGACAGACAGACGGACAGACGGACGGACGGACGACGGACAAAATGTGATCAGAAAAGCTCACTTGAGCCTTCGGCTCAGGTGAGCTAAAAATATTCAAAAGATGTAAAAGGAATCCTTAGACTTCAAACAACTGCGAAAGAGCCAAAGAAATCATGACAGCAAATGCTTTATGACAATTGAATCTGACCTTTTCTTCTCTGCTTGGTCGCAGTATATTCCCTACCCTGCTCCCCACCCTACTGCTGACAATCAAGGAAGTTGTTCCTCACATTGGGATCCAGGCTTGCCTAACCATTCCTCCTGTTAACACAGACAGTCAGGATGTCAAAGTAGTAACCTAATTGCTTTGATCAAGTTACAATAAAAACAGGGAACCAAAATTCCAGCAAATGCCATACGTTACTTACCACTTGGGCCTATCTTGGTTACTGCGATCGTAGCTGGGCAATGGACTCTTCTTTTTTCTCTTGGGTGGCCGTAGTCCTCCTGTGTCCTCCCTCGTCTCAGCCCTAGAAATAAAGGTTAGTAGTGAACCAAAACAATTCTAAAAATTACAGAAATTCAAGTAAACATGGCCCAAACAACAAATTGAGTTTAAAAAACAAAAAAGTTAGAAAACTGGAACAGTTAATTAGGGAAAGGGCAAAAGAGAGTGAGGGGTACAGGTGGCTAGTCATGTTAGAGTAGGGAGGGCATAGAATACACAAAGAGAGACAAAGGAATAAATCAAAAAAGCTCTGTCAGGCTCCCTGGTCTTCTTGATGCTCCTTTGGATGGCTCCTTCTGTCCTGCATCCTGTCGATTAAAAGTCGAAAGGTCGTACCTCAAACGGTCAACATTAATTAACGAGTGAAAGATCGGCACAGGGAGTGATTATAAATGCACTACTCTAAGGTTTGCCAGGCATGTAGAATTAGGGGGAAGAAGGAAGGGGTTTCACTTTTTTCAAGAAAACAGAACAATTCCATTAAATTTTACTGTTGATTTAGTTTGAAAATACAGTATTCATTGAACAACAGGTGATTAAAACATTCCATTAGTAGTGGCTAATTGCCCAACTACTACACTAGTATCCCCCTCCACACACACACAATTTGATGCAGTATAGTATAAAATTGACCCCTCCCACCACACACAGAATTGGTTTTTGGACTTTCGATAATTTCCTTTCTAAAAAAAATGTCAGGTATTTATTTATTTTAATGTTGTGATTAAGAGGGAGATTTATAAATTTTCTGTTAAAAATAATTATTCTTTACCTACATTAATTATTTAAATATGGTAATTTCGGGGATTAATCAGGCGCGGATCCAGGGGGTTTTTTTTCGGGGGGGGGGGGGGTCAGTCAGTCCACCCCAGTAAAAAAAATTTCCAACCCAGAAATTTCTCGACAAAAAAAAAAATAAATAAAATTAAAAAAAAATAAAATAAATAATAATAAAAAAAAAATACGATGTGAAATCCATTTCCCAAACGTGAAAAAACCTATTTCGTGGTGTCGATGATGTCCACGTTTTCGGGGGTAGGGGGGTCCAAAGTCAATTTTTATTTGCTTCAGTATTCCAAAGTCAATTTTTATTTGCTTCAGTATATACTTTTAATAACTCTGCAAATTCCAGGGGGCGGACCCCCGACCCCACCCCACCCCTCTAGATCCGCGCATCTTAATGTTATACATGGGGATAAATATATACAAGTACAAGTATATGTATTATATATGGATATAATACTGACCCTTTTGAGCTAGGGTGGGGCCTCAATATAAATTCCAATTTCTTCCGTGGAATAAAGAGGGGGTATTAAATATAGCGGGCTATTGTTACTCACTAATCTATCATATTATAATAAGAAAAGAAATGTCTTTGTTCTCTGCCTTTTTTTTCTAATGTATGTATATATATCCATGCATTAAGCCTGACATTATCAATGATGAATAAAACGCACACCTCAGTAAGTTTATAGTGAATCCGAATGAAGTGACTAAAACTTCATTAAAGAATTTTAAATTATTTTTTATGAGTCTAGGTAAAACTTTTATTTGCATGATTTTGAAGCGCGAATTTTTCTGGAAAGAGCCCCCCCCCCTCCTTTTCACCCTTCCCTCTATATTTTTGCGGAATTCCTTCATGGTTCTACTATTATTTTTTCCGGAAGTGGACCACAATTTGCAATATGGCGGACATTGATGTAAACAATCACTTGGCAACATCATTAATATGATCATTTTCAAGTAAACATTGGTTTTTAAAAATCATATATGAAGAATTTCTTTTCAACATGTCCAGAGCACAATCGCGAATGTCAGCCCGCACAGGGGGCGGTTCGCGGGCAACATCAGCAAAAAGTACCAAGAGTCCGAGACACCCTGTGGTTATCCATTCCACGATACTTCCGATGTCAAAAGTCTATCTCGGAAAGGAATATGAACAGAGACTTGCAAATGCAGCAGGCACAGGAGACCTTATCACTGTAATAAAAATACTGAAATTCAATGTCAGCCCGGATTCAAGGGATGAACATGGTCAACCTGCCTTAGTCAGAGCTTGCATGGGTGTGTACTCTGGGTAGATGATCAATGATTTTATATAAGTTGCTTGTTGTCTTCAATTGCACAATTAGCAATTTGTTATCAAATTTATTATATGACATATTAATTCTCTCTCATACTTTAAATGCTTCAATTTTTTGTATATAAAATGTATAATATAAAATGCCTATATAAATTTCCATTTCAGGGGGTCATGCTGAAATTGCCTCTGCACTGATTGAAGCAAAAGCAAACATAAATATCCAAGGAGTTTACAATGCAACTCCACTCCATGCTGCAGTGAAAGGTTTAGTTTTTATATTTTGTAAATTGAATGAGTCCATGTTGTTGTTCAATCATGAATATAATTATGTACCAAAGTTATAATAATATTTGACATCTTTCAGATAACAGAAATGTTATACACTTATTTATATATCAGCTGATATCCTTAGAGATTATCAATCAAATTAATGCATGAGATTTGATGCAAACGTAAAGTCACAACTGCTATAAAACTTTTAAGAATCAAATGTTATCAACAAAATTGATCTATTGATTTTGACTTTTGCCTCAAAATGTCATTCATATATGTGTTATATTATACTTTTTAAAATATCAAAATAATTACAGTCTGGGATTTGTCTATTGCTGCATGGCAAGAACGTACCAACATCGTTATGAGGTTTCTCTTTGGCACTCATTTTCAGTTCATCCGTAAATCTATTAACACTTTCATCAAGCAATTTTTGACAGAGTTATACCCCTTGGACTAAGAAAAATTCCAAACATCTCTTGTTTCTATATATTATTATATAATGAAATATTTTGATTGCCTACTGTTGTTTAAATTTACCCCCATGTGGATCAAGATTTGAATAAACTTGAATCTAAACTACCTGAAGATGCTTCCATATTAATATGACTACATGTATTCATGCCTTTGCTGATTTGTGAAGACTTTTCCTGTACATTCCTAAATGTATGTAAAACTTTAATCTCCCATTGTGACCCTACCCTACCCCCGGGGACATGATTTGAAAACCTTGAACCTACACCATGTAATGATGCTTTCACATTAGTTTCAACTCTTCTGGCCAAGTGGTTCTTGAGAAGAAAATTGTCAAGATTTTTTTCTGTATATATATGCAAAACTTTGATGCCCTTTGTGGCCCTACCCTATCCCAGGGGGTCATGATTTGAACAAACTTGAATCTTCACTATGCAATGAAGCTTTCATCAATATTCAACTCTACTGAGTTAGTGGTCCTGAGAAGAAAATTTTTAAAAGATAAGATTAATTTTTTAATTCTTAATTATCTCCCTTTGGATGAAGATCTGGCCAAAACTCGAATCCTCTTCACCAAAGGATACTTAGTTGCAAGTTTGGAAAATGGCCCAATGGTTCTTGAGAAGTCGAAAAATGTGAAAAGTTTACAAATGAATGGACGTTCAACAGACAGATGGAAGCTGGACAATATGTGTTCAGAAAAGCTAAAAACGAGTGACTAAACTGAAAATGAGTGCCAAAAAGGTAACGTCATAACATCTGTAACATTCTGGCCGAGCGGCGATAAACAAAATCCCAAAGTTGTGTTTATTTTAATATTGTTAAAAGTATTTTATATAACTGAATGAATTAAAAAGATATAATGAAAATAGATAGGGGTATTAGTACGTCATAAACTTTTGTTGACAGCATTTGATTATGAAAAATTTTATAGCAGTTGTGCCATTAATTTTGGATCAACCCTCTACAAAATATTTTTGTTTGAAAATGTTTTGCAGGTCAAAATGTGAATTGTGTAAAACATGTGATATTAGGAGGGGCACAGTTAATTCCCCAAACTACAGCTGGACTGACTCCACAAGACATGGCAAAATACGGGTCTGAAGTCTGGGAAGTCATCAATGATGCTAGAAAAGGAGACATGCCTGAAATAGACGAAATCAGTGAGGTTCCAGAAATTCCAGACTACGCTCTCCCAGATGGTGCTGCCAAGAAAAAGAAAGGGAAAAAAGGAAAGAAAAGTGGAAAGAAAAAAGGAGGAAAAAAGGGGAAAAAGAAAGGTGGAAAAAAGAAAAAGAAGAAATGATATTTCAAGTTTTAGAATTGTTGATTCCCATCAGTTGATCTTTAAAATTGTTCAATCTTAGGAAACAAGTTGTATGTGTATCTGTACGTGAAAAATGAATACATGTAATGTAGATTTATTAATGTTGGAAACCAATGCCATATTGGCTTATCGACCAAAATTACTGCTTTTCCAGAGTTCATCCCTTGTTTCAAATTACAGTTTACTGTTAATTCAGTGGCAATGTTGAAGTTTATTTTTTGCTTGACAATGATCTTGTTATGTATGTTATGAAATTTATAGCACAATGTTAATAAAATTGTAGTATGTTTATCTGCACTTGTGCTTTCATAAGGATACTGAAATAACCCTTATTAACAAGCAACAATTATTTATGGATTGAGTTATAAGAAAAGATTCAAAGTCAAGTTTCATGTTTTATCTTATATTAAATAACAAGTATAGAAATAATTGTAAAAGTGAAAATCTGATCAGCTGCAATACAGAACTAAAACATTAAATTATCACATGAAATGAGACTAGTTTTACATATATATAATTAATTTACAGTAAACTAAAAAGGTATAACAGCAAATATATACATGTAATTATTTAATATGGAAAACAATTATTAAAATGTAAATGCATCACCAAAAAAAAAACATGGAAGGACTTAAAGTATGCAAGAAATTAATTTTTAAAAAAAAATTGTATAGATTCCACTATTAGTCCTAGTGTATTACCTGGTAATAGGAGAGAAGTATGATTATATGAACTTCTATACCCTTTATCATAGAGTAAAACTTCATACTAAGTTATTTATTTTTAAGAAGTCAGATTATTTTGTAAGTACACCTCACATTTTATAAATATTTTGGGAAGTAAAACATAAATGAAAGAAGAGTTGTGTTCCATGAGCCTTTTGTTATGCAAGTGGCTACATAAGATACACACAAAAAAGAAACTTTAGAAAATCAAAGACAGAAAGAAATAAAAATTTATATAATGATCGTTAACTTAATTGAGTCTATAATGATAAATAATTGACTGCAAATTTTTCAGGACATATGCAGAACATTTTGTTTCATGAAAACTGCAGTGCTGCTCTCTTGCAGGGCAAATCAATATAGTTTGGTGAAATATAGCATAATAGGCATTGTTAAATAGATGACATTTAATTATCTGCCAACAAAAACTTTGCAAAACGTTATCAATTTGCCTTGCAAACCAGCAGTACCAGTTACCGTTAAATTATTCACTCAAGAAAAATTTGCCTTCTTGGCCATTGCCTTCAAACAATATCATTTTTATAAATAAATACATGTAATCATATTTCCTTCACTATCATGAATTTATGATTTTATATCTATAAGTATAAAAAATTAATTTGATAATGAAATGAATTGTTTTTCTATGTACTTCCGTCATTTGAAAATATTAGTACTGGGTAGATTTATTTCCCTTACATTTACCTCATTCCTATTAGTACAAAACAGCAGCTAGATCTGATCTGGTGAGAGAATTCCTTGCATTTTATGTTTAAAAATATTTACACAGTCCTCTTTACACAAACTATTGTCCAGTTTGAACAAATATGAAAAATACTGGTGATTATAATTATCAAGAATGTATATATGATTTACAATGTCCATTGCTTGTTTGTTTTTGTTTTGTTTCATTTTGTTCCTTTTGCAGATAAAAAGTACACAACATGATTTCTTTAAGGTCAAAATGAAGTCCATCTTCATCCTCCAATAAAAAATACATAATTTATGTACAGATATAAATAAGAAATAATTAATAATGCCCACTTGCTCAGAGATCATTAAAATAATATTCTTTTAATTAATAGATGTGCATCACAGGAACTCTAAAATTCAAATACTGGTAACATTTAACAATAATTTTTGAAAACAAAAACACAGTAAATCCCACAAGTATCATAATTATAATGTTAAAACAAGTGTTTATTTTTGCATTGAATCAATATTATGCTAAATTCCAAGGAAGAAAAATGTGACTACACATTAATATTTAAAAAAAGTATAAAGTTATTTGCTTGTCAGTCAGAATGGAGAGTGCTTCTAATCACTTCATAAAAGAGGACAATATATCAACAGGAAGAGGGAAGATAATGGTAGAATTCTTCTCGTAGGCTATCGTATTGAGAGTCTGTAGGTAGCGCAGTTGGAGTGCAGCAGGAGAAGTGTTAATTATATCTGCTGCTTCCTTCAGAGCTTTGGAAGCATTATGCTCCCCTTCTGCTGCAAGCACCTGCAAATTATGAGAGCTTCAACTGTAAATTGCATAATACATGTATATATTGTTCATATGCTATGTTGGAGGTCAGCAAGTTTCTAAACATTTCAATAAAACTAAAACATAATGATATATTAAGAAATTGTATTATCCACATTTCATTTAGAGTAATTTTCATTATGTGTTTAGCCTTTGGCCTTGACCCCTGACCTTTGCTCTAGCCTCCCTTGATGCTTCTGCCTCTGCAGCCATGGCTTTCTGTAATTGTTTGGGAAGTCTGACATCTTTGCTGTAAAATCAAATGTCTTTATTCAAAATCATAAATTCTAAAAATATTACAACTGTAAATGTATAAATGCAGACTTTTTATAACAATTAATTTTAATGCACCTTTGTATACTTACATTTCTACCCTCTCGACCTTAATGCCCCAATCAACAGTAGCTTCATCCAACATGCACTAGGAACACAAAAATAAAATCATCAAGCACATTCATCACCCTGACAAGAATATGCCAATACAGAAATAGATATTCCATGTCTTCCATCATTTCATGTATTTTCTGAGTTATATCTGTAAGGATTTATTATGCAACAGATCTTAAAATGAATGCAGAGTGACTAATGACAATTGGAAAATGAATGAGTTTGGGAAGTGTTTTGACAATGGAATCAATAATCCCACCATTATTTCTATACCTGCATAGCTTTGCTGATTGCCTCCCTATCAGTTAGGATTTCTGACATGCTCTTGGTCCCCAGAATGTTTCGGAGTGTGGTCTGAGCCAGAAGTCGCGTGGCATGGTGGGCATTTTCTACATTGGCCACAGAAATGGTGGGATTACACACTCGATAGTACACCACTGCATCTACAGATACTGTCACACTGTCATTTGTCAGAATCTGAAAAAAAAAATTAGAAAAAAAAAATTAAAGTTGGAATACCAACTTTAAAGTTGGAAATTCCAACTTTAATCTTGGCTTAATTTTCCAACTTTAAGTTTGCTTTTCTAACTTTAAAGTTAGTAATTCAGTTGGTCAACTTAAATCTTGGTTTTTCCAACTTTAAAGTTGGAAAAGCCAACTTTAAAATTGGAAAAGCCAACTTTAAAGTTGGAATTACCAACTTTAAAAAAAAATATTATGTGGTACGGATACACTTCCTTATGGCCAGAAGTCTCAAAGACTAATCCATCATATACTTAAACTAGTATTTAAGGACGACGGACCTAATTCGAAATTTCATGCCACTGCGCAAATAACCGCCCATATGCCTTGAATCAAAGTGACTTTATTATGTATTGCAAAAGATAAAAAATACACATTTTTAATTCTTTTAAAGATATTTTAACGTTTCCTCTCAATTCAAAAATATTGTAAATATTTTGATTTATATTCATTTGTTGATTTTATAAATAAATGATTTATTTGGCCAAGGTTTTTCATTGAAAATTTCCCCCAAAATAATCCCTACACCTGAGTTTGACATGCCCCCCCCGAAAAATCTAAGCCGATGGCACATTTATTTTTTGGCATAATTTGCTGGTAAATTGTCTTGTTAACATTGTCCTTTAATATGAATAAAAATTCTATTGCAGAATTTTTTTTCAATGATCACTCTTATACCCTACACTGGCAATTTCTCATTACTTCCTATAGTAATTATCGATTTCCATTGCCAACTTTTGAAATGCTCCACACTAAAAATCTACACCGATGATCATATGATTTTTTTAATTGATTTTAACTCACCAAAAGTCACATTACCTCAAATTAAAATTTGAAGAAAAAATCTATTGCAGAAATGAATTAGGTCCATCATTGTTAAATGCAGCCAGCACTTAATACAATCAGGACAGTGGACTGTTAGTTTCAAAATAATAAACTGGGAAAGCTGACAAATTTAATTATAAGGCATTTTTTAAACTCCTTATATCTATTTCCAAAACATGGCTGTAGGACCCCCCCCCCCCCCCCCCACACACACACACAAAAAGAGGCCAAAGGGCCTTAACGGTCACCTGAGTATAATACAACACTCTAAAGGATCCATAGAAGTATAAATAACACAAAAACAGATAGATAAAGATATATTGCTAAAAATTTAAAGAAATATGATGATCAGAAATCAACAAGATAGTTAGTCTAGTACTCAGTAACAAACCATTAAGCAGATCTGTTTATGCTTGAACTTGCCAGTGCTAATACACTTATGCATTTTCACTACATAATCAATAGAGCCCCGCCCACCACCAGAACCCTTTAACCCATCGGCCATGAATTTCATATTTTTGGAAGAGGCATCCTTGCACATCATCAATGTGCAATCAGTTTGTCTACTAGAAACCTTGAGGCAGAGAAGATTTTTAAAGAATTTATGAATTTTTACTATATGATCAAAAGAGCCCTGCCCTAACACCAGAACCCCTGACCCAGGGGCCATGAATTTCAAGATTGTAGTAGAATCACCTTTGCTCATCATTCCCATGCATTTGTATGTTTGTTCAATACCCAGGAACATAGATGAAGATTTTTAAAGAATTTTGCCTTTTCACTTTATGATCAATAGAGCCCTACCCTAGCAACAGAACCTCAGACCCTGGGGCCAAGAAATTTACAATTTCAGGAGAGGCACCCTTGCTCATCATCACCATGCACTTAAATTTTTTTACTTTAATACCCAGGAGCATAGAAGAAGATTTTCAAAGAAATAATGCATTTTCATTATATAATTCTTAGAGCCCCTCCTCCTGACCCTGGGGCCATGAAATTAGATTATGGCAAGCATACTAATGCTCATTATAACCATGTACTTGACTTTTTCCTTTATACCCAGGAGAAGAAAAGTAGATTTTCAAAGAATTGATGCATTTCCACTATAAAATCATAAGAGCTCTGCCTTAACACCAGAACCCCCTACCCACTGGCCATGAAATTCACAATTTTGGAAGAGGCACCCTTGCTCATTATTACCATGCACCTAGTTTATCTGCTAAATATACAGGGAGAGAGAAGAAGATTTTTGAAGAATTTATGCATTTTCACTATATGATCGTTAGTTCCCACCCTAACTCCAGAACCCCTGAACCTGGGGCCATGAATTTCACAATTTTGGTAGAGGGCTCAATGCTTATTACAACTATGGCAACAGTTCAACTACATGTACTTGATGTCCAGGAGTAAAGAAGAAGATTTTTAAAGATTGCATTAATTTTGATGGTTTTAGCCTTATACCTCAGGCCCTAGGGAGCATGAATAATGAAATTCACAATTTTTCTTCCCCTTGTTTCATAGATATTCTATGCCAAAATTGGTAGAAATTGGTTCAGCGGTTCTAGAGAAGAAGCTGAAATTTTTCAAATGTTAACCCATAATGCATGATGGATGACGCGAGCAGACAGACAAAAACGGATAGCAATAGGTCACCTGAGTGACTCAGGAGACCTAAACATCAGGAAGAATTGCTTCTTATGGGCCTGTTGCATGATTTATTAAAAAAAAAAAACTAAGTAAATATCTTCATATTAGTTCATGATAACTAAAGCATTTTTCAATGTATGATCAAATTCCTTTTAAAATTCAAGATCATTGACAATTGTTTTCAGTATTTTTATGTGATAAAAACCATAAGTACATATATTTATCACATTTTCTGCTGTTTTAGATTTGGGTTTCACTGAATCAAAAGTCAAGGTCAAAAAGTCAACCAGCCTGACCTAATTAACACATAAAAAGAGACCATAATACCTACTTCCTACACACTGACCTAACTGTTTCAATTTGCCCTTCTGAATCATTTTATAGATGTTGCTGATGCAATGAATTTTATTACAGATTTCTGGAAATACCAATTGTCTTTTTAGCTACTAAGTATAAATCAAGCTCCATATATAAAAAGACTTAAAAGCATTACTTCCTGAGGGGCCAATAACCAATCAAATTCAAGAGAATGGCTCTTCTGTAAGGGAGATCTGGTAAGCCCATTAATGATTCTTATTATTTTTGTCACAAATGATTTTCACCAACATCAGTCTGCACACTTGAGGGATTATTTTTTTCTTGTTAAACACCATTTAGATGGCTTACAGAGATGGCTTTTTGAGACGATCAATGTTACAAGGGTGACTTATGTGTGTCTCGTGATCTGACAATAAAAAGAATCAATCTTAATGCTCTGTGAATGTATACATAATTGTATAGAAGCACTCCAGGGAGTACATCTCATGAAATATATAACTTTGTAAATTGACCAAAAATAATATTCACAAAGTGTTCATTCGGTTCTTTAAAATAATTTATTCAGTAGATATTATATTTGCCATTCTAGGTATTACCTTCTACCTTAACTTGCTGCAGCACTTATGTAAGTGTTAGATAATTTTATATGGGCCTCGGTTAAGGCTTAAAGACATATTTCATAAAGCAAATTAACAATCAGAAGTGTTACTTGAAAAACATCTATGCATGCACTCAGCATAAGATAAAATGTACCAGGTATGTATGAGGCTTGTTTGAAAAGTTTGTGGCCAAAGTTATTTATGGGAAACTTATTGCATACTTTGAAGAATGATGTATGTTTGATTAAATTACTATCTTCTATTGCTTAGTGTATTAAGAAATCAGGTCCATTTCTTAAAATTTGAAAATACATGTATACAATGATTTTTACTCTTTTTTTTTTTTTACTAGAATTCAAGGAGCAACCACTTTAAGTTTCTTGAATTTTGAGACATATGACAACCTGATTCCAAACCTGTATCTTAATTCTCACAGTTTAAAATATCTTTCAGTTCTATAGACTTTTCACATTTTTTCCTTAAAAAATGTACTACTGTAGCAAGACAAATTACTTTTTCTCAAATGTCTTTTGTGGCATACTCAAATCAGCACTGAACTTGTCTAGTACACAGTTTAGCATTAACTTCAGATATGGAAACAAAGCAAAATCCATAGGAGCTACATGTATGTCCAATTGCAGGAGTTAATCATCAAATATGTCAATCCTTCCATCCTTAAAATGCAGCTACAATTTAGACAGTTATTGCCTACAGCAGAATCAAGAAACAATTTCAATTCAATTTCTTTTGGGCATCCTGCTGCTGCACCAGACCCTTAGGAACCGGGGAGCACAGAGCAACCCCCCCCCCCCCTCACCCCAATAATTTTGCCAGTACATGTATATACTTATAACTTTAGAGAAGAAAGCTTTTATTGTTGTGCCCCCTCAATATAATTTTGACAGTACAGTTAATATACATTAGAAAACAAAGCTAATTTTGCAGTTGTGTCCCCTTAAAAATGTGTTTGAAATTCTTCTTCTTTTTTTCTTATGTTGGCTTGTCAAGAATTTCAAGATTGTCCCCCCCAAACTGACTGAAATCGCTTCCTATGTGCACACATAACTTTTTCAAAAGCTCAATGCTCAAAGACATTTAATGATCAACTTTGCTATTCTTGACCTCGTTTTAAACACATTGATCATCTATAATTTGCCATAAACAGGCATAACTTCTCCATTTTAGTTCAAAATTTCACCAAATGATGATGAATAAATATTGCAGAGACAGTTGAAATATCATAAATCTTTGTATGCTACACTGCAATTTGTAATTCACAAAAATGTCTATGTAATGAAAATGAGCAAAAATATAACATGCTCTGTGAAGGATGTTTTATTTTAATGATAAAGCTGTACATTTTTTATAGATAATCAGAAAACAAAAAATATATGTATATTTATTGGAAAATAAATACCGGTAATTATTTTCTTATCTGCAGAGGTTTATTGGTTTATTGCTAATAATGTGCTCACAATTATATTTCTCCACAAACCTTTCTAACAACCCTAAACCATATACTTATGTAATTTTAATTCTGAAGAGTAATGGATGGGTTAATTATTACACATATTTTTGGCCATAATTGAAAAAAGAATTTTTAATTCAAAAAAAATTATGGTACATTTCAATGCAAACAAAATTCTGCATTTATCAATACTGTTTCAATAAAGATTGGTGCTTGTTAGATTAACTTTTTATTACATGTACTTGTTTAATTGAAACAGTATTGCTTACTTTATTAACAATATTAGTAAGCATTTGTAGAGAAAACATTTTCTCCAAAAACTTACTATGTGTATCTTCTAAATCAAGCATGATATATATGGTTTTGTGTTTTACATCAGAAATCCCAGACAATAAATTAATAAGGCAGAACAAAAGTTAATTGAAATAGATAATTAATTAGTCTCTTAATCCTGCATTAAACTTCATGTACAGATATTGTTAATCCACTCAATAACTGCACAAACAAATAATTATCCTATGATGAAAGTGGAATCAGTGCACCATGGGATACTCAGGTAACAATTTGTAAGCACTAAAACTGTGAGAATAGTTATCAATAAGCATAGGCCTCTTATATATAGCTATTGGTATCACATCACTATATGACTTTTACAACAGATTCTTCACATATGTGGCTACCTACCTCTTGTGGAGGGACATCAAATGAGACGGTCCGGAGATCCACCTTAGTGTAACCCTCTATACATGGCAACACAAAAAATATACCTGAAATCAAATCAAACTGGGACATAAGGGTCTGGAGTGGGAAACACGATTTAAAGAATTTTATGAAATATCAAACTGACTTGGGCATAGACTATATGATTTAACACAAATTAAGGTAGGAAAAATTAGACTTTAAAGAAAATGTGGATCTTTTTTTTTTTAGTGTAATTTTATAAGGTTGCAGCTATGTATTACATAATTAGGTACTCCAAGAAGACATGCATTCTTTCTTCATTTATGATATTTAAAATAAGCATAGCATGTGTCACTATTCAAGTACAGTCAAACCTCATTATCTCAAACTCAGTGGGACTGGGAAAAAACTTCGAGATATCTGAGGATTCGAGATATCCAGGGTAAAAATACTTAAAGAATAAGTAGTTTGGACTTCGAAATCACTTTGACATATCCATGGTATTCGAGGTATTCGTGTTTGAGATACCAGAGTTCAACTTTATGTGTTTATATGAACTAGTTTCCTTATATCAAAGAGTAACATTGAAACTAGCTCTAGTTGTTGTAAAAAATACCTGGTCCTTTTGATCCGCCAGATAAAAGCCTTCCTAAGCGGAATATCACAGCTCTTTCATATTCTTGTACAACCTAAAGAATGACATAAAACTATTCTTGGAAAGAAATCTATTTAAAATCTTATTCTTCATCTCAGTTTGACAAACAGTGACTACTCAAAAAAAAGCATTCAACTGCACAATACTGTTACAGTACATTTTATTTCAGGTATTTCAAGTACAAAAGACCATTCTGCATAATATAATGTATTGTAATCTTCAAAAATTTTGGTGCCTCTGACCAGAATCATGCAGACATAAAATGAAAGGGGCAGTTAAATTTTTGGGTGCCTTTGAATGGAATTACATAACCCATCCCCCACTATAGTAAACCAACATTTAATAATTACCTTAATGCAGAAAAATAATGAAAATGGAAAGGTCACTATAACCAAAAAGAAAGACAGAATCATCAGAATACTTCCACAACATCCAATGTTCCCACTATTCCCATCTGGGTCAGCTGAAAGACAAAACAAAAAAATACATTGTAAATTATTAAATTTCTGTATCAATTCTGTCTGTGTGACCAAGCAATATTATCATAGCATCTGTAATGGAATCAGGTAAGATGAACTCAAAAGTTTCTAATCATTTTCTGCTGATTCATTTATGTATGTGGGTGAACTGAGAAGCAAAAATCCCACAAAGGAATTTTTTGGGATCACCTATATACTACCGGTACATGTATGCTCATGACTCATGAGTGACTATTTTCATTAACAAAATGCCAAAAATATCATTTTTTATATATGTAATCTTGGTTTCAAATCTGATTTCAAAATAGGAAGTGACATACTTGTTTCAATCCAATGAAAATTCCTGAAAGACCTTTAATTCACTCACTTTTTCATTGCACATTTGTGTACATTTAAGAGTAGATAAGATATCTAATAAAAATTAATTAAATTAGTTTGAAACCCTGATATGGCCCACCTTTGAAACACACACACTTACACAGTTATATTATTAAAGACAAACAAATCTATTTCTTGAGACAGTTAAAGAGAAGGGAGAGATTTTATTTGTTGATACATGTATTGACAAACCGGGAAAATAATGTATATTCAGAAAAATTTCCTTTTGACAAAATGGGTAGCATCAGCACATGTAGCCCCTTGAGAGTCCTTAAGAAGCCCCCCCCCCCTCCCACCACCACCACCACCACCAATGCTCCATTCTCCAGTTTAATTTGGACCTGGGATTTTTATGAAATATTTAAAAAAAAAACTTAACATCCCAAGCCACACCCCTTTCTAGGAGTTCATATATAGTCTTATATCATTGCAAACATATTGAATGCAATAATCATATTTCTTATGGGATATGATAAATTAAGTTTGATTATAGATAATGATAAAAAAAAAAGACTATATAGTTTCCACCCTCAAAGAATCAAGGGATTTCTTATACAGAATACAAGTTACAGAATTTTTTCCCATCCATTCGCCATTATCTACATCAGAAATGTAACATATCTTAAACTGTCACTTCAAATTACCTCAGACAGACAATGTGTAACTATAAGCTAATCATTATCAGAGAATCACATCCAACATAAAAGTCAGGCAAGGAAGACTTCAAACCAATAATGACAAATACTCCAGTATGAGTGCACTCAGTATCAAACAGAACAAATTATGATTTGATGAGAGATTACCTCCAATAATTTGGGACCCCTGTTGGGTGCCTGCCTGGGGGTGATTATACATGCTTCACTGTCTATATAATCTCCACATCGCCACTAAATGCAGAAGAATTAGCTAGATTTTGGTCCAGTACATTGATGGAAATTGAACGATTGTTTTATTTCAAACACTAATATTATATTCCCCTCAAAAAAGGTTCATTGAACAACCTGACTTGAACTCTTAGGACAAAAAAGATAACTGATAGCATCCTGACTGCTGAAAAACGTGGGCAAGTAAAATCAATGAGAACTCCATCCCTCTTTGCTCCGATGGAACAGTGATGGGATCTTGGCGTGTTTACCTACTTTTTTAAAAAAGAGATATGTAAACCTGCTCCAAGCCCATGAGTATCAGATGGCTCAATAGCGCCATTAATACAACAATAATACTTGGATACTACAAGTATAATTACTGCTAATGCGCCATCAATGCTAAATATTGACACCCATTTGTTTAATTGCTTTGCACCTTTGTTTAATCATAAACAGAGATCGAAAATTGTCAATCATCATTTTTCAAAGAAGAATGCAAAATACAATATTTTAAATAAGTCTGCAGGAAGTTCATTATAATTATTTCAAAATTTTAGAAATAAGTTAGGAAACACTGAAATTGTCTCCAGAGATTACAAAATCTGAATCCAAATACATGTACTGGAAAATATAAAATGACAATTAACACACATATACTAGGTATCTGATTGTCTTTTTCTTGATTCTAATTATTATAGTATTATGTACATACCTATGCTTTATTCATAATTAATGAACCTTCTGCAAATTTTTCTGATCAAAATGTGTGGTGTTAAGGTTCAATATTTCTAATCATATCTACAACCCCCTCACACTTGAACATCTTGAAATAATTCATAGCCTCGACTGCTTCTACTTTCTTTTGCTGAACATAAGCTCTTCTATACTATCAAAAAAGTGGTACATATAGAGGTGTATGGCACATTTAGTAAGCAACAATGCTTATTCTACTAACAAAAGTATGTAGAAATTGGACAGATGTATATCACTAAGCATTTTAAAAGAAAATATTTTGTGCAGCTGCTAGAGCGCCTTAAGAAAACAAAAGAACAAAATATGTTATTGGCTATAAACGCCAAGAAATTTTACGATTTTTCAACAATGGTTTTTTATGCAAGTTCTTTATGTTTTGTTTACAATGAGATCAAAGCTAATTCCAGCTTGTATAAAAATGACGTACATGTAATATGCAATAATGACGTCCCAAAAATACGCCAAACACCAGTTTCGGGGGGGGGGGGGGGGGGGGAGGGGGGGTACAACGTGTCTGCTAACAATATAGAATAGGTTTTTATTCCTATTGAGTGACTCATTACCTGAAAGTTTTATTTCATGCAAATAATTGAGTGGGATGTGCGAGTTAGATTGAGTTTCGAGTAGTGAGAGTTAAATATTTATTCAACAGTAAAGAAGAAAAAAAAAGAAAAATAATAATACTGAAAAATACAAAATAAATTATAAAACAAGATATGTTTGTGAAACACTAAAGCCTCTATATGGCAGCTTATGGCAAAAGTTAAAGTTTCTCAAATGCAAGTCAAACTCCAAGGTTAAGGTCAAGAGATCAAAAATGTTCTTATCCAAAGAAAGGATTTGTGTCAATGGATATACAAGGTAAATATAAAAGCCCAAGCACAAACCATTCAAAAGTTTATATAATGGTCAAGGTTAATGCTTTTTAAAAGTGGGTCAAAGTTCTGAACTTCAACAGCTGCTATTATATCACATTCACTAAAGCTGGCTTAGGCCAGCTTCATACGATAAATAATAAAAAAAATGACTAAATATTTGATTTTTGCCTGTTTTTTCCCATTTATTTGTATGAAGATGTTTTTTTTCCCAATTTAAACCAAATTTCGCTATTTTTCCCAAACTAGACGGCCCCGGCCCCTGGAATCAAAGGGTTAAAAAATACCTGGTCAAACTCCAAGGTCAAAGGGTCAAAATTAATGGTATGCAGGGAAAAGACCTTGTCATAAGAAATACACTTGCAGAATATAAAAGCCATAGCACCAAGTGTTCAAAAGTAATGGCCCAGGTAAAAGTTTTCCAAAAGTAGGTCAAACTCCAAGATCAAGATCAAAGGTCAAAGTTGTTGGTATCCAAAGAAAGGTCTTGTCACAAGGAATATACCTGTAAAATTTGAAGGCCCTAGTACTTACTGTTCAAAAATATGGCTAAGGTTAAAGTTTTTCAAAAGTGGGTCAAACTCTTAGGTCATGGTCAAGAGGTTAAAAATATTTACACCAATGGAAAGGTCTTGTCATAATGAATACACATGTGAAATATGAAAGCCCTAGCACCAACTGTTCAAAAGTTATTTAAAGAGGTCAAATATGTTGGTATCAAAAGAAATTAAGGTCTTTCACGAATGTGAAATATGAAAGCCATAGCTCCAACCAATCAAAAGTTATTGGCAAAGGTAAAGTTTTTGCGGACAAACAGACAGACGGACAGGGCAAAAACTATATACCCCAGAATCTTCAATATGAGTTTAATATTAATTACAAATAGAGTAGAGTCTATTTTCTGACATGAGGAATCACATCACATTGAGTAAATGATACAAAGTATGTGAAATTTAAACTTTATAGTTGAAATTAAAACAAAATTTGAAAATTAATATATATATATATATATATATATATATATATATATATATATATATATATATATATATATATATATATATATATATATATATATATATATATATATATATATATATATACATGTATGTATGTATATATATATATATATATATATATATATATATATATATATGTATATATATATAATTTTATTAAATTGAGGGAAAATTATGTACAGGATGTACATAGGTATATAGGTAACTATGTATTTAATGAATTATTGAGAGAGAGAGAGAGCAATAAGAAAATAGTAACTCAAGCTCCTGGTAGGAGTTTAAATAATGAGTACAATGTAGTTGTTTTATGTCCCATGCAGACAGTCTGATGCAAAAGCCTGTCATCCCCACACCATCTCGACCATGGCCCAAATGACAAAATGTAAACTTAATTGCAAATGAAATTCTTAAAATTTTTTTGGACTTACTGACTTCTATTTTACAGACAATCATACATGCAGTGGCGGATTTAAGGGGGGGTGCACCCGGCGCGCGCCCCCCCCTAAAATTGTCAAAGTTAGCGTAAATCATAGTTTCGTCGAGAAAATGTAAAAATGTCTTCTTGGTAGACCTCATTTTTACCCTTCAAAATCTCTAGAATCCAGGAGCTTCTGGGGGCTTCGCCCCCTGGGCCCCACCAGGGCCTCACCCTGGACCCACTGGGGGCCTCATGGCGGCCCCCAGACCCCCTGCCTACTTCTTGCGCCCCCCCCCCAACTTCAAATCCTGGATCCGCGCCTGACATGTACATCATTTTTATACATTAATATATACAGGACCTTTATATGATGCAAGTGAGATATGAACATCATTGATGTCATCAAGCAAAACAAAAGTCGGAACTGACGTTAATACTATCTCTTAAACAACACTTTTAGCATTATTTGCGATGTGTTACACGTAATCAGATATAAGCAAGTCAAATATCATTAGAAATATAAAGTTCTCTATTTTTGTGTCAGGTAAACGTCAATATATTTCAAGGTTCGACAAAAATCGACCAATAACGTACCTTGTTCTTTATAGAGCTAACTTTAAAAATTCAAATTCCAAACAGAAATAACATGAGTTCTATAGATATATAACAATATTGAGATTAAATAAATCACATTTGTGAGCACATTTAATTATAATCATTTACATATATTTGCAAAAAATATATTATACAAATATTCTACTTCTTTTCCTCTGAAAATTGAAAATACACACAGGGTCTGATTAAGCTAGGTCTAGATCATTTTTATCAACTGCAGGATGAACAGGAAAAACCAATATACTATACAGTTATAAACCCCAGCACTGTCTGCTTTGATAGAAACCAGGTTCCCAATGTACTTGTTCTGACACCCAAATACAATTTATTGAATCAACTTTGATATACTGAGGGCATGCATGATGATATTCTTGCAAGCTTTCATATAACTTACATCTATAAATCTTCCTATGTTACAGTGCAGATGACTTCATGCATACATTTCTTGTGCAAAAATTCAATATACATGTACTGGTATTTTGTTTTAATCATTAAGTTTTAATTAAATTGTCATCATCCCTTCTTTAATACAATTTATACCTTGTTGACTATTTTTGTGCTTACACAGTTAATATATCATAATTTCATCATATGCTCTGTATTATCGAGCCCTGTTGAAATGATTCTATATAGTTACATAATATTTCAGTGGAGGATAGACAAAGAGAGAAAACATTTAAGTCGTTTAATTATAAACCGTATCTGCTGAGCAGTTTAACTTTCTCTTTTACTCTTAAATAAAATTAACCCTGTAGTGAAATTGATTTAAAATGATTTAAAATAGCACAGAGCTTAATTTTGTTTACAAAAAAAAAGAAGAAAGAAATTGAAACAAGGAAAAAATTCAAACCTGTATATGGTGCCTTCCTTTAGTCTAATATTCCTTAATTTAGACTCACCTCCAATGACTGTTTCGGTTTTTCTATGTCCAAGGTCTGCAGGATTATAACTGCTTGCCCCATTCACAGGGACTGTGGCTCCTGATGTGAATTAAATATAAAGGTTAGGCATCTAATGGAACAAAATGATAGAAAGAGAAAAATTTCTACATAACAGCTAGTAAAATAGTTTATCAGTATTTGAAACTGAGCTAAACACAAATTAAAGAAAAGTGAGGTCAAGATCAAATTAAAGGTCAAGGTGAAAAAAATGTTGATGCACTTGAATAGCTCTTATCAAAATGTATCAGCATATGATGTTTGATAAAAAAAAAATCTTGAATAGTTTCTTTGAAACTCAGCTAAACACAAAAGTGAGGTCAAAGGAAAAGTCAAGGTGAAATATTGTTGAAGTAGTTGAACAGCTCTCATTAATATGTAACAACTAGCGTTTGATAGAAATATCATGAATGGTTTCTTTAAAACTGACCTAAATGCAAAGTGCGATGGACAGACAGAAGGATAGAAGACAGACATGACAAACACTATATGTCCTAGTCATATTCATGGCTATTCATGACTGTTTTCCCACATTCTTTAAAATATTGGCTTATAAGAACATGTTAAATATCTATACTAACCAAATTTGTCCAAGTCTAAAGTTTTCTCTGGATGGTATTCTGGCATATTGTATCGTTCTGTGTCGGGATCGTCCGCAGGAGACACCTTATTGTGGAAAGATAACTGCTGGGTCTGCAGAACAAAGAAAAAAAACTGTCATCTTTTATTATTAATTATGCTAACAATCACCAAGTTTTTCCATGCATGGACATATTATATCTATAAGCTAGCTCGATTTAAAATTGTTACCATAATTATACAGTCTTCTTAAATTTCAAGGATGGTTGTATGTATGTGTCCAATGTTTTTCCGTAAGACTTGCCCTCACTCTACTATTTTTATGCAGCCGAGAAAGAAACTTTTTTTTTGGATGTTAACCTAAATTTTTCTTTGAAAGAAGAAGCTGTAATATTTAAATGTTTTACTTATAATTTGACCGTAAATATTTTTAAATATGATATGATTTTTCTTTAAGATTTTTTTGAAAGGAATTCTAAGATTACGTCCTCATGAACTTCAACCAATCAGGAATAATATCTCTGAGTCAAGCGGCACTACGGAAATATGCGAAAATGTGAAATATAAACCATAGACAGTTTGTCAACATATGAGTGTCAATATCTGTGTGTTTGAATGAAATAAATGAATAATAGAAATGTAAATATAAGAGATGACGTATTTCAGTTTGAAATGTTCATGTCTAAAGAAACTTTAATTAATGAAATATATTGCCTGCATGGGTAAAAAGTTCATACTATCATGAACTTTCTAAACTGAAACATATTTCTAAAATGAATAATCAAAGTAGCATATCATACAGAAATCAGCCTCTCATTGTGCAATTTCAAATCAATTTTCTTCAAGTTTGAGAATTTTACTTCATTAACACCCCTTGGATAATTAACAATGGCTGGAATGTGAAAATGAATGGAAATCAATAGCTCCTTAATGTACTGGACACGATCATATTAGTTAAGGACACAAGTCATGTTCCCCAACAAATAAACGAGAAAGAGATCACTAACTTTATTCTCCTCTCAGATGATTGCTATAAAGTTGCTTTATAAGACATTGATTTTATATTAAGCAAACTCAATTTGCTTAAAGTTCTTTCAGTGACAAATACGTGTAGATTCACTAAAAAGAAAGCTCCTTCTACCTACAATGTACGTGAGTTGTCTCCCTTTAAGGTTGCTTCTGGAGGATAAGTCAGAAAAAAATGGATGGGGGCACTATACTGAGAGGACCAGAGACATGCACTCTTTCCTCTCTTTTAAAATCTACTGAGGATAAAGACGAAGGAACATGAAAGTGAGGATTTTTAATAGGAAGCAGGAATACCGAGTACAGAGGTACATACAGTTGAACTTTGGTATCTCAAAAACTGATATCTCGAATACAATGGATATGTCCAAGTGATTTTGAAGTCCCAGCCACTTATTCTTGAAGTATTTTACCCTCGATATCTTGAATCCTTGGATATATCAAACTTTTTTAGTCCCATTGAGTTTGAGATAACAAGTTTTGACTATATATTATTTATATAGTACATTATATAATACAGTATTTATATCAGTTTTAAAGGATTAGCAATAAGGGGAAATAAAATTCAGGAGGAGGAAAGTAGAAGTTTGAAGGAAGGGGAAAAAGAAGGCTGAGGGAGGAGTCATGATTGATAAAGAGAATGGGGAAGATTGAGCAATTATGAAGGAAGTATAAAAATGAATCAATGAGAACAGAGGAATATGGAAAAAGGCTAAATTAAAAAAAAAAAACATGAATCAGAATTGCTAAATATATCTTGCAAGTGAATAAGGCTTCAATCAATGTTCTTATAATTAAATATACTTAAGCTATTGATTTTAATATCAATGCTGTTATATATTTGTTTGCAACATGAAGAATATGAACAGAATTTCAAATACTTTTTTTTTTTTTTTTTTTTTTTACAATTAATTGTCATAATTGTCAGCTGTTTATATGGCATTTCTATATGGAAGTTGACTCAACAAAGCAAATTTTTACAGTAAACATTGAAAAAAAAAATGTAGATTAAGTCGTACATATTATTACCTTTATAACAACCAAATATTTTTGAAGACAACTTATTTATTAGGGTAGTTGTATAATTAAAATAAATTTCACCAAGCCCCTTCTTAAAATATCTCTAATGGGTAATCAGGGAATTTTATTAATCAAGTATTTCAGATCAGACAGAATGTTATATAATATAATAATTAATGACTTATTTTTGTTTTAGAGAAACCAATTACTTAAATTTGCAGAAACAAGCAAACACGAAGCTGCTGTCAACAGAATGGCAGTCTTTCATTGATCTTTTTTATCTCTATTAATTCTTATCCCCATCATATCATAGCAATTACCTAAATCTTTGTAATTTATCATAAAGCGATGCAAAGTTTCATAAAATTCCTACAATCAGTAAATCTTACCTCTTACTAGAATGACAAACATCTGCCATATAAAAAAAATATATAGAACTTCCACTGGATGTGAAAAGACCAAATTTTCTTTAGCTAGAAATCAATAAATGAAGAACCTAAAGGATGGCTGGTAATCCCGATTATTTCCTGTAACAGTTCACATGTGTTCTTAATACTCCCCAGGTTTTGCCCTCACTAACCTGCCTTTTATTGTTATTTTGAAAGTTAGAGCTTCCTAGAGGTTTTTGTAGATTTGCCATTTGGCATTGTAATGTAATAAGTATGTGATACTCCCAGTCTGTTTAAAAGTGTATAAAAGTTGTAAATTTGTCAATTTTAGAACATATATATGCTGAGTGAAAAAAAATAACTTCTATGTATAATTATTTGCTATACCTTTGAAAATTGGTTCCTATATATAAATCTATACTTAAAAAAGTCTAACATTTCCAATGTTTTACATACGTACTGAGTGGTCATTAAAAAAACATCGATGTTTGACCGCAGAGTGAGATATTGGACCTGTCGATGAGATATTGGACAGCTTTAGTCACACTGTGGGCGGGATCAGCTAAATCTCATGTATGTCAAAAATTTAAAAAAAGAAAAAGTATAACAAATAAAACATTTATTGATTATTCAAACACAAAATGCGTTTTGTTGACCCCTAGAACCAAACTGTTTACCTTCGGCCTAACCGTCTCAGGCAAACAGTTTGGTTCTAGGGTCCAACAAAACATATGTTGCCCTTGAACCCAGTCAAAAAATGTATGATATTAACAGCTTTTCATTTCTAAAAATGTTAAATTTCAAAGCCTGACCTTTTACTGTTTCTGTTCATGAGGTATAAGGAAAAATTCAAGTTCAACATCACAAAGTATGCATTTTGTCATTCACATAGTAAAGAATATGAGATGAGACTTCATATAAAAGTAAGCCAAAGGTCAATTTCAATGTCAACTATTACACTTCTACACCCTAAATCCCCACCCTAAGTGGAAGAAATTAATTAAGAGGGAGAGAGAGAGAGACCAATGTAGTTTTCCCTATATCATTTCTTTCAAACTAGCTTCAGGGATGCAAGCCCCTAGCAATGGTTTCAAAAGGAAAGCGGGCAACCTTACCAAAACATGTGACATGAAAAAAAAAATCTTGGAATATGCCAGTGCTCAATCTTGCAGCAACAAATTGTGTGTGTGTGTGTGGGGGGGGGGGGGGGCTAGCATCTAAATGAAAATTTACTATTATAGCAAAATACTATGCTCAGAAAAAGGTGCCTCCCCCACATTCTACAAGAATATCAAACAAAATACATGATGAGAGACTGAGTTCAATAACATTTTCGCCAAGCAAAGTTATTTGCTGTTGATAAATAATCATATGCAGCAGTAATTTTTCTAAAAATTAGATTATTCCTTGATGGTAGAAACATATTAAGACAAATTCATGCTCTAAAAATTTATAAAACTGAAAGATGATTTATCATGTACATGTGTATATAGTGAAATAGTAGATTACATTACTCAGTAATCTTAGTGACATATATCTAATTTATTCTGATTGCCCTTATCCCCCAAAATTTTTTTCAAGTATATGCAGAACTTCTTGAAGTTCTTCCCTTTTTAAGCACTTTTCAGGCCTGTGCAATGGGTTTCAAAGTGTATGGGGGGGGGGGTCTCCAAAAAAAAGTTGACAAGCAAAACAATTTTTTTCAGTTTTAAAACATATAAAAAGAAATTAAATTGCCAAAACCCTGAAATCCAATTTCGGGTGGAGATGGGAGAGAGTGAGTGCGCCTTTCTAATTTTTCGGTACATTTTCACTAATTTGGATGTTAAGCAACAAAAAGTGGGAGTTAAGCAACGCCGAAATCAAAATTTACTTATTAAAACTACATACAAAAGACTTTTCTCAAAAAAAAGTGAGGCACCCCCCCCCCTCCAGTCTACTACGGACCACTCAGTTAATCCCCCCTCACTTAAAATTATTAATGATCATGATGAAACGCCCGTTTTTTTCCCCAAAGATACGTATATTGTATCGAACAGACTGAAATTAGCAGGAGCCAGTGCAGTAACTGCAGTTATAATGATTGAAATTAAATAAATCAAATATTGATTTCATTAATTTATATTTTTTTCGAGGTTGCTGTTGGGGTGGGAGACCATGACTGACTTTTTCCCTTTGTATCCCCATTGTCATGATTTACAGCACCATAAAATTGATACTGCATCGATACCACACAGAGTCCCTTGTCCAGATCCGATTATCGTCCCCAGCTGAATGACCCTGCATGAAGAAAGGCCTGGGGTGATCATTTCTAGCGGCTACAGTAATGTCATGTACATAATGCCCATATGTGCCTTATCTCATTAGACTACCTGTAGTGTAGAACAGATCGCATCCCACGGGACTCCACCGAATGGGTTAAAGATGGCGGGGAAAGATTTTATCCTGGTCCCAAATAATGAAGAAGGTAAGATAGTTGGCGCGTTAAACTGGGCTGTAAAATTTAAAATCAAAACAGCAAATTTTGAAGTCAGTTCATGATGCAACGTATGTAGAAAGAGGAGTAACTCTAATGCGCATACGTCGCAGCACCAATGCAATAACCTATATCTGCATTTTCCATAATTTGATTATGACCAACAATGTATGTACATATTTTATAACTAATTTATCATGTCTATAGACAGTACTTAATCATGTTTAGTCTAGTGTTTGCTTTGGAGAGTTTGTGCACGAACAGAGTTAGAATCCCGGTTCTCTTTGATTTCTCTTTGATGTGCTTTGGGAAACGTTATTGGCAGTTTCATTTCGAACACATTGGTAACAGATTCGAAAACACAAGTTCAGAAGGCATTTTGGGCAGTATGTAAGGTGTTGCCTAATGGGATTGTAGTTCTGTTGCCATAAAACACTGTGTTTGAGTTGGATTTCCAAGACTAGTGTTTTTTGTCAAAAGCCAATATAATAATGATCAGTGGTAAGTACTTTCTTGAATTGTTGCCCAGAAATGAGCAAGCAAAGGAATTTTATTTCTCTGCTCGGTTTATTAACTGGTTGTCAATGAACTTTCCCTTATAGGCTTAAATCATAAAAATTGCTCAATTGAAAAAAAAATATCTCCATGACTCCACATGTGTTTTGCAGGTAAATCTGGTTCTTAATATTTGGATTGACAATTTTTTTTTTAACTCTGTCAATCTGAATGTTTGATAGTCTTTACAGAATTTCAAAAACTCTGACATAGGTGTAGATTAAGAATTATTATTCTTTCTCAAAGTCTAGGTGATACTATGATAGTAAATTGCTGAGAGTAAAATTGTAAAGATCCCATTTTGATTGTTCTGTGTTTGCAAGGTTATTGGTCATTTGGATCAACTGAGGTGGCCAAGGAATTCATCTGACCAGGCGTTTTTCATGGACTGACAGGACTAAATATTTCTGACCACTCTCCTAATATACCTACACCCACACATAGGTTAAAATGATGGACTGTGACCCGTGGGGAAAACAATGTTGTACGTCTCTACAAGAATTCTTTAAAGTTTTTGTACATTTCCTTATGAATTCCCTTTCTTTTTTTGGCACGCAACTATACAGTTGTTATACAGTCAAACCTTATTGTCTGTATATATAAAGTGGGAACGGGCTGGGGGGGGGGGGGGGGGGGTCGGGTTCAGTCACATTTAAATTTTTTTATATTAACTGACATTCTTAAGTTTCATATGATTTAATCCTGTTAGTTGCAATTCTATAAAATATTTCAAATTTTTATGAATTGTACATTAGACTCTGTTTATGTCCTTATTACTGAATGATTGGAATCATAAAAATTTGAAGTGCAAGTAATTAAAGTGTGTGTAGGAAGGAGTAAATTGCAAAAAGTTCATGTTACAGAAATGAATTTTACTCATCTCCATGCAGTTATAAAGGTTTAGAAATTCATTTTGCATTTCTAGCTCATTTATTACCTGACCAATATATTGTAAATTTGTTACTTATACCCAGTATAATGGGGAAAAAATTGTCCCCCCACCCCTTTTTTAATGTGTACATTTATATCTTGATATACAAATAGTCACCTGTTATCAGATACTAGTAACTTATGCTTCTAAATATTAAGTAGATATTGTACTGCGATGGGATTTCCTGTGTGTGACAAGGAAGTTAGAATGTTTTTGATGTCAAATACATGTGATTTAAGTATTCCTTAAATTAGCAAGGACATGTCAATCAGGTGATGTTGACTTACTTTGGCAGCAGAAAAAGTTGAGTGAAAATGGCTCAGAATTATAAGCTTTTCAGAGAAGAGGACAAGATTTTCAGCATAAGGGGTAAAAACTTTTTTTTTGAAAAAATGTTCTCATTATGTTAATTATTTTAGTTACGGCTGCTTAATGGAGTTACTAAATTTAATAGCTACAGTAAGCTTTTTAATTAATGTTTAATTTGAATGAGGTATTTCGACTGTAGAAATTAGCAAGGGAACATTAGGGATAAATGGTTCATCTAACAAGTATTTATGCAGATGAAAGCTAAAGTCATCAAATACTGAACTTAACTGTTTAACACATACTTTTCAAACAATTCTAAAGCAGCATACCCCGGTACTTGTTTATGACCTAGCTAGATGCATATTACAAATGAAGTTCTAAGTAGTCAGTTCATAGATAATTTGAACTTAAAGAGAGAATATTTAGGTCATTAGACTTTATTTTGCTTTTATTTGTAAATATTTACATTTCCAATGTCTTTGTCCGAGATAAAATTACAAATTGTAAAAATACTTTATTTCTACATAAATCTACTGGTTCATTGATAGGCGCGGTTTAAAAAAATCACGTGCGGGGCGGGACAAATAGAGACAGAAGCGGGGCTATTAGCACGGGAATTTGCAGAATCAGGTGCATGTAAATATAAGGAATAACTGTAAGATTTTTGGATTCATGACGATGATCAATCGATTGGCTTGTGTGATAATTTTATGCATAAACGCCTTCAGCGTTTATGCAAATTATCACGCAAGCCACTCGATTGATCACATCAAAAAAAATTAGACAGTTATTCCTTAAAAGGATTCACTCTAGGATGTTGTGCTTTAAGTCTTTAAATAATTTCTTATGTTTTGAAAATATTATTGTCTAATCCTATAAAGTTTATGGACATTGATGGCCAGTGGTGTAGTCTGTACATATATTTTTTTACTAATCTATATTACAGTGAAACTTGTCTAATCTGGACACCACTGCTTCCAAAGAAATTGGCCTGATTAGACAACATTCCGGATTAGACAACATTTTAAACAATTGAATGTATTGAAAGGGACTTAAGTTTACATCGTATTAGGCAAGATTTCGGAATACACAACATGCGGATTAGACAAATTTAACTGTAATTCAGTTCAAATGAAATGGTGTACCCAGTTCATCTTGATCTTCTGCTCCTCTTCCCTCCTCTTCTCCATGTCTATTGGAGCTATTATCAAAGGTTCTTCATTCTGCATTTCTACATCTTCAGTTTTTGGTGTTACTTGGTCTTCTTCCTGAAAATATTTTAAAATATGTGTACAGTTATATGTATGCCCTCTGCAACCTTTGTATTAAATAGGCTGCTTGATCAAGTCTGTCGCAGTTCCTTTGCACTTTTTAAGTTGAAAGAGCACAAATTTTTTGTGGAAGGTCCGGGCAGGGTTCAAATCCAATTATCCATGACAGAGTAACTAAACTTGCCAACGCATAAAATATATGCATAATGTGCACAGCAGTATACAAGGATAGTAGAAAAGGAGGAATTAATAGACAAGAAAATTTACATGTACATAATGAAAATATATGACTGGACTCTAAATTGAACCCAGGACCCCTGCATTACTTAAATCAGGTATTCTCCAACACTGAACTATCCTGGGCATTATTCATGTACATGCAGTGTCCATATAGCCTAAACAACTACACTGTATTTTTGTTTTTTTTAACAAATTTGGCCTTTGTGGTGAACCCTTACAAATTCAGGCATATGATGTAGAGTGTTATTTTTATCTAAACCTCATAAAATCTTGGCTTTTAACTTGTAATAATTAATAAAGGACATTGGAAGTACAGTGACTGAGTAACTGACTACTACCAGGTAATATAAGTGGTTTGTGAACATAATTGATTTCATGCCTATAACAAGGCCATATGTGTCTCTTTGAACTGAACAATTAATAATTAAAAACTAAATCTTAGATGATGAATTGTGGATATAATGAAGGAATTAGGGCTACCTCTAATGGTTTCACTATATCTACATGTATGTTATAGCAATAATTACCCTCTTTGGTAAGGTTGTGCAACACTTTCTTGTACTCACCATTGTACTTGGATCTGCAGCTATTAATATAGCATCTTTCTTTCTTTTCTTTTTCTGTGAAAAAAAAATTTAAAAATCAGTAAAATAAGAAACTCCATAATAAAATTGACTACTTGTACTGTGATTTTTCTCTCTTTCTCTCTTTTAACTAAAGGTGACCTGAAGAATTACATACCTTCTTTTTGCTTTTCTTTCTTGATTTGGAAGTTTCATCTAGTGAAACACTGAATTCCTCTGTTGCACTAGCATCTTTCCTTGGAGAGTCCTTTAGTGTGTCACCATCTGTCTCTTCTGCTGCTGACTGGACATTGCTTTCTGCTGCTGACTGGACATTGCCTTCTGCTGTTGGATAGACTTTGTCGTCTGCTGTAGGGTGGGCATTGTCATCTGCTACTAAGTGGTCGCTAGTGTCTGGCTCTGTAGATACAATGTCTTGAGAAATCTGTCCTGGTTCATTCTCAATAGGTGCACTGTCATCTTTGGGAACTGTTTCTCTATGCTGCAGATATCCTGAGTCAGTGCTTTCCTCTCCCTCCATTTTAGAGGGTTTTCAAATATCTGTATGATTGAGGTTTGAGAATTAATTAAATTAACAAGTTTAAGCATTTTTTTAGGCTAGAAATGAAGACAAACTCAAATTGTTTAAGAAACCAAAATACATGTTTACATTCAGTATCAACAAAGAAAAAAATATGCAGAAAAATTAAAAAGAGTGCATTGAAATTGAATGAAAAATAAATATTTACTTTACCTAGTTGTGTTAGTAAATATCATTGATACTAATTTAAGTACAAGACAATAGTCTGTAAAAGCTGAAACATACCCTAGCACTTACTAATTATTGGACTTATCCATCATAACTATTTTTCAAACATTTGGGTTGAAATGTCAACATTAAAACTTCATCTCATATCCAAGCAGTGAAGAAATGTGTTCAATCCTGAACTTTAAATGCATGTACGATGAATTTGCTTTTCGTTGTCAGAAGATTTCTAATAGGATTTATTTTGTTGTGGACTTTTAAAGATTTCCCAATAGATCGATACCAGTCACCTGTGCTATTTACCAATTTCAATAAACGGGTATGCATGATCACAAGCCATGACAAAATATCATCACAAAATTACTGTCACATAGACAGGTATACAAATGCGCTAATGAACTATGATTTAATTGACATTTTATATTGAATCCGGAACTCATATCTAGTCTATCAGTTAATTTATGTACCATTCAATACAGAACCCCCAAGTCAGATTTTCAAAGTGATTCAGAAATTGAAATTATAGTAGATGAAAACTGAAGTTTTCTCTAGAGAATTTTTTTTGTTTTATATGCTCATCTGAATAGCCAAAGGTTCTGGTGAGCTCTTTTGATGAAAGAGTGTATGGCATCCATCTGTCTTTCAAATATCATGTACAATGTATATCACTTGTAAACTTTTCAAATATTCATCTTTCTCCAGTAGATCTACCACTGGGTCTTTGGTGATGCAAATAATGCTAGTTGATGAAAGTATGTAATATTATCTAAATAATGAGTAGCAAGGCCAAAGTAAATCATAACGGTGTAAATCATAACAATGTAACTCCTCTACATTTTTTTTTTTTTTTTTTTTTTTGCTGGAGATATTAACATGAAGAATGGACTTTGTATTTTTTCCCCCATAATATTGGTTTCTCAAGAATGGTTTGATTACTACTAAGCAAAAAAGCATAAAAGTGACAGAAGTATGAAAAAATTATTTCAATTTTTAGAGAAAAAAAACTTCGATTCAGGAGTCTAAATGAGCATTAGGTTAAATCAAGAGTAGGAGAATACTGGACATGTACAGTTTGTCAGAGACTCTTTTTGTTTGAATTCTTGCAGGCAAGACTTTTTGTGAGACAAAGATCAGTCTAGGTCTTAAAATATAACAGTGCATGTTGATTTATTTTTCCTCATGCTGAAAATATTCATACTGAAACAAACCATGGTAACCAATGTGTTATATAATACATGTACCGTAGATAACTATATGTATATTTTTGTGATACCATATTTTTGTGAGATAGCTATTTGGTCATTATAAGCGAGACAAAATTTTCAAGAATGGTGGTATATTGTTGTATATAATCCTTAACATTAAAAGTATATATGCAAGAATGAAATTTTTGCGAGCAACAGTCTTGCAAAATTATGTGAAAATAAAGTTCTCCTTAAAAAAAAGTGATTTCCATTATACGCAGAGAGAAGTCATTTTTAAATAATGGCAATGTTTCTTATCAAAAGGGCATAGGCAAAGATTCAAATACAACTGATGCAAAGAGTTGCTGTTGTAAGATTTTTATATGGCTAATGGAAGAGCAAAGAGGTTCATGTTTAAGTACATGTTTACATGGTACATGTAAAAGAGGTATAAGTCAAGGAAAAGCAAAGCATTTAATCCCGAAATAACACTATGATTTGTGGTTGAAAAGCAGGATTTTTCACAGAAAAGCAGTGTCAAATCGTGGAAATGTGGAACAGTGATGTGGCAACTGGCTTTATTTCTGTGTCACTTAGGCAGTGGAGAATTTATATCTGGCAATATGGCCAATACCTAATCATCTCAATACATGTATTAGAAAATATTCATCATTATATTAATTCCATGTCCATGTATGTCTTTCTTATCATGTATGTCCCTCATATTATAGTTCTCAAGAAAATAATTTTGTGGCGGTCAGACAGGTTCGATCGCCAGTGGCCAGATAGCTCAGTTGGTAGAGCACCTGACTGGAGATTCAGGGGGCCCGAGTTCGAATCCCAGTCTGGTTCATCACATTTTTCTCATCTCCCAGTACAATTTCATTAATTAGGTTTGTTACTGTCTACAGAAATTTATCAGGTGTATCAATCTCATAGATGGCAAGGAAAAGCTAGTAGTGAGTAACAAATCTAAAAGATAATTTTTTTTACTTTTTAAACTTAAAAATTAGTGTGTAATTTAACTTAGGGAGTGGAGGTTGTCTATGGTAAGTTGGGCTTTGTAGTCAGCTAACCATGCCTCATGACACCTCCACAGTAAATTCCAGGCAATACTTCCAACAGACTGAGTGAGAGTCTGGGAGTCTGGTGCACAAGAGGAGAGCTTTATAATCCTAGTAATCCTCAGGAGTCAAGTAATTCTGCAGGTTCCCTCTCCTCATGTATGTCAGCAGCTGCTGTTGAGGGGCCTTATACAAAAGCAGTTATCTGTTGTTTTCATTGCATCATTCCCCAGTTGTTTCTTATTAATGTTACGCTATTAGAACAAAAATAGTTGCAGTATCATACACTGTCCCTTATGATGTGTGGGTCTATTGATCTGTGATCAAGTTATTCTCAACTATTGATCAAAAAGTCAGAAAATATGGGGGAACCAAACCAGCAAGGGAGCTCTTTGGATTATATGAAAGACTGTAAGTTGTACTAATTAATCTGTCAGAGACAGTTACTTTTGTTTTGTTAAAAGCTGATTTTCTAGTGATAAATTGCTGTAAATGGGGAATATCTCTGGTGTTTGATCTTTTTTTGCACAATAATTAAACAGAAAGTGAACATTGCACATCATGACAATGTGTATTGATGAGTAATGACATTCAATGCTAAGGTTTGAGATGCATAACACAATTCTTAATTCACCAGTCTCTAATGATAATTGACAATGGAGTACAGTGTTGTAGGAGGTAGGTTTTTCCATTCAGAAGTGAACAGTGAAAATCTCTGTAGAATTATTATACTAGAATAACATAATTTTCATGCAACTTTAAAAAAAAATGATTATGTTCAAAAAAGATTAAAATATTATATGATTTTGTACTGTAACTTTATAATTGTAGGTGCTAATGATGACTCTAACCCTAAGGATGGAGGAGATGTGGGATGCTGTGGGTACATCCTCTGGTTCCTGTCCGTAGCAGTCATTATCCTCACCTTCCCATTCTCTCTCTGCCTCTGTATCAAGGTCAGTAGCTGTCATTATCCTCACCTTCCCATTCTCTCTCTGCCTCTGTATCAAGGTCAGTAGCTGTCATTATCCTCACCTTCCCATTCTCTCTATGCCTCTGTATCAAGGTCAGTAGCAGTCATTATCCTCACCTTCCCATTCTCTCTCTGCCTCTGTATCAAGGTCAGTAGCTGTCATTATCCTCACCTTCCCATTCTCTCTCTGCCTCTGTATCAAGGTCAGTAGCAGTCATTATCCTCACCTTCCCATTCTCTCTCTGCCTCTGTATCAAGGTCAGTAGCTGTCATTATCCTCACCTTCCCATTCTCTCTCTGCCTCTGTATCAAAGTCAGTAGCAGTCATTATCCTCACCTTCCCATTCTCCTAAATGACTGACTCAGAAATCGATGATAATATCATAAACATTGAGATTGAAGTGTACCTAAAATATTTATTTGTTTTTGCATCAAGTATGCTTTATTCTTGAGTCTGGCATTTAGATTTCCTATGATCAAAGGCAGCAGTCAGAGAAGATGAATACTTTACATTATCGGAATCTGTGATTGAGACGGTTTTCTAGAACTTACATCTGTTCAGATGTTTGGTAATTCTATTGCTGCCAGATAAGATTTGTGTAATTGTCAAAATAATCTGCACTGAATTTAGCTTAATAAAGTCTAATACATGCATCTACTAATGGTTGTATACAGTGCACAGAAACCCCAAAATACAAACTGAAATGCATTTCACAAAAACAATAATATACATTTATTTACTGGGTTCGAGGGCATCATGCATTTTGTCGGACCCAAGAACCAAATAATTTGGTTTGAGGGGTCGACATAACGCATTTTGCTGGAGAACACAGTCAATAAATGTTTTGTTATACCTTTTATTTATTTATTTATTATGCCCATCTTCGAAGAAGGGAGGGCATATTGCTTTTGCCTGCTGTCTGTCTGTCTGTCTGTCCACCAACAGTTTCCGTTCATTTTCTTTGCAGAGGTTGCACATACTGAAATGAAATTTGGGATACAGATTTATTATAAGTATATCTAGGTCTGGTTCTGTTGTGGGTATGATCGAGCAATTTTTGCAAGAGTTATGCCCCTTGGACTTTGACAAATTCTAATTATTTGCAGGTTTTGTTTATTTTCTTCACAGAGGTTGCACATAATACTGAAATGAAATTTGGTATACAGATTTATCATAAGTATATCTAGGTCTGGTTCTGTTTTGGGTATGATCAAGCAATTTTTGACAGAGTAATGCCCCTTGGACTTAAAAAAATTCTAATTATTTGCAGGTTTTGTTTATTTTCTTCACAGAGGTTGCACATAATACTGAAATGAAATTTGGTATACAGATTTATCATAAGAATATCTAGGTCAAATTCTGTTTTGGGTACGATCAAGCAATTTTTGACAGATTTATGCCCCTTGGACTTAGAAAAATTCCAATTATTTGCAGTTTCCGGTCATTATCTCTGCAAAGTTTGAACAAAATTAATTACTGATATATCATGAGAAACGTGTTTTTGCCAAAGATGTGACATAGAAGACTATTTCTGGTTGATGCATCTCAGATAGTACTGGTAGATGACCCCTATTGATTTTAAGTTCAAAAGGTCAATTTCATTTCCATGTACACTGCCCATAATGTATACTGCCCATAATAAGGGCTTGTGCACCTTATAATGTATGTCCAAGGGGGGGGGGGGGGGGGGATAAGTCTTTCACAAACATCTCGGTTTTTTTTGGTTTGTTTTTTGTTATACATGTATCTTTTGGCGCTGGCTTCCATACCAACGAATGAAAATAAGATTAAGCTGATCCTGTCCACAATGGGGTGTAAGTGGTTCAGTATCTCGTCCACAGGTCCAATATCTCACTTTGTGGTCAAACATTGATTTGACGGCCTCAAGCAAACAGTTTGGTTCTTGGGTCCGACATGTTGCCCTCGAACACTGTCAATAAATGTATATTGTTAACAACTATTTCCATACTCATATTTACAAACAATTGTATTCTAGTATTCTCAATTGTACAAGTTATAAACCAATGAACATAATTGATTGTAATTGAATTTAATGATTAACAATAATTGTTATACCTTTAAAAATTGTTTCCTATATACATTTTAAATCTGTACTAAAAAAGTCTAACATTTCCAATGTTTTTTGAGCAGTACAAAAACAATGGATGTTGAACCACTGAGTGAGATATTGGACTTGTCGATGAGATATTGAACCACTATGACTTTTTTTTTTGGTTATACCTTTAAAAATTGTTTCCTATATAATTCTATACTAAAAAAAACATTTCCAATGTTTTACTGAGCGGTCATAAAAAATTGATGTTTGACCACAGAGCAAGATATTGGACTTGTCGATGAGACGTTGGACCACTAACGTCACAGTGTGGGCAAGATCAGCTGTATCTAATTTGCATTTGTTGGAGTTCAACAGAACTTTATGGAATTGATCAAGTTTAAACCGTAAAAATTTTTTACATCATGTTATGTCAAAAGAAAAAGTAAAAGGTATAACAATTAAAACATTTATTGACTGTGTTCTCGGGCAAAATGCATTTTGTCGACCCCTCTAACCAAACTGTTTGCCTTCGGTCTAATGGCCTCAGGCAAACAGTTTGGTTCTTGGGTCCGACAAAATGCATGTTGCCCTCGAACCCAGTCAATGAATGTATAATGTCACAGTAGGCGGGATCAGTTATATCTTATCAATTTTCACTTTTTGCAGCATTTTCTGGTTCTTCCAAATACAGAAAAAAATAAAATCACATATATTTACAATGTTAACAGCCAGATAAGTAGAAATTAGAACATTAAAAGCTAGGAATTTAATGCAATTCATGAAGAATCAAATTGCAAAAATGTATCTTTATTGAGGTAGAAATTTCTGATATTCAATTTTTAGCATTACTGTTCAAAAAAGAGATTTTCCGGTGTGTCTGTATAATTGTCTGTTTGTTAGCTCTTTTCAAAAATGTCCTACATTTTTGGTCTAATTTTAAATAAATGTAGACTACACCAAAATATTTAAGTCTGCATGTTTATTGGTTTTTGATTGTGAGTTGCCATGTTACTAAAATCTCTAAGGAAAGCTTTTAGCTTTTGCTATTTAGATGCACCTTCATCTTTGTCATGTCATATACATGATTATTTCAGATGCGAAGGAACCATTTACCATTATTTTATTGGGAATTTATTGATTTTAACTTGCATTGATGCCCCAGTAAAAGTATAGCACATCATATTTATTAAATATGGCTTGTCAGCATGACAGTTAGCTGAAAACACCTCTCTCATTACTTTAATTATCTAATTACCGACTTCAGATGATATAAGTGATGTTAGGCAGTTAGAGCAAGTGCATCTGTGCTTAACCTCACATGACTTCATTTGTGTGGCGAGCACATATAATGGCATTCCTTGCTAATACACAACATGTGGTAATGTATTCAGCAGCTATGAGCCTCTGCTTTTAAGATGGAGCATTTATTGCAAGTAGAAAATTCTCAGGATTTCTCATCCCTTTTAATATACTGTAATTGGATTTAGAATTGCTCATTATCAGACAGTAAACAGCACTGGTGAAGAAAAGGTCTCAGATGCTAATTTTTCTTGGCATCCTGGGGTGTGTGGATGTGATATACCGGTAATCTTGATACCCAAAGCTGGACAAATAAGAAGAAAATTTTTTTTTTTCAGTTTTGATTGTTACATTTATACCAGAGTTGACAACAATATAAATGCTGTAAAATCTATAAAATATGCCACAATCTGATCTCATTAGTATTCAAAGAATTCATAGATTGTAAAATTAGCATGCACATGCCAAAAAAGACAGTTTTCCTATATGACTGGGTACTTGCTCCATTTTTACCAAAATTGAACTGATATGTAAAGTGATTTTTACCTTTGTTAAAACAAGGAATATGGACTCACTATATACATTAAAAGGACAATTTTATGATACAGTACATGTATTAGTATCTGTCAAGAAAATATTGAAAGGTCATTTCACAAACAAGATTTATAAGTGAGCACTTGTTTTGGGTTGCATATGCATGTAGTTTAATGGTAAAAAATATCAACCAAACAAAACTGATAGTATGACTTGTATTGCTTGGGTTACATCCCATCTGTGTTTTCCTTTTTTAATTTTTCTGTAGAATTGCATTGGACTAATAAGCTTTTCCACGTTCTTTGAAAGAAAGTTGTGGTTAAAGGGAAATAACTCTGAATCCTATTTATCAGAAGTATTGATAAATTTACTGACAAGTTTTAAATGACCTTTCTTATGTATCCCCAACAGACATCACACCTATAGTTAAAGGTCTAAATTAGCTGTGGGACTGTAGCTGTCTGGGAAATAAAACTCAGACATATCAAAAAGCCCTAAATCCACTCCTTAAAAAAAAAAGCTTTATGGTGTACAACAGAAGAGGAGAATAATGAGATGGACCTGACCAGGATTCAAATCTAGGCCCCTTGAATATCTAGTCAGGTGCTCTACCAACTGACCTATCTGCCACAGCAATCAAACCCATATGACTGTCACATTCCTCCCTAGTTAAAGGTCTTCACCCCCCACCCAGGCCCTTCCCTGGCTGGTCTTTCACCTGTGACTTCCAGGGCATGGCACAGCACCAAGAATGAAAAATGTGACGGACCAGACCAGGATTTTAACCCTGGCCCCCTGAATCTCTAGTCAGATGCTCTACTAACGGAGCTATCTGGCCACCAGCGATTGAACCCGTCTGTGACTGCTACAGTGTAATGATGGTGACACTCTCTTATCATAAGCTTTGGATTTTATTTCTCACATTATACACATTGCCACATTTAAAACATTCTATTGGTTAATTATACCCCTGCAAACTTTTTTTTTTGGGGGGGGGGGGTATATACAGAAACTGTTTTGTATGTCTGTCCATCTATCTGACAGTATGTAATCCTGCCTGATGAACTACCTATATAACTGTATGTAAAGTAATATTGGAAGCTCATATGACACAAAAATGACTTATGACCTGAGGATGTGTCATGATGTTGACCAAAAGTCACTTGTAAAAGTTCAAGGTAACAGAAGTATAATGTTTTACTGTGCAGGATGCACTTTCTCTGTTTGCAGATGTTGCAGGAGATGTTTAACTGCATGCATTTCATAAAATGTTTGTTACTGTTCTTAGGCAGTTATACTGGACTAGGAGATTTTACTACATTTAGAGTACTATAACAACACATTTTTCTGGGTAATCTAAGATTTTCTTGAAATTAATGTATTTTATATGTATTCTGTTGTAGGTTGTGCAGGAGTATGAGAGAGCAGTCATATTTAGACTTGGTCGATTGATTGCAGGGGGTGCAAAAGGACCAGGTAATTATATGAGGGTTACCCAAAAAGTTTGTGAGCTGGTGCTATAAAATTAAAACTGCTTTAGATACATCAATTGAATACACATATATTCAATATCATCTTTTCTGTTTAAAAAATTAACCATACGACATAAGATTTATCCTTAAATAAATTGTCTATGTTTTTAAGCAATATGGACTTTTTTTTATCTTTCAAGAGTCTAACCAATACAAATCCTTTGATACAAGCATTTGTCATCAAATTTTCAGGTTATTAACTCATGATGACATGACACAATTATTCTTTAAAATTTACAATTTTTAATCTCTTTTTGTCAGTGTGACAGATCAGGTTTTATTTATGTTTTTCTTTATTATTTCATTTTGATACCAATTTAAATTTTCTGTCTCATATTTGGAAAGTCCATTTTTATCTTTCTGCTTATAAGTTCTATGACAGTCCCCTTTGTCCTTGTTTCTATTTTAAAGCTGTGTGACTATCAGATTGGAGAGGGAGACAGCTGGCTTCACTAGCTACACTTTCTCCATATACTGGATTCTCCCCTTTGTTCATCTGTTTAGTCCCTCATATTCAGTTACTTTAAGTTAGACTACATTTGGATTAGGGAAATTAGATTTTCATATTGCATTATAATTGTAAGACTGGTACCCAGTAATAAAGGAACACTTCTTTATAAATAGAGCTTGGATCTATAGGGCTGGGATTGGTTTCAATCTTTATAATAAGCTTGTCGATTTCATTACGGTCAATGACTTAGACTACATACATGTAATAATTCATTTTCATTTTATTACAATATGTAGAGGTAGGAGGAACCTTTCCATAGACATTTATTATGAACTTCAAGCATATTGTCAACACATTATGAGTTTGTTATCTCAAAATGTTATTTGATTTGATTTTTTCCCCTTACTTTTCATTGTAAATAGTGTTAATGTCTATATTATTTTTTCTTGATGTGAGTATATTTTACAACACATCTCCATTGATATAATAAAACATGTCATTAATGTATACAAATTATAAAAATTAAATCCAAGGGAATGTAGATATTGATATGTTATCCTACTCTTTAAAAACTTAAGATCTGAAATTTATTGACCTGGTACATGTATGTATTTCTATTTGTGTTCCTTGTGAATTTTCTAAGCATAACCCACATAGCATTAATTTTATTGTATCAGTCCACAAACTTTTTGATAAGCTCTCATATTTAAGAGAAATGAAAATTAAAAATGTGTATTATTTGTGATCACAATTATTTATCTTACATAACAACTCACTTAAAATCAGACAAGATGGCTCTATCAAGAATATCAATACATTGTAATTGCAAATGGTTAGTGGTAATCCATAACTTAAAGAAGTTGCAAATGAAAGTTGGTTTTAAAAGTGTCATTGGGATCAGTAACAAAATTTACTAGCAAGATTCTAGTATTTGCTATTATATTCCAAATAAAGGTTTTAATTGAATTTAGTAGAGGTAAGAAATAGTTTGTATTATGTTCATGGGAAAAAAAAAACATAGTTTCTTCAGAAAGTGCTCATGCATACATAGATCATAGAGGACTCAAGGGTATGTTTAAAGAGGACTACTGTAAAATCACATATTTTCATGGGGTCAAATTTTTCAAAGCTTAATAAGGAAAAAATATTTGCTTGTGGGGATTACATTTTGTGGTTGAAGAAGTATTGAGTTGTTATGCATTCAAAGTTTTACATTTTTAGCTCACTTCGACAAAGTCGAAATGAGCTTATACTATACCCAGGTGTCAGCGTCTGCGTCCTGGTTAAAGATTTAGGAGCAAGTCCATTCTCAAGTTCCTATAAGCTAGGGATGCGCGATTTTATTGGTATACCGGTATATCACGATTTTTTATTGCGTGGTACATATCATGATACGAAGACGAAAATACCAGTATTTGGTACATACTATAAATATTTATTTATTTGTTCAATCTATTGAATGACAATTACAGGAAGTGTAAAAAATGTTGAAAACAGTTAAACAACTGCATCCAAACATTCTTTATATTAAATAAATAAATATTTAAACAGTAAAGTTATGTTTTTATAGCATATTTTTAGGAAATATTATGGAAATTCATATGAAATTGTAGTAAAAATTGTATGTAAAAATATCACGATTTATTGCGATATTTTTGGGAAAAAATCGTGATATATCACGATACGAAATTTCTGCCTATACCCATCCCTACTATAAGCCCTAACTGGACCAAACTTGAATGGATGATGCATCTAGGGATGGACACTACCACACTTGCTTCAGATGCTGGATCCAACCTAGATTTTCCAGATTTGTGATCAGATTACAGAAGTTTTTGGAACAGGTCCATTTCCAAGTAACTATAAGCTCTACCTGGACCAAACTTGCATGGATGATTCCAGATTTGTGATCAGATTACAGAAGTTTTTGGAACAGGTCCATTTCCAAGTAACTATAAGCTCTACCTGGACCAAACTTGCATGGATGATGCATCTAGGGATATACACTAACCAACCTGCTTCGGATGCTGGATCTGACCTAGATTTTCCATGAGTGAATTTTAGCCATATTTTAACCAAATTAGCATGGTTGAGGATGTATCTAGAGATGGACACTTCCAGGCTTGCTTTGGATTCTGAATCTGACCTACATTTTCCAGATAAGTGACCAGGGTAATGTTTTTGGAGTAGCTATATAAAATTTTGGTCTGTGATGATTAAATTTGTATAGATGGTGCATCTAAGGATGAAAACTTCCAGACTTGCTTTGGATGTTGGAGCTGACCAAAATTTTCTTGATTAGTAAACAGGTTAAAAGTTTTTTTGAGCAGGTCTATTTCCAAGTAACTATTATAAGTCCTACTTAAACCAAACTTGCATGGATATTGATCTTGGGATGTACACAAACTAAAAAAAAAAATGATATGAGATTTGCCTTACTTATAGATAACATTCGTCGAGGTGAGCATCGTAATCTTTGATTACCTATTTTTCATGGATGACATGATTCATACCAAGAAAACAACAAAAATTAAGTGATTTCACAGTACTGTAATCTTTTTGAATTAAACTTAATTTGTATATTTGTTAGGTTTGTTTTTCATCATTCCCTGCATTGACTCCTACACCAAAGTTGACATCAGAACAGTCTCATTTGATGTTCCTCCCCAGGAGGTAAGACATACGTATCTATGATTGACTTTATGGTAAAGGCATTTACATGTACTCAATCTAGAGGAATTACATGTAGTCTCTATCTATAAGCAGGAACTGCAGACTTTATTTTTTTTAGCTTATTGGTACAGACATAAAATGCTAGCCATGCAGTTTTATTGTTAGTGGAAATCATGATAATTTCATATGAAAAGAGGCTTCATACAGCAAGTTCCTTTTATGTTTCAGATTTAGAAATAATAATGCTATCAAAAAATGTATAAATTAATAATCAATATCAGTAACTAGTGACTTATACACTTTCAATAATGAGAGATGTATCAGTAATTTACCATAAATGTTCTATCATATGCATCAATTTGATCAGCAAAAGTGCTTGCCTGTCCTGATTTAGATAAAAGCTTTGGGCTGATTTCAAACTCTCACTGGTATTTAACCATGGAAACGCAGATATTGATTTCCAAGATATCAAGACGTAATTACAGAATAATTTGAAAACTCTTGTTTGTTTTGGTTATAGTAAATAGTTGATGAGAATTTACAGATTTATTTCCCAATGGTAATGTTTTGTTCAGAAAAACTTGGACTGTTTTCCAATTTGACAACGTCAGGATTTATTTTGGCACTAGGCCTTTAGGCTTTTTAGTTCTGGCTTTAAAACTACCATTTCATTTTTGTTTTCCAATGAAGTTGCCACAAGCTAGGACATGTTTTTGGTGAATTTGTATTGACAGTTTTCTGGGATAAGATATAAATGAAAAAGAAAGGCACATTTGGTAATATAATTGGACTGTCATATTTTCATATAGATCTGTGCATGAAATTGCAAGTATGTTGCAGTCAGTTTTTGGACTGCAGATTTATCAGTCCAGGCCATTGTGAAATGCAAGACATAATGATGAGAATTGTTGAGGTGATCAATGGCAAACCTCACAAGACATATGTTTGATGGAAATGATTTAATTTGATTTCAAAAAGATAATTTTACAAAGTAAATGTACCAAATTTCTCTTGGAAAATTTGATAAAGGGGAAGAAGGACCTTGAGCTGAAAAAATACTTGTCATTCAATTTTTTTCATTTTTGTATATTTCTAATTAAAATACGTATGTGTCCCACATACCTTAAAGCAGTTATATCATTAGGTTTCTTACCTTATTTTAGAGATATTGATTGACATCATAAATGTTGAATGCTGTACAAATGCAACGTCATAAACGAAAATCAAAATTTACACTCACATTGAACGGCTGCTCCCTTGATTTAGCTATGCAAGTTTACAAGTACATGTATATCATTTAAACTCAAAGAAGCGATATTTTATCAAATTTTCCAAGAAATCAATCAATGTAAATATAAGCATTGAATTGCAAATTTTGGATGTTCAATGTGTCAGAAAACAACATGTTATTGTGCATTTCAAATTCAGTTTGTAAGCAGAACAGTCCAGATTATGATGTTGAATGTCCAAAATTTACAATTCAGTTCTTTTATAAATAATATTTTGTGCCTATTGGTTGTAGGAACAGACTAAGAACTTGTGACTTAATTTATTATGTTACTGTTATAAATCCTGACTTAATTATGTGACTGTTATAGATCCCGACTAAGGAATAGTGACTAAATTTTGATCATGTGTGTATTTGTTAAAGAAACTAAATTTTGATTATGTGATAATATGTTGTAGGTTCTGACTAAGGATTCTGTAACTGTGGCTGTTGATGCTGTAGTGTATTACCGCGTCCAGAATGCCACAATGTCAATTACAAACGTGGAGGATGCCAACCGATCTACACGTCTGCTGGCTGCCACCACACTGAGAAACGTTCTAGGGACCAAGAATCTCAGTGAAATTCTGTCAGAAAGGGAGACAATTAGTCACTACATGCAGGTAAATGTTTTCATTGGTTCTTATATTCTTCAATTATGGCTTAAATATACATGTGTACAATCAAAATTCAGTGTTTTGCAAACCTCATATTACCCATATAAGTTTACATTTAGTATATATACATGTATCTGATCATTATTGTCTGTCCTCTGAGATTCTGTCTACAGTCCTGCAAATTTTGGACTCCTGAAAAAAAATCAATCCTGGCTGTGTAAATTTGATGGTTGTTATACTTCTGATTGATATAAAACATTCAAATATTGCCATATCTGACCTGAAATTAAATGAACATGTTTCAAATATTTGAAAAGAAAGAAAGATTCTTCAGAAGAGTTGTCAACAAAATCTGCAAACTCTTTGCAAACATCTCCCAAAAAATTCTTAGCAATCTCATCACTGCTTCTCTTCTGCCTTAAGGCAATAACACTACAGTCTGTCTCCATCTCCAGTTTTGCTGTGTATTGTTTTATTTAACAGTAAATTATTTAACAAAGTTGAGACATTGCCAAATTTATTTTATATTGCTTACTTCACAGTTTTCTGGCATCAAGGCTTTCAAAATCTGTGGCTTTCTTGGCCCATGGGCCTCTCTGATGGATTTTCTTCAGTCTCGATCTCCTTTGCTTATACATGTATTAATTAAGATAATATATTCTGACATGTATGAATAAGCCTAATTCTTCTTAGTAGAGGTAGACGTACTGATTTTGTTGACAGGGTAATTTAGATGAGTGCACAGATCCCTGGGGTATCCGTGTAGAGAGGGTGGAAATGTAAGTAGGATTTGAAGTAGTTTTTCGTCCTCCCAGTTTTCTACAGAACATTGTTACAGTAGCTCTGTCCTTTGTTATTTCATAGCATGGTGTGCTTGTTGTATGGTGCTATTCTGTAGCATGGTTTAGCTGTTGTGTTTGTATTTCAAACTATCCTTTGTCGGTTTGTGGTTTGTTCATGTTTTCAAACTATGTCCCTGCATAGACCATTTTTTTTGCATTTACACACAGAGTTGCACCTTTTTCTTATTGCATTGATCATTGTTAGAGTATGTAATACCTGTATGAAGTTTTAACATCCCCTCTATCTGGATAATTTCTTTAACTGTTAAATTGCATAATTGCAAATGTTAACTTTGATGTTTGCTCTCAAATATTTAATCATTGCAATCATTAGTCTGTTTAATGAGGATCTAGGGCCATTGACAACTGTAGTGGCTCTTTCAAAAAAACAGTGAATTTGAATTTAGGCATACATGTATGCTTTCTTGATAAGTCTAAAATTCTGATCAGGAGACATGATAGTTGATAGTACTTTTTCTTCTGGGCTTTCACTCTTTCAAGCTCACAGACACAACCAATGGAGACTAAACTGAGCTTTGTAGATTACCATTTGTCCATTGTCTATCTAACCATTATTTCCCCTCATGTAATAACACTTCTTATTCAATAGAAACACTGGATCTATAAAGACACCACTATGAAAACTACCAAAATTTAAGAGGTTAATGTTGTTTCGGAGAATGGGAAGTTATTCTTTTATGAAACCTTTCAAAAGTAATGAAAAAAATACTGGAATGAAGGATCAGTGTTACAGGATGCAAAGACTGAGCTACAAATAGAGACAGTACATGTAGTACAAAAACATAAATCTTAATTATTGAAGTTTTAAAAAATCATCTCAAACGGTGAAGTAATACACTGAATAGAGATAAAAATACTATATCTTTTCTGAGTGATGTGTTTAAGTAGATCGATAAGTCAGAGTTGTCTCTTTAATCTGATAGGACATAAACCACCATTGTATAACAGGTGAGCACTGTGGCCTTTGGGACTTTGTTGAGGGTAGTAACTTTCCTGTCTTTGGGAGTATAATCATAACATTTCCTGAGAAATTATGAGTGAATGTTGAAAAAAAAAATTATTGTAATTGAATATGATTTGCACCTTTAATACAGCGTAGATATGTTTCTTGAGAATTTTTGCACTTAAATTTAGCACCAAATGTGCTGTTTATTTAAAAAAGATTTTATTTTTCAAAGAGCATGCCTTGTCAGTGTTTGAATCTGAGTTGTGTAGCTACTTTCAACCTTTGTTTCTATAGAGTTCACTGGATGAGGGCACAGACCCATGGGGGGTAAAAGTTGAACGTGTGGAAGTGTAAGTAAAGAAAGATAACTCTTCTGGAATTACTACTTCATAAATTTGTAAGAGTTTCTAGTCTTTGCACATTTTGGCAAATGGCAGGGTGTTTTAATAAAAGTTTGAAGAAAATAATTCACAGTGACCACAGTTTGAAGCCACTATAATGATGAAGCCATATTCAATTATGTTGTTATGTATTTATTATTTTGTATAAAATTTATTTGGGAAATGTGATGCTAAGAATAAAGCATTGGAAAAGCCTAATAAAAAAAGATTTTAAAAAAATATATTTAAAGGGCATTACATCTAATCAATTATAAGTTATTATATTTTCAATCGGTTAAAATGTTATGGTCTCTGTTGTAATTTCCTTCATATTAATCCTAATGATAGAACATGCAGTATTATAAGCAGGCTGTGATTTGCAGTGTACTGTAATCATAGCAGAATACTTATTGACAGATGAAACACTAGATAGCCAGCATAAAGAGTCTAGATCATTAATTTATCCCCAGGGAAAGAAAGTAATTGCATTTGATTCTTATTTCCATGGTGATTTACATCACTGCATGCACTTTTCCTAGCTGTTAATAAATATTTTGTTATCCTAGACTGTATAATATACTAGAGGCAAGTATTGAATGCCAGAAAAGAATTTTTTGTTCTCAGCTAACAGATAAGGATTTAAATTTTCAAAACATCCAACTTCTAATGTTATTTATCTCTGACAAGAATAACAAGTGTTCCTCAAAAGTTTAAAAATTTATCTGTGTAATCCAAGTGCAAATGATGAAAGGTCAGTATTTGTTTATATTTTTAATGGCATGTGTTCAGATTGGGGATAAGATTCTACTGAGCCAGTTATATCTGTTTACAGTAAAGATGTCCGACTCCCGGTGCAGTTACAGAGAGCTATGGCAGCCGAAGCTGAAGCAGCTCGAGAAGCCAGGGCTAAGGTAAAGAAAAAGGAATAACTTTTCCTATTTACTTATTGATGAGCTCAACTACTGGAAACATTCATAAATTAGTGCACCCAAAATTTAGTGCCATCCTCCTTAATATCAACTGATTACTATTAAATCAATGTGTTTTTTGGGGGTTTAATTTTCCTTCTTTTTTGTGATATGAAGAGACCAAGAAATTCATGTACACCTCCAACTGTTAAAATTTTCAAACAATACAATGTTGCACTATTTTATCCACAAAATAGAACCACTTCAAACCTACATTTTTTCCTCAAACCACAAAAGAAAGTGATTTTTTTAAGAGATGCAGTTACAGAGAACTATGGCAAACTGGTATACTGAATTCATAAGGACATGAACTACGACGCTTTACACCGGCATATTTCATGAAGCGTGTTAGTGCTTCATGATAAATATGCAGGTGTAAAGCGTTGCAGTTCACAGTACCTCATGAATTCTCAAAAATTAAATTCATATCTTATATTTACTTTATTTTTCTGATGACTGATGCCACATATTTTTGTCATTCAACATTCATTTTTGAAAAAAAAAGTTTGCACTATTTTTTGACTTCAATTACATCACAATGGAAATATTCTTACTATCCCACGGTAGTTCATGAGAATGTAAACTTTTTCTAATTTGCAAAGAATCTTAAGGAAAAATATTTGGAAATGTAAATATAATGTCACTAGTGCAGTCTCTATTGTACGGTAAAACTTGTCTTATCTGGACACCACTGGTTCCAAAGAAATTGGCCAGTATAGAAATATATACCAGATTAGACAATATTTTAAACAATGGAATTAACTGAAAGGGACTTAAAAGTTTCCATCATATAAAACAAGATTTCTGAACATCCGGATAAGACTGTGGTTTTACTCTATATATGTGTATAAAGATTATTAATATTAGGGCTTGGTATCGGCTGAGAATTTTGTATTGCAATATATTGCATTATTTTAAACTGTATTGCGGTATGTATTGTAATATTATCAATAACAGTTAAATTGCTCTTTTCTTATTATACCCCCCGCTTGAAAAGTGGGAGGGTATATAGTGATCGGGGTGTCCGTCCATCTGTCCGTCTGTCTGTACGTCTGTCCGTCCGTCTGTTATGCTTTGGGGTACCTATCTCTTATCCGCAACTCTCTCTTATACCACTGAATGAAATTTAATGAGACTTTCACAGAATCTTTGTTAATTAGTGCCATTGTGCACCTCCTACTTTACTTTTTGATCTGACACTTATTTCGGGTCTCCCAGGGCAAAACATGGACTTTGCCATCATTTATTGTATGGGAGGCGGAGGGTATCATTTAGTGAGCTCAGTGCTCACAGTACCTCTAGTTTCATTTACCACCATTTATAAGCAGAGTATATATAACTATTATTAATAAGTTGTAGCCAGAAAAAATCTTGTTGATTTCACTCCAGTTTTGCAACAAAAAGCAACCATTCAACAGTAACCTTACTTTTTGGCACGATTGAAAACATATCTTAAATTTCATAGTTTACTTTAGGAACCCAGAGCCCAAGCATTTTGCCGGTATATCAGTACAGGAAAAACGTTTCGCAATACAATATGTTTTGTTAACAAATCGCAATATACCAGAATATCGATATTATTGTGCCGCCCTAATTAATATTGCTAATACATGTTTGATGTTGTAAAATACTGAATACATAAAAATGCATATAGTTAGTGCTTTCACAGATTGTAATGTCATATTTTAAAAACAAAATTCACTAATGATTAGATTTTTTTTACTTTGAATCAATTTCATTATAAGCTCATGAAAATAGGTTTTACATGAAATTAAAATTGCAGAATGCAAAAAAACTTTCATATCAGCAGCTGGGACTTGCACAAAGAATTAAGTGTAGGTATCCAAGTTATAAGTTCTAAATGTGTGTTTAACATTTTTCTTGATTTTATACATGTATGGAAAATGAAGTGAGATTTTTTTTGCTACATGTACACCTTTATTTTGGATGGAGAATGAAACCTGAATATTATACTAAGAGTAAACTTTGTAAAATATGTGTAAGGTATATTTCACAACAGTCTAATCAATCATTTAGAGTTTAACTGCGAAACATACCATTTAATATCATTGATTGAAATGATCAATAAAGGTAATTTAATATGTGATTAGTATTTATTCAAGTCCTCCAGTTGATTCAAAGATTAAAGATTTTTTTTGTCATTATCAAAGATAAAACTATACTTTAGTCAATATAACAGTGCTATATGGAGACAAAGGCACTAGATGTCCTAATGTTCACATGTTTTATAGGAGGATATCCTTTATGTGGATGGTTTTACTAAAACTTTAACTTGAGACCAATCCCCTCAATAATCATGCAGTCATAGCTTAGGGTTTGGAATCCATCATTCTAACTTTGACCTATGTCAAGCAAGAAAAGTGACACTTCTTAGTGCTTATATGAATAAATTACATATCTTAAAGGGTATGTTATGACCTTGAACCAAGGTCACACCACAGAGATTAGAAGCTAGTAATCGGTTATTTTTGATCCATAATTCTATAACAGACAAACATGAGAAATGCATACTTAGTTAACAAAAAATATTTTAATATGTTTATGACATTTAGAGGTCATGTGTTTTCAACCTTGAAACAAGGTCATTTAGATAAGGTTAAGGTCACTGCTAAGGAATGGAAGTGTAAAATTCTTCTGTAATCCATAACTTGGTAATGGAAACACATTAGAAAGCTAAAACTTGATTGTTTATGACCATATGATATTTGATGACCCTGAACCAAAGTTATTTCAATTTTGAACAAGTTCAAGGTCATTGGGAATTGAAATGTGAATTTCCTCAGTGATGCAAAACATGCCTAACTTTGTTAGTTGAGTCATACTCAAGGAGAATATTGTATTTCACATAAAGACTTATGATTTTCTTTGAATAGTCTTTGTGTATAAAGAAATTGTGTGCAAATACCAATTAAAAAATTAAAATGTTTATGAGAAAGGAGACCCCCATCATGATACAGTATTTGCTTTTATTGTATGTACATGTATTACAATTTTTTGTTGTTGTTAATAATACATGTCATTGAATCAATGGGCTTTTTTCACTATAAGCAATCACATCTTTTTTTCAGTAATTTGAATAAAGTAAAAAAAAAAAAAAAAAAAAAAAAATTTTTCATTTCATTTTTTAGAAAGAATATCAAGGTATTTGTTATCAAAGAACTGCATATCATGTTAGTCTTACAGATATCAATCGAATTATAATCCCAGCACTCTGATATTCATTAGCAAATACACCCTAATCAGCACATGCATAAAAGACAAGTTACGGTTGCAGAAATACTTGGTGATTTAACAAGCTCTTAATTAAAACAACATACTTTTAAAAATGTTTATAAATACATGTACTGCATTTTACTTCTACTTTAAAGTGGTTAATTTGAGGACCCTTCTCAATGATACCATGATTTAATTAATATTTATTTTATCTTTTAAGGTGATAGCAGCTGAGGGAGAACAGAAAGCTTCTCGGGCTCTGAAGGAAGCAGCTGATGTCATCACGGAATCCCCCGCCGCCCTCCAACTCCGATACCTACAGACTCTCAACACCATATCTGCTGAAAAGAATTCAACCATTATATTCCCCTTACCTATTGACCTGCTACGGTCCTTCATGTCTCGAAAGGAAAAATAAACATTCATTTATATATCACTGACTACAATAAAAATCATATTCTGGAGTGCAATGTTCATTATCTAGTCATTATTATACAAATGCTATTTGTTTGCTATAGATGTTTTCAGAAATTGAGCAATAAATGTGTTTATAGTTAAAAGATTCATACATTCGTATTTATGTGGTGCTATATTGTAGAATCCTTGAATATTTTTAAATGAATCTGGAAATGTTCTTGATTTGTATTTGCATCCTTTGCTTTTTGACTTGTGTTCACCATACATAAAACAGCTCATAATGTTATAGAGATGCAGCTTTATTTTAATTCTTTTTGTTAGAATTCATTTTATCTATATGATCAAAGATGAAGTACTATTATATTCTTCTCAATCTTGTATCTGTAAATTGTACTATTCTAATGAAAGTGAATTGAAAATATGTACAGTGTCGTGAGCAGATTCCTTAATGTTCATGTTATGTTAATGTTATGCAGTGATAAATAACCTCAGTTGATGAATTAGAGTTTATCAACATATTTATATGATTTGTTGTCCTCTCATGAACTATTTGTTATATAAAAATATATTTAATTTTAATGGAGGCTAGAGTTTGAAATAAAAACAACACAAAAACAAATGCAATTCGATTTTTTCTTTAAATGAAATAGTTTTATTTGAAAAAGCATTGATTCAATAGTATGATACTAGGTTTTTTAATTAAATCTCATTTAGTGACATATATTTTAATTAATATTTCACCTGAGATAAAGATTCAAATGAACTTGACCAATTTAAAAGTACCATTGTCCGTCATAAATATTTTTGAAAACTTTCTGCTCTTGATTTCTTCTGTAAAACCATTATTTGCAAAAAAAAAAACTGAATTTTAAGTATATAATGAATTTGTAAAAGAACAGATGGGCTACAGTTATGATCTTAAAGAAGCATCTCCATGTTTTGTTCAAATCATTATCCCTGAGTCAAAGTTTAAAATTAAGGGTAATAAATTTTAAAAGCTTGTTGAATTGGTGAAATAAATAACAAAGCAGGGCCATAATACTCAACATACTATATGCATGGAATCTATCCTAAAAGAATTGTTTAAAATCTCTCAGGAACAGCAGCAAGATTAATTCCTGTGCAATGTAAATTAATCTTTCTTAAAAGCCTGCCTCAGGGAATATTCAAAAGGATCATTAGGGGGTTGATTTTTACAGAACTAATATTATTGACATTCAAGAAGATGGTTATAATTTGTAAAAATTGACATCAAGCCTCAAAATCTTGTACATTAAAATTGTTGAAATTAGAGAATAAGAGGTATTTATTAACAAGCACACATTTATTTGGTGAGCATTGTGGACTATGAGCCTCTTGTGCCTAGTAACTATTAAGATAGATGCAAACCATAGTATGCATGTGTGATGGTTATGTTAAATGTGTCTTCATTAAACATTATACATTTATTGACTATGATGTGCTGTTTTGGTATTTACTGCCAAAAAGTTATATCACCAATCCGAATAGGTGATATCACCTATCCAATTGGTGATATCACCTATTCGAATAAGTGATATCACCTATTCAGCTTCTGAATAGGTGATATCACCTATTCGAAAAGGTGATATCACTTATTCGAATAGGTGATATCACCCATTCAAATAGGTGATATCACTTATTCCTTTTGAATAGGTGATATCACTTATTGGAGTAGGTGATATCACCTATTCAAATTAAATAAGTGATATCACCAATTCAAATAGGTGATATCACCTGTTGGAATAGGTGATATCACTTAATCATTTTGAATAGGTGATATCACTTATTCGAATAGGTGATATCACCAATTCAAATTATTTTTGAAATAACAACTGCTCCCAAGACTATAGCCTTTTAATTCTCATTTACTTTCACTTTCGTTTTATAACTTACCGTTCTTGGAGACAATGAATTACAGCTTCGCATTTAGTTTTAAGCATCCCAGTAGAATTTGTAGTTTGTTTTGCTCACAAATTATATTTATTACACTTATCTGTAATGTATACTATAAAAAAAATCATGAAAAACGCATAATAACTGTTCCATACGGAACATGCCCCACTTTACATAGTAAAGAGAGAAAGGTATGCCACTCTGTTGTACCGCAGCTTGGTATAATATATAAAATTTATATATAACTTTACAGGGGTCGATAACATAAGGCATTTAAAATGTCTCGGACTCAATTACAGGGAAAACGGATTTGCTTGGTTCCAATGGAAATCTAGATAGTCTTGAGGAAGGGAGCATTCATTTTCTTCTTGTTGTAAGAAATGCAAATAGATGATATCACCTATTCGAATTGGTGATATCACCTATTCAAATTGAATAGGTGATATCACCAATTCGAATAGGTGATATCACTTACTCGAATAGGTGATATCACCTATTCAGCACGAATAGGTGATATTACCTATTCGAATAAGTGATATCACCTATTCATTTCCAATACATGTAGGTGATATCACCTATTCGAATAAGTGATATCACCTGTTCGAATAAGTGATATCACCTATTCGAATAGGTGATATCACCTATTCAATTTTAATGAGTGATATCACTTATTCGAATAGGTGATATCACCTATTCGTATAGGTGATATCGCCTATTCGAATAGGTGATATCACTAAATGGCAATAAATACCAAAACGGCGCCTCATAATTGATTGAGTTCGAGGGCAACATGCGTTTCATCGGACCCAAGAACCAAACTGTTTGCCTGAGGCATAACGGTCTCAGGCAAACAGTTTGGTTCGAGGGGTCGACAAAACGCATTTTGCCCGAGAACGCAGTCAATAAATGTTTTGTTATACATTTTATTTATTTATTTTATCATTATTATTTTTTTTTTTGCATACATGTCGAACACCAACGAATGCAAATGAGATTTAGCTGACCCCGCCCATTACGTGACGTAAGTGTCAAACATCAATATCTCACTCCGCGGTCAAACATCGATTTTTTTATGCCCGCTCAGTAAAACATTAGAAATGTTAGCCTTTTTTTAGTATTGATTTATATAGGAAAAATTTTTTAAAGGTATAACAATAAGTAATATGATCTGCAGTGTGTGTTGGTGAAAATAATTTGTAAGCTGCAGCTAGGTAGGGATCGATAGGCCTAGAGGCATTGGTTACCAGATTTTTTTTTTATAAATTGATGTACAATAAATTAAATCCTCTCTATTGATAGAGACATTGGCAATTTATGATTCTTTGGCACAGGCATTTGTTTCTGTTATATTTGTTTAACCCATTATACTATGTGTTAATAATTGAACAGTTCTCTCTCAGTGGCGTATATTCCTTTCTGCTTGTAGGCTAGTGTGAAGTCACAGATTTAATCTGAGGCACAAAGTGTGAGTAGGCAAGGAGCAAATCACCCCCTTTCGATAGGGATGGGGGTGTTCGGAGGGAGCATTTTTCCGAACTTGAAGACATCAACGATTGCCATTTGACCAGTGAAAATAATATTGTAAACATATTTTCCGTTTATATCATGATATGAAGACCACTTAACAAAATTGAGAACTCTTAGGCCATCTTTAATAAAAATGTTAATTTCCTTGCCATCTCCCGACTTGGATGAAAAAAAAAAAATAAATGGGTAGGTATGTTGAGGGAACTTTTTTTTTAATCAAAAGCACTTGCGAATGTGAAGTTAAAATAGTTAATAAGGGGATGAGAAAACTTCTGAATAAATAAAAAACAATTGTTTCCTGGAGGCTAGAAAAGTTTTGAGTCGGGCCTTTTTTTGTCAGTCGGTCGGGAGAGGGCAAACAAACAATTTTTAAAGATGGTCTTAACTCCATAATCCTTTTACTCTACTTAGAAAATATGGAAACTTCCTTACTGAATGATCCAGATACGAACAACACGTTTAATTTCCTATTAACCGAAAATATTTCCAGTAATTTTAAAATTTCGCTTCCTGCACTAATCATGGACGCCTGTTGCTGCCCATGGTTTTAAAACTGTCTGATACATACGTTATATAATTCTCGAATTTCGGCTTAAAAAATATTCAGCAGTACAAAATAAAACTGTAAACGATGGATAGGTATAAAGTGCAGATTGCTAAGAATGTTTTTTTGGGGTTGGGGGTTGGGGGTTGGAACAAAATAAAATTAATATAAGAGTTATCATGAACTTTCCTCCCCCTTTTTTCAACCAAATTTTTAATCCCTGAGAAAATGAGTGTATGCTATAGCATTTTTGTCTATATGGAACTTAGTAAACGCCACTGGTCTCTGGATTTGCTTTTCTTTTATATTGCAGCTTGAAATAAATTACCAAGTAACATTTAATTTAGATTGTACAACCATTTATGAAATTAATTCCAGAGCTTTATATCATTTCATTCTATATCTTTTACCTTTAAAAAAAAACTAGATATAGCGGGTAGGTACATCGGTAATGGTTATATCATATCTCCCCTGTAGTAATCTCTCTCTCTCTCTCTCTTTCTCTCGTTATTAGGGGCAATATTTAGTGCCATATACTTTAAATCTTTTGAATTAGTTTATAGCTTACTATTTTTTGATCCACCGAACTGTGATCATTAGATCCTCACCTGGTAACACGTGTTTACATTATTTACCTATCGGTAATACCTTTGTAAAGGGTGCATTTGTTAATCGGGGTGACCGGTATTAAATGCACAGCGTGATTTTAAATTGGTGTATTTAAATATAAATAAGTATATAAATGTTATGGGAAACTCTTAATTTATAGACAAACGAAAAATATTTTTTAACGAATAACAGAGGAGAGCAATGTATAACGGAAGCACGGGAAAAGTTCACCCACAGGAAGGAGGAGGTAATTTTATAATGTAATTCATTGGCACACTGCGTCGGGCATACTGCTTAGTGTTGTGTGTGCTGCATTGTTATAGTTGGTATACAAATATTTAGTCATGATGGCCGAATCTGATAGACAGGACCTTGAGCTTGTTTCGAACTCTGCAGGAAAAGGTATGTTTTGTTTTTCTTTGAGTATGTGTTATGTATGGTGCTATTTTGGTTTCGGTACAATGATTCGTCGTTACCTTGATAACGACGTATATGTATCGTAATGGAGTAAAATTTATTTTTAATGATTGATGAAGATGTATATATGTCAACTGGGTCCAATGTAGATGATATTTCAATGTGAAATAGAGACATCTCGGACTTTTTTTTTACTAGTCATGGCAAAATAAAACTTAAGACTATAATGTGTCGTTTTATTTATTATGACCACCGTATAAACGTGCACGTATGAAAATCGAGTAATTATTCTCTTATTTTGACTTGCTTGTAAAGTATTTGTTGATCTTGTTAGCTATAATAGCTGGATAAACACATGCATTCTAGGTCTGTCATTCTAACACTGTCTAAAACTACGTACAATATGGCCTAAAATCATAGCTTTAATTTAAAATTTATCATGTTTTATTTGCTTTAGTATCAGCTACAATCATGATTTCGACATATCAATGGGCATTTTTTTTATAGATATGTCATACATACATTTTGTGTAGATGTATATGTGAAATACTGCGAAAATCAAAACATTGCGAAAGCTCCAATTATCGACCTCGTGACTAGCACCTTTTGTGACGTCACAAGTTATACTGGGTATATTGAAATTGCGAAGTACGGGAGCTGCACGTCAAAATGCAAAGCGGTAAGTTATTTATCACAGCTAAGTCTGGTCTCTTCGTAAAAAATAGAGACTGATAAATAAATTTATTATTTTCTAAATGAAATGGATTGATTTTAAACTGTGTACATGTATACTCACAGTATAGTCGTCCGTAACGACCATATGTACACAAGTATAATGCAGTTTGTTGACAGACCACGCAAATGGCCGCAAAGTCATTTCGATTCTTAAACTGATCGACCCGTTGTAGAGACTGAAGCCAGAAAGAGAAGGGGTATTTGTATTAATTTTCTGAGTTGTTTTTGTGATGATCGGTAGTGGGGGCCACGCCCTGCTACTGCCATGCAAACGGTTTTAAATAACTGACATACTTTGACTGCATTGTCTAAATGCCGGAATATTAGTGGATCCGTTCAGTAAATTGAATATAACTGTAGGAAACATAGCCATAACCCATTTACTTTATTGAAGAGAAAGTAAGGGGAAACATGAATTTTGATTAAGTGAATAACATCAAATTATTTTGTTACAGTCTTCTTTTTTATTTTTTTTTAGAATTATCTTTTATTTTTGTAAGGTTGAAATCAGAGATGTGTATTCTCTGATTTCAACCTTACTAAAATAAAGCTTAATAATAATAACTAGGACCAAAACCTAAGCATCCAATTTTGTATACACATTGTAAGGGGTGATTTTAGTTGCTTGAAATTCCGAGTTGATTGGTACCTAAAATGAGCCTAAATGGTAGCAATTAACCCATTTAATTCTTAATCTATTCTGCAACTCCAGTCAATCAGCTATACAATGAAAGTACAACAACTGAATTACATATTACATACAATTTATTTGTAATAAACGAATTTCGCATTTATAAAAGTTATTTCCCTTTGCGGGGTCAGTCTGGGGTCAACCGGCGTAAAACACTATTTTCCCTCTATAACATTACCAACTTCTAGGGGCAATATCTCGCAAGTTTAATCAGTTTGAATATGTTCATAATGTTTTTTATGTTGCCACATACCAAGACATTTCAGGAATGGGTCAAAATTGTCCAATTCCATTTGAAGGTTGAAAATATTTACAGGTAAGTTGGAAAGGATATAGTGACAAATATGAGTGTTACGCCAACAACAGGAGATAACTCTTAAGAATGTGAAATTCGTCTATTCCATGCACAACAAAAAAACTGATATGGCAATATTAGACAAATACCCATATGTTTAGTTTAACTATTGCTGACTTGCTTCTTTCTTTTGAGTCATCCATACTTAAAAAAACACTGCTGAACAGTGAACTATGATCTATATAGAAGTTGAATCACATTTGATGCTACTGTTACAAACTCTGGAGGGCGTGGTTACATCATTCAGAGGACAATTATAGTGTTTTTTAACAAGTATTCCTAGATAAATCAGATTCAAAGTATACAGTATAATATGGAGTATGTTAGCTATGATAAATATCAGATTTCCAAAGTGTAAAATTAGAAAAAAATAACTAGTTCAGAACAATTTGACAGTGCTTTGTAAAGACACGCTTGATTTGTAATTTACTTTTGGATGAAAGTTTTTGAATGACCAAACTGACATGTGAACATAGAGAATTATTGTGATTATTTATAGGTCTGTACCATCATCTCTACCCCAGTTGTTTGCTTTGACATTGATAAGATTTCAAAATGCACTTGACAAATCTGTGTATTAACTGGTTAGGTCAACAGCATCCTGACAACTTTCAAGATGTACGTGTTTAAAACTAGCAGTTGATTTTAGTATTTGAGAGATTCACAGATTGTGAAAGAAATTTTGAAATAGTCGAGATTGGCATATTTGTTTAATAATTGCCACTAAAAAGCCTTCTAACTTCAAAGCCTGACCCTTTTACAAATTTTACCTGATGTCGAAAGTAACATTTAAAAAATATGAAACATTGTGAATATCAGTCATGTTAGATTAAAAATAAATGTAGTGCCATTTCCTGCTCAGAAAGCAGGAATCAAATCTCAGTTCTTCTTGCTTCATTCTTGTCAAGCCATGAAACTGTATTAGATGTCTGTATGATATTGTGTGAAATTTCCTCCCTGTTTTGACACAGGAGTTGCTTGTTAACTTAAATTACAAAATACAATGATATAACACATTAAATTTAACAGCATTAGTTTTTGTATCTGCGAAAAAAAATATTTTCCCTACCTACCGACCCAACCGTTTAAAGACTTAGTTGGCAACGCTAAACCAACAATATTTTAAGATGTCCAATGCAACCAGTTTTTGATTCTCAAGTTTTGCCATTTATAGCTTTAAAATTTATTAAAAGTACTTGCATTAAGGATTTGCATGTTTTTCACAGTTTGTAGAGCTGTTTTAAGATGAAGTTTGTAAATACTGGTGATTATTACTATAATCCCTTTTTTTATAGGCCAGCAAGCACAGTATGAGCAGGATGGGGACATTGGTTGTTGTGGATATGTTTTAATGGCATTTTCCTACATATTAGTAGCGCTGTTTTTCCCATTTTCTCTGTGCGTGACAATTAAGGTAAGAAAATAAATTTCCTTCAATTTTTGTAGAAGATACCAATTAAGTCAAAACTACTTTCTTAAAAGCTTTAAATTTTAATTTCAACATGTTCAATAAAGTAGGAATAGCCTAATTTTTTTCGTATGGTACTTAGTAAAACTAGGGTTTGAAATAACTGCGTGCCCAACCGCCGAAGACATACAAATTTTGCCGCAGGCATACATATTTGCATGTATTTCTGCCCAGCTGAGGGTGTTATAATTTCTGATAAAATTCATTTTTTTGATTGATCAATCTAATTAAAATTAGATGTTCTGAATCCGCTACCGCTTCTCAAACATCAAACAACATCCCATTCGGGGTCACGTCTGAGAGACCTTTTGATTATGAATAAACATAAAAATTTAGGCCAATCAGATTCAAGCTTCTGTATACGATTCTAAAATTAGTTTTACGGCTACATCTTAACATTATTGATGCTCAGTAGACTGTCTTACGTTGAATTAAAGTAATTTTGATATAAATTGAACGTATAATCTGGCTATCTGGCATTCTTTCCTGAATAATGCAAACGAGAATGCACATACAATACGTCTATATATTCATATATAACATGGTCTTTACTGTGCATATTTTGTTTACTGAGAAACCCCTCGGGTGTTTAGGTTTGGCAGTAAAAAAAAGAAACGCATCTGAACTATTAGCTAAGATTTCGGAAACAGCGATTTCATTGGGTAATTGAAAGGTCGCTGTGAGGTGACCCCGAATGGGATGTTGTTAGATGTTTGAGAAGCGGTAGTGGATTTGGAACATCTAATTTTAATTAGATTGTTGATTGATCTTTCTAAAATCAACTGATTGTATAGGTAACAAAGTGTAACAAGCAAAGGGGCAGAATTCATCAGTTAGTAGATTTGGGATTGAAGTTATGATAATTTGGTCTTGATCACATGATTGCTAAAAACAAATTATGGAAGAAATTATTTTCTCGGACTAGTAAATCTTAAATGACAGGGCTGACGACTTTTTACTAGCCATGCATGTCTAGCTCATTTTATGGTGAATTTGAACATTGGTTAAACGTGTAAGTTTCCAGAAAATAAATTTTGATGGTTCTAGTTTTCCTTTACAGGTTGTGCAGGAATATGAGAGAGCAGTCATCTTCAGGCTTGGGCGAGTGTTGGCTGGTGGAGCCAAAGGCCCAGGTTAGTACATGTATATAGGTTAGGGGGCCTAATCATAGTGGTACCTGGCCTCTTCTATAATGTTAATTATTAATTGAATCATTCTCAACTTTAAAAGATCTTCATAATTAAACAAGTATGAGTCTGGGAAAGTTTCTCTGCAGTGACTTTTTTGATTGATAATTGGGTTTCACTCTTCTCCTTATTTTGAATACCATTTTCTTTCGTTTTTATCCTATAATTAATGTTTATAATGATGATAATACATGTAATATGTAAGAAAATAAACAAGTTATAAAGATGACATATACATATGTTTTGAAAGGATTATCAATTTGTTATTTTTAAATTTTTCTGTTTTTAGTTGTTGATAAATGACTTTAATATATACATTAACAGGTTTATTCTTCATCTTACCCTGTATTGATGACTTTAAGAAGGTGGACATGAGGACTCTCACCTATGATGTCCCTCCTCAAGAGGTAGGTGCCCAGTTAGAATTAGGAATATAAAGTCAAATTTACAACTGGGGAACCTTATACCATGGTTTGAATTACTCTGAATCCAAATTAACCAGACATCTCTGAAGGTAAACAAACATTAATGCACTAGACTAAACCCAATGTGAACATCATGTTAGGTTGTTAACGTAACTTCTGTCTATGGAATGAGACAGGATTAGCCTAACATTGACGATGAAAAACTTGAGTATCCTATTACAGTATTATTTACCTGTAATAATTTTCAAATGATTATGTTACCATTGTTGTTAATATGTTAAGGAAAATCCTCGTATTACTTTCTTTTATGTAATTTAATGTTGGTGTTGTCTCAACAGTGGTTGAAAGAAGGTACTTTTTTCCCATGGAATTTTCATTTGGTGACTGTTCATTCAGTGTCCAGTTGATTTGGGTTGAATATTCTGACAGAAAGCAGCTATTGCTTTATAAGCAATGTGCCCTGCTAATTAAACTCTTTAAGATACCACTACTTTTCAGTGAAGTCCAGATAATTTTTGAGTAACAGTTTATTTTGATTTTCAGATTCTCACCAAAGACTCTGTCACGGTGGCTGTAGATGCTGTGATATACATTAGAATCTTTGATGCTACCATGGCAACGGTAAATGTTTCTGATGCCTATCAGTCTACACGTCTGCTTGCAGCTACCACTCTTAGAAATGTCCTTGGAACCAGAAACATGTCAGAACTTTTGACAGATAGAGATGCCATTTCAGCCATGATGCAGGTAATCTCATTTTACTTTGTAACTAGTGTGGAAATTATGCTACTTGTGAGAAAATGATGTTATTTAATTCAAAGGTATACAAAATCCCCACTAGTTATTTCTGGGAACTTGTAAAAAGCTAATAGGCATAAATTTATGCCACACAATTCAGCAGATTTATAATCATAAAAGCTTTCTGTTCGACATAAAATGTATTTTCATCCACCTAAAAAAAGATTTAATTTTAAATAGCAGAGAAATATTTAGGCATGTAATATTTTGATATCAGTGGTGGCACATGTGTATCAGGGTATGCAGATTCCTGCTACATGTGTATATTAGGTTGAATTTGTGACCTTCACTTGTATTTGCATCTCAGATGACAAAATGAATGATGGTGGTGAACTGATTGAACATATCTAATCAAAGAAAAATGAGTAGGATTTAATACTCAACCAACTGTTAAGCCATTGTTTTCATACTGAATTGACTACAGATTTTTCCTTAACCCAATCATGACACAGAGCACACAGCAGGTGTGACTGGTTGATAGGGGATGCTAATTCCTCCATGGCACCTGATCCCACCTCTGATGTTTTTAGACATTTGTTATTTGCTATGCTCACAACAGGTATTGTTGCAATGGACTTTTGAGCATAATTACTGTTCGTTATCATCAAAACTCACAATAAATGCTATATTGGACAAAAAATAACAAAAACCCAACTCTGTAGCAGATGTGAATTTAGTCATGCATTTTATACCGAAATTAAAGATAGCATGTGCTTGGTACAGATTACTGAGATTAGTAAATTAATGAAGGGGGAAAAAAATCTGTAAAAAAAGAAAGAAAGCCCTGCAAAAGCAGTCTCATTTCTAAGTAAGCATATTATATATAATAATTTTTTATGTGGTGATTACATTCTCTGGGAAATAATGTACATGTGTAAGGAACAATGATATGGTGATAAGCTTATTAGATAATGGTTGGGGAGAATTTTTATAAGAAAATGATTTTTTTTTTGTTTTGTATATTGCATACATTTTGTCAAATTACCGGTTAGCTGAATTTTTTTTTGGAAAGGGACTGTGAACAGAGAACTGGATTATATATCCTTAGAAGTAAAGTGGGCATGCCTATGTGTATTTTTGGAGAGTTTAAAATCTAGAAGTATACTTTATTGTTATTTTTTAAGAAGTTCATCATTACATTAAATGAAGTGAACAGTGTTCATAATATTTACTCAAATTACTGCATCCTAGTGGTCAATTAGTTTACATATACCATATTTCCATGGTAACTTAACTACATTTCCTAATAAGTGACTAATGAGTATAAATCAATAGAAAATGAAATTATTTGATATTTGTCTCTTAATATCAACAATGTATGCTCTTCCAATTCAAATCAATACACAGATATAATACTGTTCTATAAATAACCCTGTAGTTCCAGAACTGGTGTAATGTGTTACAGGCCACACTTGGACTTGTATTTGCAGTTCAAATGGAGAAAAAATGCATTTACTAAATCTATTTCTATTTGACATATTTGCTTTTTGTCCATTCAGTAAATATTGAAGTCACTGTTATAGATTCATAACTGAAATCACATGAGGGGATTGACATTCAAGCCATTGTGAAATACACACAAATCAATAACTAGGCCTCCGGTTAACATGGTTAATGGGTCTGTCCTGTTATGTTAATACACTGTATGTTAATGTTGTTAAAGGCTGAAGGATGTTGAATATTTGTAAATTTTTACTTGATTTATGTAAAAGATTTAGTTTGATAATAATTACTGACAGCAAATTTCTAAGAAGTTTTCCCAAAGGAAAAACACTGCCTTTATATGTCACACTAATAACCATGTCTTTAATTAAACAATAAGCTATTTGGCAATTGTATAGATTGTAAAGGGGTAAACAAAGGTCAGTTTGCCTGAAGTATTTTAGTTGAATGGCTTTAAACTTTTCCAGTTCCAGGTTTCTTGTTTTAAAAGTACATATGCTTTTTTTTTCTATGAACTTAACATATTAATCGGAGCTTAGGCCAAAAAAATAATAGTCTTGTTTCCTGCTACCAGCCTAAAACAAATAGGGTAGGTAGGTAGGAAAATTATTTTATTTTATATTTTTATTTTATTTTTTTCTGACAGCATTTTTTGGATATGAACTAATACAAGATCAAATTAAACATGTCACAGCTCAATATTGTCTTTTAAAATTAAATTTCATGTCTTTTTATGCACAACTCAAGTGGTATTTTATGAAAGTCCATATTTAAAACAAGAATTTCATGAAATGCTTGTTTTGTGTTAACACGGAAACCGACTACTGTGACAGAACGATGAAATTCTGGAAATTCCCGATTTTTTTCCTTCCAAAACTTAAAAAAACTTTAGGGTCGGGTGCAAAAAAATAGGGTAGGTCAGGTAGCAGGAAACAAGACTTATTTTTTTTGGCCTTGTATATATATATATTTTTTTTCAGCATCAACTTGATGAAGCAACTGATCCCTGGGGTGTCAAAGTAGAGAGAGTGGAAATGTAAGTAGCTCACACAGATCTGTACCTCATTTTTCTTAATTAATTACTAATCTAAATGGATTTTTACGATGAAGAGTCAGTCCTGATTGTACTGACATTAATGTGTTTGACAGTGGCAGCCATTTCATACAGGATGAAACATGCACTAAAAATTCATGATTTAAAAAGAAGTAAAAACACAACAAAACTAATTGCACAGTGTGGCATATTTTTGCAGAATTACGTGTAATTGCTGCAAAGACTTGTATTGAAAGTTACTCAAAAGTGTGAGTGGCTCACAAATAAATATTGAAATTCTTCCTTTCTTTATTAGTAAGGATGTGAGACTCCCCATCCAGTTACAGAGAGCCATGGCTGCCGAGGCAGAGGCTGGGCGAGAGGCCAGAGCTAAGGTTTGTATAACGAAGGCCACTGTAATGTAAAGGCTTTATACAATATAAAGTATAAAATAAAACGTGTAAATAAAATATATGTATAGAGAAAAGAATTTCACACCTGGTATATAGCAAACATTATCTAGATCAAATCAGTGTCAGGTTTTACATACTAGTAAGATGGAAGTTGGTTTCTGTACCTGTGTAAGAAAACCAATTTTATTGAAAAAATGCAATACTTTTACATATCAGATTGTCGCTGCTGAGGGAGAACAGAAGGCCTCCCGGGCTCTGAAGGAAGCAGCTGATGTCATCACGGAATCCCCCGCTGCCCTCCAACTCCGATACCTACAGACTCTCAACACCATCGCAGCAGAGAAGAACTCCACCATAATTTTCCCTCTCCCAATTGATGTAATGTCTACTTTTATGAAGAAATAACCTAAGTGTTTTGTGTTTTCAATGTCAACTCTGTTGAAAGGGAATCCTTTGCAAAGCAATTTTATGGATTTTATACTCTATTTATTTATTTTCTTTGTATAAAAGACATCAAAAGATTTGCTCTTATAGAGCAGTCAAGCTGTAAACTTGATCTGGTCAACTTACTTCAGGGTGTCATATTATAGTTTGCTCTACGGAGGGTCATATCATAAGTTGCTGTATTGATATTGTGCAGTATTTTTGCTTTAAAACCAATTTTATTTTATTGTATATATATTTTTAAAATAAATTTCAAGTAAACAAACAAAAATCCTATGACAAAACAATGAAAAACATTTATATTTTTAGCATTATATTTTACACTTTATTTTAGTTTAGAGGTGATTTTGTTTTAAAACATCTTGCAGAAAATTCCAATCCTATCATACAAATCTTTATAGTTTTATTTCTCCTAGATTTATTTCTTCCTTCTTATTACAGCTCTTATCGTCCTTTGGTTCTCAGAAACACGATGTAACTAAATTCTGATTGGGAGTTGGGATGGTATATGGTATATATGGGAGGTACTGGTCCAAGTGAAGCACTTGATTATTATGAACAAAAAATGAGAAGGTACATTGTACACTCTGCAGTGTTCACACTATACCCAGACACTACTCGCATCTAAATATATGCCAGAATCATTGTCATTCTGATGCTTTTATAATTTGAATAGAATTGTAATCTTTGTAAGTTAAATTATTATGAAATATGAAGACTATTCAAAGAAAGTACTGGTGTGTACAGGAGTGATCAAATAATGCACCCTGTCTGAGAATATTGAATGTTTCAGAATGGTTTAACAGTGTAGGTTTGGTCTTGATCCCATTTTCACTTTCACGGTTTTCTTTAAGTTGGAGTGTCGTCAATAATGAGAGTTTCTCCATAAATACTTCTACTAATGTTAATGTCATTATGGATTGGTTTATCACTGATTGTCAGCCTCATGTTGATATCATTGCAAAATTCTAATACACACTTTTTATCCATGTACTGGGAAGTGCTGACAGTACTTGAACATATTCTACTGAAAATTCTATGAAAACTCTAACGTATTTCTTACACACCGATTGTCAGCCTCACTTTGATATATTGCAGAATTCTAATTCACACCTTTTTATACATGTACTTGGAAGTGCTGACAGTACTTGAACATATTCTACTGAAAATTCTATGGAAACTGTAACGTATTTCTTACACACAAGATTTTACATCCCCACATGTCTGATTTTGATATTAACTTGTCATTGTCAACTATGTACTTAGTAGCCTTTTGAGAACAATCTCCTAAAAGTGTGGCTCCATGAGGAATTTTTAAGCCTAAGTAGATGAAATGTGTAAACTTTATAACAATAGAACATTCTACAATGAATAGTCAAAGAATTCTTACTTTCTGAAACAGAAGAGACACAAAATTATTTATATTGGATTTAACTGATATTATCGAGATATTATTTCCTTCATAGGGGATTTTTGTCAATTTGTTGCAATGAATGAAGAAACTGCTTAGCATTCTACATGTATGTCCAAAACTTTTTTTATTGTTTACGCATCAGCACTTACATATTTTTCCTATAGTGAGGACTTTGATTCCTTTTATGGAAATCCGTTGTTGTTAAACTATTTTTTTTTTGGTATTTCTTTTCTGTTTAGTTTTTGATATATTTGTATGGTGATTTATACAATAAAGTTGCAAATGAATATGTGTTACTTTCTGTAAAAGCTATTGTAAATAATTTTGTATACCTGTATAGTGTAAATAAATTACTAATACAAATTTAAGTCTTTTTCTTCCAGATCCATCTTGTGACAAGTGACCCAAGGGCTGCAGTGCTTGCCTGAATTCCCTTGTTCTTAAGGAAGGGGGGGGGGGGGGGCTTTTGGCACCTTATTGTGACCCTATTGGGCTAAGGTTACTTCCACCTTAAAACATTCCAAAAAAAGTATTGTTAATAATCCTGCTGGGTCTGAAATTGAAACCATCGAAATTTTCGCCCATTTATACAGCTATTTTGGTTGGCAAGACAACTCGGTCCATCGCGCTTCATACGGGGCTTGTAAATACAGTTTTTGTGGAAGTAGTAACAGAATATGTTAGGAAGATACGATACAGTTATTAATATTTTCATATACACGGAGAAATAAATCGAGAAACAGCGCATTTTTGCGCGCAATAATTTTCAATGGGTGGCACTGTAGCTCTTGGATCGTCCATCTCAACTGAGTTACAGATGTGCAGCTAATGTTTACTATAAATTTAACCGGGTCGCTTTTTAGATATTTCATTTATAGAAGATTTTCATATCGAAGTATTTTAGCATGTGAGAGTTAATCTGTATAGAAAAGACGCTGGTTTTGCTGTTTGAGCTAGCATTGATTCAACATTTGCAAAAAGGGATGCATTGTTATATCGCAAAGGATTTAAACAGGCTATGTAAATAAATAGCTTCAATCTAAAGTCCCCCCCCTCCCCCCAAAAACAGTGGTAGATGTGGTTACCTTTCCGTCAGGACGAGCAGTACTCTAATAGAAAGAACAACGCAGGTCTATAGAACGCGCGGGAGGGGGGTCTTTAATGAAACAAGACCGAAATGGTAAAAATTAATGAATGTGTTAATCTTTTTTAAGTTTTAAAAGAGAAATTAACTTATCTTGAAATATGGATGAATGCTGTTTTTTTAGGGGTGGAAGGATACTATGCTTGAATTTACGTGATCACTTTATATACAAAATTGTGTATATTGATCACGCAAAATCAAGCATAATATGCTACCGGCCACTACATGTGCAAGGAACATGCTAACAAAGGGTAAGTTGCTGCTGTTTAAGGACATAACAGCTCCCAAGATATAATCCTCCATAAACGTTGGCCATGATCTTTTAAAGACCGCGTTTTTGAGCGTTTGTCCGATCCTGAAATTTCAACGTAAACATGAAATGAGATATCATATTTCTTGTATTTTGTAATGCCAATTAATTAGAGTCCAAGGAAAATACTTATTTGCTGTAGTTTAAAAACACTACAATGCCCCCCCCCCCCCACCCGTATAGTAGTAAATCACGAACGCAGATATATATACCGTAGCTGTCAGCCTGTTAAGGGTACATGCCTGGGAGATCCGCAATACAACTACATATCCTAAATGTATTTGTGTTGCCAGTTTCTGTGACAAGGGGAATTTATACAACAGGAATTAATGGACAAACATGCTAATAAATAATGCTGAGTTGACCACTCAAGTTAACTAAACTGACCAAGGTTCTTTCAGTAATATAATCATCGATATACTAAACCAATTGATATGTACAAAACCATAATTAATGTTCGGATTTTGCCTTTTTTTACATTCTGAGTACATTTTTTTCTCATTTATTTTATATTTTGCACATAGTACTGTAGGTATATATAAAATTAATGTTTCTTTCCTATTGTACATCTCGTACCTCCATGATATACAATACTCAAGTCGAAGTATACCATTTCTTTTTTCTTTTTTTTTTAATTATTATCATTTTTGGTTCTAGGACAGTGAAGTTAGGTAATCGGGGTGTAGAATTTAATGAATTTCTATATATAGTTACTTTCTTTTACAGGCACTTTATATGCTCCAATAATCCTGAATTGGAACAAATCTTAGTATTGATGATATGGTATTTCAAAACAGCCTTGATATTTACCTCTCTCCTAAACATATAGGATACACAGTATAAGGAGATTGTGATCTGTTCCACATTACAAAACAATTGCAAAAATCTCTTGGTCTGATCGACCATAAGAAAAGAAATTGCTAAATCAATATACCCAGAGAAGATTGCTTCAATAAATAAAAAAAATATATTGAAATACGTTTTAAACATGAGTATGTTACTAACATGAATATTAAATGTCTGTATTCGAATTTTGAGTTTAACATAAATTAATTAAAAAAAAAATCATGATCCATATAGTGTTTCAAATGCGTGCTCTTTGATTTCTTATTAAAAGTTGGCCATATAAATACGTCTCAATTAAACTTAAAAGTTGTGAAATCTAAAACCCTTTAATTAACATCCACTCACACACATACTGCATAGGTATTATATTATTATATCCGGTGTTATAGTTGGTTGTCAATACAACAATGCAATGGTAAATGTACAGTTTCCCTATTCTGGATTTTGTGGTATAATTCTAATGATTTGACTCAATTAATTGACTGTCATTTGACAACGACGACACAATTGGTATAATAACCTCTTCAGCCTTAATGTATTTACTGCACATTTTTCATGTACAATATGTAGAATGAAAAGATAAAGCCCATTATGCTGATAATACTGGTATACTAAACTATACTTCAAACATTTCTTTCCTTGTTTACCCTTGTGAAGTACTTAGAGAATATAGCTTAGGTCTTCTTCAAGTCACATGGTGAATTTTGAAATAACCAAATTAAGATAAGATTATTTCAAATTGTCCTTCTTATATGATGTATGGATTACGACTGATTTTAAACTTTATGCAATCATAAAAAAATCTATTAATTGGATCAAGTCTAACTAGGCCCAAATTTTTAGTGAGGCAAGGGATGACGGGGCCACTCAAATCCTAAGCGGATCCAGGGTAGATTCCTGATGAGGGTTGTCCGGGGGGGGGGGTGTTCCCGAAAACTGAGTTTTTAGCAACTTTTAAAATCTTTGAAGGTTTTCATTTTTTGAATTTTACATGCGTTCTAAACTATAATGAAGCACCTGGTGAGATGATCGACTTACAGAAAGTGAAACAAAAGTTGAAAGTATTAATTTAGTACAAAGACAACGTAATTAATTAAAGTTAAAAGTAAAAATTTTTCACTTTTCAGAAAACCCTAAAATTTTAGTGAGGCATTTGCCTCACTTGCCTCAATGGTAGCTACGGCCTTGTCTTCACAACATGAGACTGAAAACATTATATGGCATAGCATATAACATGTCAAAAAATAAAGGTGGACTTACAGTTTCAATTAAACATTGAATATCTTATAAAATCACTCAGACTAAGTTGGATAAAGAGAATGTATTGTTGCCAAAATGGTATATATGATTTTGCAATCTTATTTTGGACATATAGATTTACAAATTTCGTTTCAATGAAAAATTACATTGTATATTGATTTTTTAGGTACATGGATATATTTATCTCAGTTTGAATTGTTGGAGGAAATTTAGAGTGTATGATAGTGTTTGCACAGGACTTGAAATATTTAAGTTTTTTTTAGGGAGGTGGGGGGGGACAAATTTAAAAATATTGAAGAAATATATATTCTTTACGGAATAAATGTTTCTTTTCTGAATTTCATGTCCATATATATGGCAATACAATACTATATATTCACGAATGGAATAAAAATATTCTGTGTGAAAAATGAAAGTTTTTCAATATACGTTATGGCTCAATAATATACATTTAGTCTTTACAATGTATTTTCGAAATATAGGAAATTCTTGCTACGTAAAGAAAAAGTTAATATACATGTATATTCCTTTTGCTTTTTCAAGTGCCGAATGTGATTCTATGCATGAGTGATTTGAGGGTGGGGGAGGGGGGCACCCTGAAATTCCCTTTCAAAAATTGCTGGATTCGTTCCTGCTATAACAGGATGGAGGGAATAAAATTCGGTAAAATTAAAGATAAAAACATACACAAATAAATGTTATGTTTTCTGTATCACAAATCGACACATGATTTTTCTTTCAATTTGCAAACAGATGTACAGCGCAAAACCACATTTTCAATATTAGTTATCAACCTGCAAACATCTTAATTGTTTACTTCTCGCAAACGAATCTTTTTTTTTTGGGTGGTGGGGGGGGTGTCCTGTCAGTCTTATGTGTTATCATGTCTGGACCAGAACTTTGTAATGGAGAATAATATATCGGAAGTTCATACTTCAACAAAGATAATTGAGGGTGTATCCTAACCTTGACCAGGGGTCATTTAGGCAATTCCTAGTCCACTGGCAGAAAAAGTGTGTAATTCGTGACTGGTTCATAAATTTCTCCTGACACATTTCCAAACATTGGAAGTTGAGTTATTTATGACTTGAAGGTGTGTCATGATCATCAACTATTCGCGGATCTAAAGGGGTCGGGGGATCCCCCCCCCCCTGAAATTTGCAAAGATACTAAAGCAACTAAAAGTGACTTTGAACCCCTCCCCCCCCCCCCGCCCCGGGCCCTAGAAAACGCAAACCCTGTTTAGGGTTGTCACGTTTAGGAAATGATTTTTCCACCTATTTTCTGTATCCGCGCCTTTCAACCAAAGGTTATTTATAGCGAGCGCAGCGAGCGGCGCGAAGCGCCGCTCGTCACTGCGAGCTCTAACGAGCTCTAACAAGTATAGATATATACTAACGAGCTCTAACAAGTATAGATATATCTATACTTATAAATTAATAAATTTTGCAAATAAACTCCGAAACGGGTGCACCAGAGTTCTTACTTAGTCCTCTAACAATACACTAGATGCAAGCTGATGTCCGTAAACTATATTTAGATTTCACTCGCATAGTAAGTATCGTACATTAAATTAAAAGTCTACTTTCATTTTCTATAAACAGCCATGAAATAGCTAAAACGTGAGTAAGGTGGCGTTTCCGGTTGGCGGATCTAAGTTACTGGCAATTTTTAATGAAACTGACAACAAGCAATCGTTTATTTATTACAGAAAACGTCATCACTGAATTATTCAATCAAAACTCGATTTAAATTATATAAAAGAAATAAGTTGTGATAACCGATTAAAAAGGGAAATGTGCAAAATATTTTCGTCATTCACCGATCTTTATATTGACGGAAGCTTCTAGAACATCATATAGCATCGAGCCCGATGTTAAGAAAAAAAACGAGGCGATTATAGCTACATGACCATAAAAAAAGCTTTTGTGTAAATGGTCATAATTGAAATAATGGTAAATCACTGATAACACTATAAGTTGTGAATATGATTATATGTCGAAAGACTATTACATATACATGTATGTAGTAGGTTTTCCTAATAAATCTATCGGTAAAATTTGTATATATTCCTTACTGAGAGCATCGTGGCAACGAACCCGAAGTACAATTTGTTCTTCGTAATAAACTTGCTTACATGAAAAGAGAAAATTAATGAAAAAGGTATTGTTCAAATACAATTAAAGATGTGATATTTTCCGCTTTAATCAATGCACAGTTAATTTCTGAATACAATCTTTTATAGCTGCAATAATGTAGCCCTCTCCTTTTTTGAAAGGGGGGGGCAGAGAGAGAGAGAGAGGGGCCAGAAAATATCAGATCAAAAAAAAAAAAAATCGGAGAGAGCTACATTATTGCAGCTTAGTCTTTTGTATCAAATACTCAGCCTATTCATAGGGCGTTAAAAGCTAATTTTTACACAGGTACTTGGTTCTTGGTTTATAAATATGTATATGTACCTATTATTGATAGGTAAATAAAAAAGTAAAATACATTTTTACATATCAATAAGGTACAAACATATTTATAAACCAAGACCCAAGTACCTGTGAATTTTTACCCCCCCCCCCCCAATCAATTTATTAGTAAAATGTGCATATTCGATGCTTTTATCCTTGACGGAAATGAAATAAGAGCATCTGAAGTACAATATCCATAACACAGTATAACAGGTTTCACAATAAATGTCAATTAATGAAATTGCTATTTTTCAAGTTAAAAAAAAATAATAATAAAATAAAACAAACACAAAAAACGGGGGTTGGGGTGGATAGGTAAATCTACTTCCTGCGGGATTTGAACAAAGTATTTGTTCCTGCTATAAGCCTGTAGGCTGTCAGTAGAGAACTACAATATATTTTCTGTCGATAGTGGTATAAATTCAATTCCCCGCGCTTGCGCGGGATTTCATCTCGTATATATATATATATATATATATATATATAGGTCCCTGATATATATAATAGAAAGTGACTTATCAAAAAAGATTCCTTCAAACCCAAGGGTATGTCATGATCTTTTAATCAGACAAGTTTAAGATCACTGACGGAAAAAAAAGTATCATTATGAATGGCAACACATAGAACGATCATTGAGTTAAAAAAATTGCGCAATATTGAATCTATTTCGCAACATTTGCTACAAGCCAAATAAATTGACAATATTACACGATTAGGCTTCCGTAATATCACATGCTTCGGCAACCGAATGGTCACGTGATAAAAATACCCGGATACTTCTGTGTATTGAAAGATTGATCAATACTTGTACATAACAAATATCAAACGCAGCAAAGAGGAGACACAACAATGGGACAAGGAGGTAAGTTTTATTAATTGGTATATGTTTCAGTTATAAAAATTAAAAATTCGATTAAAGTGTTGTTTATCAAAACACGCTTGCGACACAGGACTGTCATCAGGAACAACATGGTTACCCCTGATGCCTGGTTTTGCAAATAGGCGGACACCAGGCAGTACAATATTGGAATATAAATGTAGAAGATTTACATCTTTTTTGTATCAACTTGAAAATAAAACGCAAAGGTCAGATTCAGTTAAAATAGGCATGATAAAGGGGTGGGGGAGGGGGGGGGGGGTCAAAATTGTGTCGTGACATAGATCTAGACCAGACTCTAGTGCTAGGCGTGTTCTTTCTTGTTGATAGACACAGTAAGTGCTTTTATTTTTGTCCCATCGAAACAGTGGAATCTTGATAAATGAAAATCATTGACCTTGTCCTTAGCATCTTCAGTATATATATGGAAAAGTTCTATAGTAAAACATAACATTTGCAGGGGTTTGGTTGCGGTAACTAACATCAACAAAATATATGATCTTCTTAATCAAAAATACATACATAGTCAATGGATAACATGAACTTGTATAGTATGGTTTAATTGTTTGTTTGTTTTTTCTATGTTAAGAATTTCGACTGGAGATTCCTCAGATTATCGCTTATATTCGTAATCATAATTACATATACCGGTATATATGCATTGTGTAAGGGAGGATTCAGGACGTTTGGATAAGAAAGCATGTACATCTTCCATCAGGGGTTTGCATAATATATGTACTGAAAACTTGTCAAACCTGTTTACACTGAAGATCACTATTGTGAAACTAGGTCAGAATTCAGTTGTCAGTTTTTATTAAATGCTAGACACAGGTAAATATTCTGAAATCCAGAGCTGAGTTTATGTAATAGGCCATTTAAAGAATATTCTTTTTTTTAAGTTTTATAAGCATTTAAAGGATTTTTACTTCTCATCTGATGGAGTAAGGTCCCAGTATCTTATCAAGGTACCAGTATTTTGATTATATAGTGATAGAAAGTTGATAGTTATGGGGAGGAATTCTCAAGCCAGTATCAATACCATTTTTTATTTTTTATTTTTTTTTTTAATTTCTAACACTGTACAAATACTAAATTATACAATATGTAATCCCCAAAAAAAGGAAAGTATTCGAAGTTCAGAGCTGAAAATAGTTCATTCTTTGATAATACTTGTACATTTGGTTTACTGTAAAATGTGATTTATCTTAATTTGATTTTTTTTCCTTCTTTTTTAATCTAGGAAGATATTGTGAAGGATTGATTTCTCTGGTGTATAACTCAGAGCTAATTTTGATCAAAATTTTACATATTATTTTATGCAAATTTTGTCTATATAAATATTAAATAGATGTATATAGAAAATAAGTAAATGATACTTGTAAATGTCTAGCAGTTGTAAATCCAGAATATTTCTTCACCATTTACTTTGCAATGCAACTATTTGTTGTATTTGTTGTTGCCATTAATCTTTAGAACTTCTTTGTGTTGGATTTGAGTATGTTTAATCATTTACTTATTGGTAATTGGCAGATTAAGACCTCTTAATTACCAATTGATGTTTCCTTCCCCCCCCCCCCCAAAAAAAAAAACACAAACAAACAAACAAAAAAACCCACAAATATTTTTACTGAGTATTATGGGTATCTGGTCTTATTCTCAAATTGAAGTATTTTTTTAAAAAACAGAGAAAGCTTTGCAAGCAAAAATGGCTTTTTGCTCTTTTTTATCAGACATATAGAGTCTGGAATTCTGACAATTATTCACAAGTAATGATTGTTTTGAAAAGGAAACCAATTTATTATTCCAGTAATCCAGCAGTAATCAATAATTTACATTGGTTTTTAGTCGGGGCAGTTATATGTGTACTTTTGCTATATATTTACAGAAGTGGAACGTGATGGGGACATTGGGTGTTGCGGGTACTGTCTGATGTTTCTATCCTTTGTCCTGGTTGTCTTATTCTTCCCATTCTCCCTGTGTATAGCAATCAAGGTAGGTGACCATACAATATATTGATTAGCAAAGTAGTAAAAATACATGATATACTGATATGTACTCTGCGTGCCACACCCATGTGGTTCTATCATCCATATAGCTGCAATAATGTAGCCCTCTCCGATTTTTTTTTTAATCTGATATTTTCAGGAGAGGGCTACAATTCCACTGCATCTCCGTAATGGTGCAAATATATTTGTTAGATACGGGCGACTGCAGGCAAAATAAATTGTTTTTGCATTCAACTTACTTCCAATGAGACAGAATTTTTATTCACTATCAACATCATAGCCCTTTATACGCGAAAACCAAGTAAAATAAATCTGCGTGTTTACCAGTCGTTCTCCTCAGCAGCCATGTCAGTTCTCGCGTGATGTACTGAGACTTGCACTTGAAATTTAGAATCACTTGATAATGTAAATGTTGGTGTTGATAAATGTTTGTGTTGTATGGTATCACTAAACATCGATAAATAAAAGCATTCCATGTGATATTTTTATCATAAACAGTGATATTTATGCTTATAATAAGGGAAATCCATAAAGATCCGCTCCCCTAGATCCCAAATTCTCATTGGTTGTCCCAAAATAAAATCGATCAAGGTCAGTAAACATGGCGGATAAATTCAAGTTGTGATGTTGACATACACGAAAAATAACCGATATACAGATTGTTCTGTGTATTTTTGGATCAATTCATGTCCTGCATAACTACATTTTATGAGTTCAGGTAAGATATTTTAACAAAATACCCACTTACCGATAATTTGAGCCGAAATCTGTGCGGTAGTGAATCACTCCCGCACTTGCACCATTACGGAGATCCTAAGGAGTTATAGCCCTCTCCCCCCCCCCCCCCCAAAAAAAAAAAAATGGAGAGGGCTACATTATTGCAGCTATCATCCATATTATTATATAAATATAATATAAGAAAGAAAATTGATAGTTTCGATGCTATTGCCATGGCAATACTTTACAGTTTATTTTTGCATGACTCAAAAGTACCAAATTTAGAAAGGGTTATTAAATGAACTTATTTTACTTACTAGCTATTTCCAGAGAATAGGATTATATTTCAATTCAAAAGTACAAATGTATATAGTGATTTGGCATCTGATATTTACGTAATATTTAGTTGTTTATATTGTTTTTTAAATGAAATTGTAAAGAATTTTTTTTTTTATTATTTATATATTTATCTATATAAATCTGTGATTTTAAAAAGGTGGTCCAAGAATATGAAAGGGCTGTAATTTTTCGCCTGGGTCGTGTTGTCGGAGGAGCCAAAGGACCTGGTAAGAATATGTATATTTATTGATCCAGGGTGTGTGCATTTGTATGTTAACAAGTACAGTGTATTTAACGAGAGACACTAAAAGTAAACATACATAGATGTGTGGCAGAAAAGGTATTTATCCAGTGGTTGCGAAATCTTGTGTCAGCTGATTAAATGATTAAAAGTCTTATACCATAGAAATGACTGGAAAATCCATTGTTGTATAGCATATATTTGAGATTATAAATTAGAGAATGAAATACACTTCAGGCTCCAGGGCCATAAAATCTTAGACAAGCTCACTTTTCATCCCAGTCTCTCTTTTCCACGATTAATTCTCTAAGTAAAAGTGAGACTGAGATCAAAAGTGAGCTTGTCTAAGTTTTATGGCTCAGAGCCAGGTGATAAAAAATAAAATCAGTGTCTTGTAAGTTTCATAGGAATTTTTTGTTTACAAAGTTAAGCATCTATGTTGTAATATTGGTTGTGTATAAGCTTTGGCATGATACACATTCTATCTAGAAATAAAAAGAGAAAACAAAGATCTGTGTTTCCCTTGATTTGATCACTTTACATCACTAATGACTACATGTAATAATATTTTTTCATAGAATTAGACAAATTCAGTAGATTTGATAAAGGCTTTTTTAAATTTATACAAATTTTTCAAACATATATAAAAAAAATTTTGGTGCAAAATATTATAATATAATGGGGCCATTTGAAAAGTTTTGATGACTGTTTAGTGTTAGAGGAATCCTTAAATGTGTAACCTATGTTAATGTTTTTATGTAAAAAGATCAGGAAAATAAGACAGTACATGTATTGTGATATCACTTGGTAGTTTTGTGACATACATGACTAAAATGATATCATAGTCTTGGGTGTATACTGATCATCAAAATGATGCCAAAAAAAATATATTTCATGTTCATCAAGGCAGAGGTTGAAAGTCTACCTTTTTTTGTGTGTGTTGGATGTCAATTGCAAAAATATGTCTTGGATCATCAAGGTTGGAACAATACCTAAAATCATATTCATGTTCCTATATTATCTTTTTTTAAGGGCTGTTTTTCTTGTGGCCTTGTGTTGATGAAATGCAGAAAGTGGACCTCCGAGTTTTGTCTTACGATGTTCCACCACAAGAAGTATGTTATAAAGGAACATTCCTATATGCTTCTTGTATTTCTTAGAGAAATTATGAATACCTGGTAATGATTAAAACAGCTAGCAGATAATTGAGAAAAGAGGAGCTAAAAACCAAAAGATAAAAATATCTTCCAGTTTGGATCAAATAGCCTCTCACACAATTATGAAGCTCAAAATTCTGGAAGTCTTTCTTATTGAGACTAAAATGAGGAAATCAGAGATTACTTTTTCATGATTATTTAAAATTGGATGAAGTTATTATTTTATATGAATTATTTTTTATCATGCTGATTATTTGCATTGTGATTTTGAAATATCATTGTATTTGAAGCTATCCTTAAAACTTGAATAACTGTTGGATAAACCTACCAAATAAAATATTTTCTGAAATGATGGAAGAATAATATAAGCTTTGTTTTTCAGATTTTGACGCGGGATTCTGTGACGGTGGCAGTGGATGCTGTCGTTTATTACCGTATCTTTGACCCAATCATGTCGGTCTGTAATGTCAACGATGCCTTCAGATCCACTCAGCTGTTGGCCTCTACCACTCTCAGAAATGTCCTGGGTACCAAAGCTATGTCTGAGGTGTTGTCTGAACGAGAAAGTATTTCACATGAGATGCAGGTATAAATACACCACTTTCAAAGTATGCTGTAAATTGTAATGGTTTAAATATTCCTCATATTATGAAAGCACAAGCTGTATTGTACCAATGTATATATAATTATTGATTTGAAAAAAAAATTTTTTTTGCAGCAAATTTTGGATACCTCTACTGACCCATGGGGAATGAAAGTGGAGAGAGTAGAAATGTAAGTGAATAGCTAATACTTTAGGAGGATAGCTGAAATATTGAACGTTACTGTGATGTATATTATATAATGAGGTATGTACCGGTATGTGATTGAAGTTGATTTTTATGTTTACAGTAAGGATGTCCGTCTCCCGATTCAGTTACAGAGAGCTATGGCAGCTGAAGCTGAAGCAGCCCGAGAAGCCAGGGCTAAGGTATCTTAATCAAATTAAATCTTATTTAGGATACAGTAACATAAAGCAGTACCATATATATATGAAAGATGGTTGTTCAACTTTCATTAATCATTTCAATTTGTCAATAGGTGGTAGCAGCAGAAGGAGAACAGAAGGCCTCCCGGGCTCTGAAGGAAGCAGCTGATGTCATCACGGAATCCCCTGCCGCCCTCCAACTCCGATACCTCCAGACTCTCAACTCCATATCTGCTGAAAAGAACTCGACCATCATTTTCCCACTTCCCATCAACATGTTGTCAGCTTTCAGCAAGAAGTAAATTACTTTCGAGACAAAAATCTGAGGACAAATTTTGTACGGAAATCCGTTATTTTGTGTATTGAATGTGACCTTACTTAACTCTTGTGATATATTGTACATGTACATTGTGTACTTTTGTATACTGTCAGCTTTTACCACATACAACTGGCTTTATAAATAAGGGATTAAAAAATGCTATCACTTTAAAAACAAGAAGTTTGATTGTTGAATATTCACATCAAGTTTTATTATTATGACTTTTACCGACCAGTTGATTTTCATAATCTATCTTGTAGAATGTTTGTAAATATGTTATTGTACTTCAATGATATTATATTTAAATTTTCACATTTCAAAAATGTGTTTCATTTAGACTGTCATGGTTTTAATGGTATTGTACTTTTTAATAAAGGTATTTAAACTTATTTCAGCTGCAGTTGGTTTCTTTAGCTGCAACAGATAGCAACTTGTGTAATGGTGTAAGACGGTGTATCACACAACGTCTGAGTTTTACTTATTTTTTTCAGTGGTTGGTCCTGTTTCGTAATATGCAGTTACCCTTGTTTAATCGTAATATGATTGGTTTTTGCAAGCTGAAACACAAATTATGTGGAAATTGTATATTTTGTCATCGTCACATGGTGTTATACCACACCACAGTCGATTTCGAGATGACTGATAATGCGGGCCATAATTCAAACGTCATTAACCTATAAATAGATGCAGAAATTTCAAAATCTTTTCGTGAGGATAGCCTATAAATATATAGAGGTGGTTGATTTCAAAATACAGGTGCATAAGATTAAACATGGCGTCAGGTAAGGGCATTGTGTGAAGGATTATACAATAGGTTTAAATGCTAAAGATCTTTGCATACTTTGAATGCGTGGGACAATTCTGCCTGGAATATTCTCTTTGTTGAGAGTGTGACGTCGTAAACCTTGATCTCTTTAATCCGAAAGTCGAGGCTTCCGACTGAAACATAAAAGTAAGGAAGTAGGAATTGTCTTTCATTAGATATATTATCATTTTCAAAATGGAAATATGTAAAATAATCAACGTCATCATGAGCATGCATCGTTTAACGGATGTCAACAATGTTAAAGTGGGCGCCGTCATCATATGATTATGATCATTGATGAGAAAAATTGCGTTATATTTATTTTCTTCAAAGTCCGATGTAGACCTATGTTTATTAAAAAAAATCTTTTTAGGGCTGTAAATATGGCTAAGTAATGTATTGATCTCATTCTTGATAATGCGACTGATTTTGACAAAGCCATGTATGAAAATATGCAGTCTCCCTGAAACTTATGTTTTCTTTAACATGTTTAACGAAAAAAAAGAGAGCACAAAATGTCTATTTATTTATATAAAGATCGTCATTGCATTTATTGATATGTGAAGGGCTGCATTCCTTTCTAGGAGAATAGTTAAAAATGGGAGCCACTGGGTAGGAGACTGCATGCATGCGATTCTTGCATCATACATTCTATAGTCGGAACGAGAGTGGATCACCATTTTGATCACAATTTATTTTGAAAATCACAATATTCATGTTATACCAACATGAGTTGATGATTTTTATAATTGGTGATAGTGTGTGATCCCCCATTAGCACATGGGGTCGCATTCAGATAAGACGCAAATGATTTTATCTGAGAAACGCAAAGGCGGATCCAAAGTAAATTTATTTAATAAATTGGATGCAGAATTGCATGTCCATCCTAAGAGTGTGAACCCCACTCCCCCTAAAAATATCGAGAATTATTTAGAATAAGATCGACGCACTGTGTTTTTCTTCAGAGATTTCAGAAGTAAAGAGAAGCAGTAACACGGTGGAACGTGATGGAGACCTCGGGACCTGTGGCTATATCCTCTGGGGTCTTTCAGCAGTCATTCTGGTCATCACTTTCCCGTTCTCCCTGTGTTATGCTATTAGGGTCAGTGTCAGGAACAAAGTCTGGTCATATATCCTCATATCTTTTATTTGTTAAACATGTAACGGTTTTACGCAAATATGAAAATAGAGAGAGAGAGAGAGAGAGAGAGAGAGAGAGAGAAACCTTTATTTCGCTTTCTTTAAATAGTGTTATGCCAAATAGCAAGCTACATACATGCCATTGAAAAAAGTCTATTGTATTATTAAACCACTTAAAGCTTTAAAATTCATTTGGCTATGGTATGCGGTTTATTTCAATTTTAAAAGCAAAATTCAGACAAGCAGTTAATTAAATGAAAAAATCTAAAATATTTAACATCGTAGATACAATTGCGTTGTAATTTAGAAAAGGAATTCAATTGGACAGCAGGCTTGGAACAATTATCCGAGTCCTCTGTTCTGAACAATATATAGACTTAAAAACAGGAAAGTAATGTATACTTTTAAAGAGATACTTATCTTATTTTGTTAATTGTTTAGGTGGTTCAGGAATATGAGAGGGCTATCCTTTTTCGATTAGGGAGAGTTGTTCCGGGGGGACCCAAAGGACCAGGTAAACAACTAAAAAGCAAGGAAGTAATACATTGTAACAATTTGTGCAATTCATAAACTGAACAATAACAATCTCGTCAGTGTTAGACGATGTTTCATTTCCTGGTGTGTTTAAAAAATATTGTAAAGAGTCATAATGATATGCTTTTAAAAACATTTGCTACAAACAGACCCCCCCCCCCCCCAAAAAAAAATCATGAATGTAAATATAAAGTAAACTAAGTTTAGCCGCGAATTTTTTTTCCCAAGATATGTTTATTATGTCAAGTGATAGAGAAAATTGCATAGATTTATATGGAGAAGAACAAAAAGCGAAGATTTTGAACATCATATATTATTTGCAATCTCTTAGTATTTTGGGAATTTGTTAATGACATCATTTACAGCCAAAATACCGGTAAGTCCTAAATACATGTGTCTGTATACTTGTGTACAGCAATCCATGCATCCAATTCTGTTTGTTTGTAGCAAGTGTCCTTGAAGAGTTTGCTCATTTGGCTCTCTGATTTGAGTCACTATCTTCTATAAAAATATTTTCATGAAAAGAAATTGCTAAAAAGGATCTGTGTATATTCGTAAACAGTACAGCTTCTTATTGACATTTTTCGTATGTTAACTCTACAATTGCAAAGGGCATGACTTAAATGCATTAAAAAAAATAAATAAGATCAAGGTCAATATTAACAATACACTGTACTTTGTTTTATAGGTTTATTTTTTATTTGGCCATTTATTGATACCATGCAGAAGGTTGATTTAAGAACAGTCTCATTTGATGTTCCGCCGCAAGAGGTGAGGATTTTTTTTATTGCAACCATGTAGGAACCATTTCTTTTACACATGCAATTTTTAGGCCTTAATATATATTTTTAAAATAATACTGGCCTTTCGCGCGAAGACTACATAGTGTAATGACCATGCAATATACACAGAAGCATCTTCAAGATATTTTACTTAAAATACTCATTCAGGGGGGAGATACCAAATCTGATTACGCCTTTTTAACCGAACAGGATGAATTCGTCTCTCATGTGAGGTTCTTTTCTCGGCAAACACAATAAGTACTGTATATGTAATTGATAAACATGTATATCTAATATCCTTATAAAAATCTGTTAGTTCAGTAGAAACAAACCAGAGAAATTGGCGTGTTCTACTACTAGTCCTATCATGATATGGCCCTTATTGACATCCTTGACTGTTCAACGTTGTAAGGTTGAAAAATTTGTCACACATTTTCCACAATGCTCGTTCCTGGAGGCACTCTTGTAAACTATTAAATGAATGAGCACTTGAGAAATCTAACACCAAAGTACACTCCTTATACTTGTAAATAATGTACAATGTGCAATAATCGCTGATTGGTTTTGACCTTTTGAGAACGGACGACATTATAGCAACAGGAGCAATTATTAATTTCAGAGCGCTATTTCCACTCACAAATGTGGTGTTCTGTCGGATGTCCCATTGTGATTCTCATGTTTGAATAAAAAAAGAAGTGCTTATTTGCTGAATCAATACTGACGATAAGAACTTTTCCCTCTCTTCCATTCTGCAGCTAGTAGTGATTAGACACGAAAGCCAATGATTGCCTGTAGATTTTTCTAGATTTTTCTACAATGCTTTCTTTGACCCTTTCTTTGACGTTTCTTTTGACATAATTTTCTGACTAGATTCTGACCAAGGACTCGGTGACAGTGGCTGTTGATGCTGTTGTGTACTTCCGGATTTTCGACCCTGAAATGTCGGTCTGTAACGTCAATGACGCTCAAAGATCCACTCAGCTGTTAGCTGCCACTACCCTGAGGAACGTCCTGGGTACCAAGGCTATGACAGAATTATTGTCTGACAGAGAGAGCATTTCACACGAGATGCAGGTAAACGACATAATGAGAAATTATGGACGCACAGTAAATCAAAGATGCGGAGTGGTAGTAGTTGGCGTTTAGTTGTTTTTTTTTTATTTCTCTGAGTCTGTTAATGAATGCGTTTGTGCATTTTAAATCAGTTTCATTCAATATACATGTATTTGATAAGGACACGTGCAGAATGCTATCTCTTTTTTTCAGCATATTTTGGATGAATCTACGGATCCTTGGGGAATGAAGGTGGAAAGAGTCGAAGTGTATGTAAATCGTTTATATATGATTGGTAAAAATGTTTTATTGTTTCTGGTAATATCCATCTTGAGAAACAGTCTAATTAACTGAAAATATCTGTCTCATGTTTTTTTTATTGACATAACAGGAAGGACGTGAGGTTACCCGTCCAGTTACAAAGAGCAATGGCGGCGGAGGCAGAAGCTATGAGAGAGGCCAGAGCTAAGGTTAGTCTACTGTTTTTGCAAGGAATTGTTCCAAGGATATATCTTTTATTGTCTTTCTTTACAGTTTCATGTTAATATTCATACAATTACTGATATGGGAGAAAAATAATTAAATACACTTGTTTTGGTCTGTAGGTTGTTGCAGCTGAAGGCGAGCAGAAGGCGTCACGTGCCCTGAAGGAGGCTGCAGACGTCATCACGGAGTCGCCTGCTGCTTTACAACTTCGGTACCTCCAAACTCTCCAGACGGTCTCGGCAGAGAAAAACTCCACCATTCTATTTCCATTACCCATAGATATGATTTCATCATTTATGAAAAAATGAACATACCCAATACTCACTTAAAATCTTCCAGCTAGCAATTAATCAAATTAATCGTGCAATGTTTCATGTAACCTATAATACTCTAATTGTGCAATATTTCATGTAATCTAAAATACTCATTTTTTACCCGTTTTTTGAAAACATTTACTTTCATTAAAGTAATTAAACAAATTATCATATACATATTTTGTAAAATTTTCAATATCATCGGAAAACAATACTCACAAGTTAAAGTGATGTAATTATAGTAATGCTTACTGTTTATTATGCATTCATTGTTAATAACATTTTTATATAAACATTTAAACATGTTGTGTCGTACATTTACAACTATGGTTTGTTGAATAACTACGTTTACATGTATGAACTGTGTATCCAAGGGTGCTTTTCAGATTGAATATGTATTTTAGGTCAATTTTTATTATAATTTTAATTTTTTAAAATGAAATGTATATCCACTGAAAATATTGATTACTGTATTATATTTAGGTGATTTTTAAATAGAAAAATAAAAAAAAAAATCATGAATCTGATATACAGATGATGTTTAAGAAAAGAGGCACTTTTTTGACATTATATAGCCCCCAGTTGTCTGTCTCTCTGGGACACTTGTGAGAAGCCATCCCTTATCCGCAGCTGAATGCAATTCATTGAAACTCTTGACATAGTAGCATTGTGCATCTCCTATTTTACGTTTCGACTGGACACACGTTTTGGGTTTCCGAACACTGCATACTGGGGGTAGCCGCAACTCCTCTTGAATACAATTTAATGAGATTTTCACAGAATCTTTATTACATAGTGCCATTGTGCATGCCTCTGCTATTTTATGTTCTAATTGGACAGATATTTGGGGTTTCTCATGGCAAAAAATGGACTTGGTCATTATACTCATATGGGAGCGAGGGGAGGGGGGTATCATTCTGTGAGCTCAATGATCACAGTACCTCTTAGTTTATTATCTATGTTAAAAGAGGCCCATGGGCCTTGATGGTCATGTGTACATGTATCATGAATTAATTTCCCTCGCATATTGACCCATTTGGCTCTACTTGGATTTCTGGAAACCTGGCATGAATTTTACATTTTGGGACTTTTTGTTCATTATCATACAGTGTAGTTTATTTGCAATGAATTTAAGCGCTTCGTTTTGAATATTTTTCACCGAAAGTACATTCTTATGCATGTCAACAACTAAACATATTCTATAAATTTTTTATGCCAATATCTTTTAAAAATTGTCCTCTTCTTGTATATTTTCTATTTATGATCACTTAAAAAAAATAATAAAACTGATGTGGTTAAAAGACTTAATTCACCATGCCCCCCCCCCCTTCCCCCAATTTGCCTCACTGAAATCAAGGTGCAAAATACACCATTGATGTGAACATGCGACGTTAAAGGAAAGATAACCCAATCATTACACGCAACCAACATGCAACAGACACTGCTATGGAGAGAGAGAGAGTTTAATATGCGTAATTGTTTTGTTGTCGATTTTAATCAGAACCTCTGAACAAAAATAGGGTACGGAAAGTGGGTAAAACTTACACATAGGAACTTTATTTTAAAATTGTTTATTAATTATTGGCCACCCCCCCCTTTCCCCCCAATTTGCCTCACTGAAATCAAGGTGCAAAATACACCATTGATGTGAACATGCGACGTTAAAGGAAAGATAACCCAATCATTACACGCAACCAACATGCAACAGACACTGCTATGGAGAGAGAGAGAGAGTTTAATATGCGTAATTGTTTTGTTGTCGATTTTAATCAGAACCTCTGAACAAAAATAGGGTACGGAAAGTGGGTAAAACTTACACATAGGAACTTTATTTTAAAATTGTTTATTAATTATTGGCCTTGAACAGGGCATTTGTGATTCTGTTTATGTCAAACCCTGCGCAGCATATAGAATATCAGAACAAGTTTTATAGGTTATTTATGTTGGTTCCTTGAGGTAGTAGTTGGGGTTTGAGTTTGGAGTTGCTTGGCTTGGTTTATTCAGTATGGATGTCGTGAGGGTGTTCAACAACTTTAAGTATTAGTCTATATACCTGTATCGTCACTTAAAAGAAGACAGGTTAAATTATGATAAAATTTATTATATGAAATGGAAATGGAACGACAGATCATTACAAAACAATCTGAAATAAAACTATCATGATTATAACAACATATATTACAAAAGAACACAGAAAAATGTTAAAACAATATAATAAAGAAACATATTATGATAATAAAATAAAATATGCTATTGATATGAAACTAAAAAGAAGACAGGATGAATAATGATAAAGTTTATTAGATGAAAACGAAATAGAAAGAAGGCAAATAAAGGCTAACAGAACCTTTATAAACTCGCAATCAATTTCATTGATAACCTGTATCTTTCTTGGTATCTTAATCTTCTTAAAGTTCACCAGCTATTCCAGAATCATTCTTTCAAGATTAACTATTATTTATGGTTATGTTACAAATATAAGATTCAGTAATTTATCTACATGACTTTAGTATCATTACTTTCATGTACAATGTATATTCACCCATTTTAAGTTCAAGTTTCTTACACTACAAGTAAGAGTCTCTGATACCAAACAATACTTTATGCAGAGGACTTGTTACAACACATTATGAAAAATTACGCACTTTGAAAAATTTTTCAAAGTGCGTTAAATTTGGGTCAAAGTGAACGCACTTTGAAAAAAAAAATATTTCTTTTCAAAGCGCGTTAATATCGACCATATTAACACACTTTGAAAAAAATGTGCACGGATTGGTCAATATTGTAGCAAATGCCTATATTAAGTCTATCTTTGCAAAAAAGTTTCGTTGGGGGGCTAAGCCCCCTAGTCCCCCTCCCCCCGGATCCGACGCCTAATGTAGGTATGATGGCAACTGACATTAATGAACTTTCAATTTTAAATGAACTAAAATTCAATACACTAAGGACTTCCTTATATAGTTACTGTATTTAGAATTTTCCTTTTTTTTCCAAATATGACCTTTAGGGCTATATGTACGAGAAATACGATAAAATGAGGTCCAAGTTTGTAAGCTCATTAGAAATAATTTTCCCGCAAAATATGATGGTCTTTAAAAGTTATTTGATAAACATGAAAAAATTGTTTATTCCCGCACAATATGATGACTCTATTTTTAAACAGTTACCGGTACTTGATTAGTATTAAGAGGTATGGAAAATTAATTACATGTATTTATGCATTTTATACAATTTTTTTTTGTATTGTATTTGATTTTGTAAAGGTACTTTGGCCAACATGTAGTAAGATGGCTGTTGTTGCTTAGATTAGCGATATGGTCCATGAGTTTCTCTTTTTTAATACAACAGCGTGCGTTATTTTTTTTCAGGAGAGTAAATCTCAATTTTTTCATTTACTTTATATATATTCTCAAATTTCTTGAGAGAAAGTATATTAGTTTCATTCCAGTTATGTAAAATTGTAAATACATATATCTGGGTAGGAAAGATAAAAAAAAAGTTGGGTTGAGGGACCTTCTACATGTCTTGTCCTTGTTCTCGATGAGAGTAGATCAATTCATCAGTTTTTCGAAAGAAATTTAACAAAATAATGCAGTCTATTACTAAAATCTCAGTCCATCGTTAAAAATGTTGTACACTCTTAACGCACTTCGAAAAATATTTTCAAAGTGCCTTGATTTTGTCCTAAACTTAATGCACTTTGAAAAATTTTTTCGAAGTGCATAATTTTTTCAAAGTGTGTTGCCACAGGGCTACACCATGACCAAATCAACCATGACCAAATAACCTTGGCTCAGGGTCAAAGTTTGAACTACCTTTGGATCATGAATGAGCCTATGCATTTCAAGGTTACAGACAGAACAAAGGTTTAAACGTAGGATACCTGGTACCTTAAACTTGTTCAAAATTGACCTCTTATTAGACATGTGTCACAGCAACCTATGACGCAAGTATGACCTTCTAATAATGTCTACATTCAGTAATTGTCCGTATAAGAATTTTATACTTTTGATCTTCATGATCCCTTGAACCTTATCCAAAGAACACTGAATAATAGGATCATAACACTTGATATTATTTCATAACTTACAATGTGCACGTATAGAATTATAAATTTGTTCCTATGACCTTATTTTTGATTTTTATGAACTGTAAAATCCACTTTGAACATTTATTTACAATTCAGTAAATAAAGTAAATAAAACGTAATTATGTCAATCGAGGGAAGTAGTTAAATTAATCAGTCGGTTATAATTTGTGTGCAAATGATAATCCCCGATTTTAGAATAAAACTACAGGAGATTGTATAACACATGGTCAGGTTCCGATGACCTATTTACTAGTTACTGCATCAGGGACTGTCTTTATTAGAGTAAACAATAGGGTCATGCTGTAGGAGATCTGATACGTATCAAACTAATTCATCGTGTTGACATTTTCCTCCATCAGGTCATTTTTCATACCGTCACTGTTATCCAAAGTGCAATCATAATTACCGACCTCTTCGACCTTCATTACTTCACATACAAAGTATAGACAGAAAATTCCTTCATACAACATGTACAATGTTGACTTTAATATGAGTAACAAGAATTTCCTGAGAATTGATAGATAAATGATTTACAATCAATATTCATTTTTATATCGTTTTGCCATTCAAGCCTCTCGAATTTTGGCATATCTTAATTTCTCTCTGTCGCTCAATCTGTTGTCCCTCTTTAGAAGTGCTGCATATAAGGTATTGCAATAAGATAGGAGTTTGATTTTAAATAACATGATAATCACTTATTTGTTTTTTTTTCATCAGAAATATGAAGATGAGTTTTCAATAATAAAATTAATAAATAAGAATGATGATTTAAATTAAAATAAAACTGGGAATCCTTTTTATATAACATTTACCTGTACCAAAAGTTCAAGAGACTATCGCTCTACTGAGCGACGAAGTAAATGTTCTATTTTAAAAACGTCAACCAAACCATTCCAGTGTGGATAATAAGGAGTGGTACGGATCTTTAAACATCTACCAACCAGCACATTTCTTTTCGAAGAAATGTTTAACACCTGGGAAACCAGGGGGTCGTAACATAAAGGGTACTTAAGTCTAAGACCATGCTTATGTATAGGACTTAAGTACAGTCTTAAACTTAAGACCGTAACTAGAAACGTGCTAAGATTTGA